AGTTTTATTCCTCGATTTTCAGCCGGTCGTTGACGCACACCTTGATCTGATTACATTCGCGTTATCTTTGAAGACTTCCATCTTTCTTCCTATCACCCTTGCATTATCTGTTTGACACAAGTGCTCTTATTATGGTATTATTTGCCTTTTTAAATCGCCATCGTCAACTTTTCTTTGTAACAGCTCGTGCTAAATTGGGTCACGAAGGTTGAGGGCGATTTTCCCATCAAATCAGCGATGAAAATCGATGATAGATTTTTATAGCATTGTCAACGTAATTTCAATTCAACAAACTCTTGCCCTGAAAATGAGTATGAAGATTTTTTTTACTGCAGTGGAACACTGTATCGATACAATTTAAAATATATCCTATAGGCCGGAAAGCCTATATAAACCCTATAAGTAGATTTTTTAAATATATCCTACATTACAATCTCGCTCGTCTAAACTGAAGCTTTGTTTGGATCAGAAAAAATTCGGATTAGACGAATAATGCAGAAAAAAGTAGTAAACCAGATCTGGTAGTTTAACCAGGCTCACATGAAAAAAATAAAAAGCTGGATGAGTCGATCATTTCAGTCTATCACTTTCAATAAAAACTATAATAATACATGGAAAAAATAATTTCTACCAAGAAAATTACTTAAAGTGTAATATATTATATTCCGAGGCCTTAAAAGTAATCACGTTTCCCGTGGGGCTGGGGGAACACATTGGATTAGTATTTTTTTGTGATAAGGGACTTCTTTCCACATGCCAGAAAGGGTCATTTATTTGTCCTAGTCACTTTGTTCCTTAATTTGAAAAAATTAACATATGTTAAATCTTAACTCGACGCGTTATCGTGATAATAAATAACTTGAGGGTGTCGACGCCTCCATCCACCCACGCGTACTCTACTTTTACCCGTTATATTTATCTTTTAACCCTTTTTTAAAAATCAGGAAATCGCAATGGAAAATTAATATTTGTATGCCGTTCAAATAAATTAATGAATCGTTATTGTGTTTATTATTATTTTACCCTGACATTATCCCTCTATTGATTTTACCTTCATTTCACAATTGAAGTAAGGAGATGGATTATCAATCAATTCAAGAACTGTTTCGATCCGAGAGGATTGTTTAAGCTGTGAAACGGGCAAGGCTGCGAAGGCCGATGCAGTCTAGCAAGACCATTGTTTATCTAGTGCCCATTGTTCGGGGTTTGGCGAACATGAAGCGGTTTCAATCGTCCTTTCTGAAACTATTTTGACAATTATGCACGGAATCAGCCCGTGATTAATACGGCGAGAATGGGATTCGACCTGCCTTGTAAATTACAAAATCATAAAACATAATCATTTTTAATTTTTAACTGTTGTTAAATTCTTTACCCTTTTTTTTACTCTGTAGTATCTTCAATCTTGTAGATCGAACAAATATGCTCTTTCTGGGACATACTGATGCAAATAATTAACAAAATCCTGGGTGGGAGGAGAGCCAGACTTCCACAAATTTTGTCACCCTGTCAAAATTGCTTACCATCTCATTCCCTAATACTTTCTACTTCTTTCTCACTATTTATGTAAGGTACCCATTTATCTCTCTTATTCTTAACCACTCCCTCCTTCTCTCTCTTTTTCGTTCCTCTTTCTCTTTTCTTCCCGCTGTCTCTCTCTTTTCTTTCTCTCTTCTCTCTGTCTCTCTAGTTAACTGTTCTCTTGTTCACCTCTTTTTCTCTCACTCTCTCTCCCTTTCTGCCTCTCTCGCTCTCTCTCTCTCTCACCCACACACACTCTCCCTCACTTAAAACAACACACCCATTCACCCTTTTTTCCCATATTTTCTTATGTCTCTAACTCTCACACTCTTTCTTTCGCTGTCTCTCTCCCCTTCATCACTATTACTAATTATTCTCTCTCTCTCTTTCTTTCTTTCTTCTCACTGTCTCTCTCTTTTCTTTCTCTCTGTCTCACTTTTTATTTATCCCTCTCCCTTCACTCTCTCTAGTTAACTATCTTCTTACTCACCTCTCATTCTCTCTCTCTCTCTCTCTCTCTCTCTCTCTCTCTCTCTCTCACACACACACACACACACACACACACACACACACACACACACACTTACTCACTCACTACTAATAAAGAATGATTAATAATTGAATTTATTATAACTGTCAAATATTCAAACTATTATAGTGTATTGTATATTATTTTGCACAAATTTGTAAGTTCTTTTCAGGATTTCTTTCTTAATAGATTTATTTCAGTTTAATGAGATGATGAAAATTTAATTGTATATGTATGTAAACTGTAACATTGTTCGTAAATTTTGCAATTATATGATTTCTTTATTTATTGATTTATTACATTTAAATGCATTTAATTGTTTTATTTAGTTATTATTATTTTTCAGCTTAATTATTTCTAATTATTATATACATATGATCATCTAGAAGTGCATGTGTGTAAATTCAAACAGTAAAATGTTTGAGTGTTAGAAAGGTCAAATTGACCTAACTCCGCGAGATTGTAAAAAAAATCGTTTATGAAATCAAAGCTCTCTCTCTCTCTCTCTCTCTCTCTCTCTCTCTCTCTCTCTCTCTCTCTCGTTTCTTTTTTCTTTCTTTCTTTCTCCCTGTTTTGTATTATTAGCTATATGCATCTCGCTCTATATGCTTGTTTATATATTTACATAATTGAATATGAAATTATATTTGCTGTCAAACGAATTACGTTTTAATTTTTATTTAGATATTATATTTCTGGATTCTCACTTTTCAGTGTTCATTGTTAAATAATGTAGAGGATCCCGTGAAATTGATAGACATCGTTGGTATTGTCTCATCGTTTTATTTAATGGTGAAATACAAATATTTACAAATATACAAATATTTAGTCATTAGTGCTTACTAGTTCATCCTCAAAATGTGAAATCGCAAGTGGAAAATATATTTTCGTAATAATTGTACATACCTGTTTGCGTTGGCTCGTCGAAATAGATCAAATAGTTCTTCCTGGCAGTCGTTTTTCCTCTCAGTTCTTGCTAAACGTCTCTGATCTTTGACAGACTTCCAATTTGCCTGGCTCAATGTCTCTTAAAATATTTAGAGGCCGAGGCCACGCTCTTCGGAATATCGGCTCAATTGTCGTATTTATATCCATTTCCGTCCACGTTTCGTTCGAGTGATGGTTTTAGTGATAAATTTCTGGCCATCATAGAAAATTTGACCGTCTTAGGGCTATAAAACGCATTCGTCGTGTAAACAACGAGAAAATCTGATACAGAGGATTAAGATCTCTATTTTTGGCTAGAAAATATAACTGATTGTTTAAAAAGTTAAGATGGTGCGTCAAATATTTCATTTGAACGCGGCCCCTTAAAAGTGAAAAATCACCTTTTCCGTACTACTGAATTTGTTACAAACAACCCAATATTTCCCTGCTGATGGAAACGTGTTTTATCTTTCTCTCCGCCCCATTCCATTTAAAGCCGGTACGTCTCGCGTCTTTGCGTATAACGTCAAATCCGCCCTTTTGGCTTTTCACTAAATCCAGACCGTTGTCCTCAGCCGATGAGGACAGACAAGATGAAAATACTTCACTTTAAAAACTTTCCTTCCCCTTTTGCCAATTCCGATTTGTATGGTTCTGAAAGATGTATTGACTCGGTTCTCGAGGATTGCGGGGATATTGAAATACTAATATCGCTCCTAAGCCCGAGACTGATGCTTCCAACGTTCCATGGATCTTCCTTATTTGCCCAGCCGTGTTTCCTCCACAAATGTCGTGAAACTTTTCATATTACAGAAATCTTTTCCTAATCTATTATCCACTTTATAATTTATAATGTGAAAATTAGGTTGGGTTTTATTCCAGTTGATAAACCGTTTTTGGCGATATGGTCATTATTCATGTTGGCTTGCTATCTGTCAAGACAGACGGCTTTCGGTGCCACGCCTTATTCACTGGGCGTGAAAAAGTCAAGATCAAGTACGCCAACAACGTTTAACTTTATTTACATCGATATTAAATAAATCCGAGGGGCTTTGCCAGTATTGAACAGCGGCTCGGCAAATAGAACTTGGCGTGATACTATATACTCTTGTTCAAGAAAGTTGTTTCGTGCGAAACCCGGTAACTTAATATAGTATATAAAGTCAAAAGAAAACTTCCTTGAAGGCTAAGATGAAATTGCTGTTAACAACCAACCAATAAAATGTTTTGAGAATGTATGCATTGATATATTTTGTACATTATACACGATATCAATTTATAGTGATCTAATTATTCCCTATATTATTAGTCCCTCCCTCTCACTCGCTCTCTCTTTCTCTTTCCTCTCTCTAGTTAACTGTCCTCTTACTACCTCTCTCTTTACCTATCTACCTATTTATTTTTTTCTCCCTCCCTCATATATCTATTCATCTATCTATCGATCTCTTCTCACGTTCACTCCCTCTTCTTTCACTCGTACTCTTATTTCTCTAACTCTCACATGACTTTCTTCTGCGCACTCTCTCTCTCTCTCTCTCTCTCTCTCTCTCTCTCTCTCTCTCTCTCTCTCTCTCGTCATATATCTATGTATTTATCTCTCTCTACACTCTCTTTCTCACGTTCACTCGTTCTCTTATTTCTCTAACTCACATGACTTTCTTTTGCGCTCTCTTTTCCTCTCTCTCCTCTCTCCCCTCTCCCCTCTCTCGCTCTCCCTCTCCCTCTTACCCATCGATCTCTCCCTTTTTTTTACCCAGATACTTCTGCTTGCGCTCATAATTGGGTAATTGCTTAGTTCCCGCTTGCATTGAGAAAGGTCTATCTCAGGGTTTTTCTGGTCGTCAAAATTATCCTCACTACAATACAATGTGTATAATTGAATCTTTAAAACTCTGAAACCGGGACAAAATGTCAAATCAGTACAAATAGTTCAGCGAACCTTCCTTTAACTCGTACGATTCAATATTTATTCAATATTAGATCTTTCGAGTTGTGTATAATATGAATTTCTTACAATTTTCAGATGTGGGAAGTGGGTTGAACAGCGCCTAAGATGGACCACAGCGTGAAGGCGATGGACTCTCACCGGAAGCTGGTCTTCTCTAGGCTGGTCGACCGGCAGAGATTCGAAAACGACGAGCTCGAGGCCCTCTACCAGCGCTACATCTTCAAACTCCAGCACAGCTCGGTCACGTCTGTCGTCTGCCTTTTCCTCATCCTCACAGCCCTCCTCGCCAACATCAGCTTCGTCTACACGAGGACCCTGACAGCCCAGAACATATACCACATACTACATTGCCTTCTCTTCTTGTTCCTACTCGTCTTCCTTAGCACAAGGTAATTTTGTTACTTATATATTGGCATGCCTAATTCGATTTAACCGTCATTTTTTAATGACTTGATTAATTTTTTTGTACAGAGAAGCTTTTATTAACAGGAACAAGGATTTAGAGTTTAACTTCAAAGCTTCCTTAAATTCGTTATTATACATAAATTTATTATTCTACTAGAATATAATAGCTCACTTAATGAAGGATTAAACAATATAATTAAAAAATAGGTAAGAAGAATAGATCGGCTGGATTAGCAGAAAGCTTTTACACGTCAGATTAAGTCAAAACTAATTCTTACCAGATCCAACTTTGCTTCATATATGGAACCAATAGGTATACAACTGGATATAAAAAATGGTTCTTTCCCATCCCACCTTCCTCAAGTTCATTAAGGAAAGAATGTATTTAATAACGAATATTATGGTTTTAATTTGTATCTGTCGAGGGCCGAAATGACATAATTGTCTCCAGGGCTGACTGACCCTAAATTCTTTTAGGCAGGGCTGACAAGACCGTGGTCTAATTGACAGTCTAGATCATTAAGGAAGTGATGGTCGTAATTGATCTTGTAAAATTAGTACATAAATAGATTTTCTGCACATTTTTTAACAAGATGTGGAACAAGCTAGGCTGACAGGCAACTCTTCATGTACAATAATTCACTAATTTCGTGGTCCGCTTGACCAATTGAAAAATAGCAAAAAGGAGGGAAAACTCATAAGGTGTGGTTGAGATAGGAAGTTGATGTCCGAGTGGATCGAAGTCACGATGGCTCAAGTGGTAGAGCAGCGGCGTATCTAGCCGAAGATCGTGGGTTCGAATCCCGCTCGTGCCGTTAACTTTTTCTCATCTCAACTAAAAACCTTAATTAACTGTAATATACAATAATATCGGATGTACAAAAAGAAAGTCAATTATAGCTAAAGAGGAGTTTAGGGAGGCTCTACAGTTTGGAATTTAACCAAAAACGAAAATTTCAGCTACAATATTTAATTCGACAGCTTCAATTTAATATTAGCTCAAGATATATCCGTTAAAGCGATTAATTTCCTAGTTACTCATAAAATAATTCCCTCTCACAAATTTGGCTTCCGACCACATTATTCTACGATCCAATATGGTTCCAGAGTTGTCGACACCATCTCCACTGCTCTAGAGAACAAAGTGCTTGGGTGCGTTCCTAGGTGTAACACAAGCTTTTGGTATGGTCTGGCACCCTAAACTTAAACGCTTCCTCTCCACTCCTAATTATCTTATCCTGAAAACCGATCTGACCGCTGCCTTAGAAAGAGGTGCGGGAACAAGTTCTCGGGAATCAGACTTATACAATCCGGCATCCCTCAAGGGAACATTCTTGGTCCTATCCTTTATACATCTATACTTCATACGATTTATACACACACCCCAATACGATCACGAACGATACAGCATTTTGTCACCTAACTCGAATCATTCCTCTGACATCCAAGAACAACTGGAATTTATCGAATTCTGGTGCAAAAAGTGAACGGCAAGACTGAATGAAGAAAAATGTACTGTGTACGTTCACATTGAACAAAAGTCTTGCTTTCCACTGTACATCAACAACAAAGAGATGCCGACTTCTACCTAAGTCAAATAATTAGGACTATACCTAGACAGCAGACATTAAGCGATTATCCCAACCCTTAAGTAAATATCTGTTTAATTTATCTTTATAAATTGATTACAATCGAGGAAAGTTGCGGATTTACTTTGCCCAAATTCGGTCGTGATAAATACATAGTGCTGTTGATATCTTTTAAGCTCACTATCGTTATTATTTCTGCTGCACACGAACTGTCAAAATCATGTTTCTTTCGGGTTGATCAATATTGTTAGAAATCATTGTACCCAAGGTTGTTGTCTGGTTATAGTAAATAGCTTTATCTTAGGAAGTTATGCAGACGGTAAATCAATACGTAGATGGATAGGTATGTTGTTAAGCCGGTAGATAGATAGATAGAAAGGAAGGTTGACGGTAGATAGGTACAAAAGTAGGTAGGTTGATAGGAAGATAGATTAGTTTGTAGGTCGATTAGTTAGGTTAGTAGTTACGTTGGTAGAAAGATAGATAAGTAAGTAAATTGGTAGGTTGGCAGATATATAAGAAGACAGATGGATAGATAGAAAAGTTGGTAGATTGGTAGGAAGATATGTAAGTAAGTAAATTGTTAAGATAGGTAGATGGATAAAAATTTATTAGGTAAATAGTAAAGAAAATAGATTGGTAGGAGGATAAATAGATTGATTTGTAGGTCAATTAATACATAGATAGGTAGGGTGGTAGGAAGACAGATAAGTAAATTGATAGCCGAGTAGAGAGATAAAAAGGTAGGTGGAAAGTTAAATTTGTAGGTGGGTAGATAAATTGAAAGGTATCTGAATGGGTAAATTGATAGGTTGGTACGTAAGTAGAAAGGTAGATGGATAGGTAAATTGGAAGGTAGGTAGGAAGACAGATGGATTGGTAGGTGTTGGTAGATAGATAGAAAAGTAGGTTGGTTTATAGTAAGATAGATACGTGAGTTTTTAGGTAGATTGATAGAGAAGTAGGTAATAGAAAGATAACTTGCTAAATTTGGTGGTGGGTATTAATAGATTTTCAATAGATACATTCCATTAGTATGTGTGAACAGTTATAAGGAAAATAAAATCAGTTAGGGTGCTGGAGTACTTATTATTCCTCCATTACCCTTTGCGCTTATTTTATAACTAACCTAATTGGGGATCGATGGGTACTCAATATTCTGCCATCAGCCCTCCCACACTACACATTCTCACCAATAAATACATTCACTCTCAAAATATGATAGGTACACATAACTAACAGTACTGTATAAAATTTTCCTCCAAAAATCGGAGCAGGAGACCCAGACACTCGCTCCCGTGCTCAAGCACGATTCTCACCGGAGTCTATTTTGTATTTGATGTTTTCGTGTATAGAATGTTTGTCATATTTCTTCAAGTTTGTGCTACTCGGGTCCATTTTTCGACAGAAACGGAGGTTGATAAGAAGTGCACAGGAAACAGGTACAGCTCGTACTTTTGCCAAAAACCTCGACCACCTACCTGCCTGTCAAATATGTTGATGGTTTTACCCCAAAATTACATAACTAATAACTTCACATTTACGCTAATGAATGCATTCACTCTCGCCCGCTAGGGACACAAAACTATCACTAGTACATACAAAATACAACCCTGTTTCCTCTCCGATACGAGAACCCCCAGATACTTTGCTTAAGCGCATTTCTTGGGTGTCATTCATACACGCTCTCTAAATAGAGCCAAGGAATTTCACCTGTCAATTAGGTAGGTCACATGGAGCAACCTTTCTCTGCATGCCGGACACATGCGTGGGCTTTAGGACATGATATTTATTTTTACAAATTATGTAGTTAATAAAAACTAAACATAAATACAAACACCCAAGTCAGTTGAATTGGAAAAAATCCCAAAGATATTGAATAACAATTACTATTAAGAACCATACATGTTTAAAGAAAAGAGAAATAAAAATTGCTATAGTTGTTCTTTAAGATAAAAGAAGAAATAAAATCTTGTAATGTTCATAAAAAAGTTCGGCTATTACATAAATAATATGGTAGCAAATAATTGGATAGATCAGTTAATCTGTATGTCAAAAAAAATTGTTTTCCAATTGCGATCCAAGTTGTATTTTGATTATAATCGGTCGACATCGAAAGTTTTCTGAACGTAAGTCACATTTCTGGACTAAGGCAGTCCTTTAAAGTTGAAAAAGTGTGTTTCGTGACTGGACAAAGCGTTCAAAAACACCCCTTATCTGATAACCGCCTTGGGCTGTTAATTGTAATGTATGGAGGGGCAAACTTTTAACTCTCTACTACTCTACTAATTGTATTTTCAACAGGGCCCTTTAATCCTGGCCCGTTCTGTATTTACTTACGTGATAATGTTACCGTTGAGGGATTCTTTTCTTCTTTTTTCCCTTTGTTTTGTTTTCTACCTTGGCTTTAGCGGTAACATAAGAGAGATTTTTAACACAACATACTTTATGCTCCTTACATGTTTGCATGACAAGATTTGTAAGTATTTTTTTCTATTCCAGTCTGCATATTTTACCCTGCATGCCAAGAGGTCGAGGACCCGGCAGAGTCGTTTAAACAAAAATAATTTTTTATAGTAAATATTACCAACGGAAAATTAAATATGGTATAGACCAGTAATGTCATGAGTCCTTCAAGCGATCTTATTAATTAATTAAATTATAAATATTAAATAAAGCTGTATAGCCGTGATGATGGTGGCAGGGTGGATAAAAGGTTTTTTAAAATTTAAGCAAAATATGATATTTACAAATGAATCTAATTAAATATTAAATTAATTGTTGTACATTGATCTTTTAAATCGGTTAAGCAACAAACTTTAAATATGTAGAAATGTTATTTTGCCAAATGCCAAATGTTCATTTGTCATTCATGAAAGTCATTTTAGATTTATCCGTTCTCTCAGGTCAATTCAATGTTGACACAACATTGGATTTTATACAAATTTATACAAACAGCTGAATACAAATTCACGTTTCACACAAAACCAATATGACACCAAAAGAATAGCACCACATGTGAGTATGAAATACTCGGTATAAAATTTATATTTACCTCTTGAATTGTATTTTTTCCAATCAACATGTTTCGGAATTTGCCCAGGCTGTAAAGATGACCCGAATAAAGGTCGAAACGTCGGTAAAAAAATGAAAAAGTGTTTTTCAAAACTACCTCATTCTTGACCTCTCCGCACGACTTCAACAAATTAATTGAATTTTATATCAACATGCCTACTAATTCATATGGGATATGATTAATTGATTAATGTATAATACAAATCCGAGCTGAAGGTCGCATTAATATAAAATGATATTAATAATATTCATTCATTTTACGTTTTATATTCAATTAACCAAGTTACTTCTGTCAACTAATTATTCTTTTTATGTAAGGTCTTGATGGAGATTAAAAAGTCGTGTCACGAGCGGGATTCGAACCCACGACCTTTGGCTAAATACGCCGCTGCTCTTCCACTTGAGTTATCGTGAAAATGGCAAAAAAGAGGGAAAATTCGAACGGTTGTAGGTTGAGATGGAGAGTTGGTGTCCAAGAGGATCGAAGTCACGATAGCTCAAGTGGTAGAGCAGCGGCGTATTTAGCCGAAGGTCGTGGGTTCGAATCCTGCTCGTGACACTGACTTTTTTATCTCAACCAAGAATTTACATAAAAAGAATAATTAATCGAAATTAATAATATTATTTGATAAAAGAAAATACTTAGATATTATATGGTACTAGGTATTACATGGCATACTATGTATGGTATTACCTCCATATACCTATACGTAGGTATACATAGGTCATTTGATGCAGCTTGATATGCTCTTTCTCATATTTCATTTTTATTTTTAGCAGAAAGTTACTGATGGGTTTGTTTTCTCCTCAGGTACATGCAAGACACGTACTTGCTTTGGGTGTGCTACGTCATTCTGTTTTTCTGCGGCACCTTCGTCGTCGTCGGCCTCCCACTGGGGCCGCAAACGGGCCTAAAGCTCGAAAGCCGCAGAGTATTCCCGGAAGGGGTTTGGCAGATCCTCTTCGTCCTCTTCATAGCGTATGCTATGATGCCTCTCAAAACGTGGGTTGCGGCACTTTTCGGACTAGCACTTCCGCTCGTACACCTCGCTGTGAGCGCCGCCTTCGTCGATCAGTTTCACCATCTCCTCTGGCAACAGGTAAGCCGATTATATATTTTTAAAAAAAACTCAAGAGAAAACAGGCTGTCGTCGAGGTCTATTCATCGTCATAGAAGGTCTAGAAGGTCATAGGTAGGCCTCAGAGATAGAAAAGTATACACAGGGCCGGAAGTTGGAGTATAACTCTAGGAAGCAGAAACAGACGTAGTTGTGGGTAATGAGGTTAGTGTCGTCTGAGGACTTTTTTTGGAAGGATTGGTTGTGCTGGACATCGGATGAACCATGGTTATTTGGGGTTTTATACTCGTGACAAATTTTGGTCCTAGACGTCTTTGTAGTTGTATAAGTCGTCTGCTACGTTCTTTCTGGTTTTGAGTGGGGATTCTACGTCTGTTGTCTAGGTACTGTCTAAGGACCGTAACTTGAGTTGATGTCGGTATCTTCTTTTATTAGAAAAGCTCTCAGTTATTAAAGATTTGATAAGATTCGAGCTAAGGAATAAAATTTCGGTGGCGTCCACATAGTTTATTGATGATTTATAGATAGATAGAGATACCCTCGACCTAGATGTATTGCACCCCTTACTTTTGTAGTTCATTATTCAACTACAGGCAGTTAATCAAGTTTCATAGTCTAGCTAGTGGTACTTTTTTTTATAAGAGACTGCTTGAGTTTTTTCTCATCCAGCAGCACAGACTTACCTGTTTAGATCCTCAAATTAAAATGTGTTCCGTAGATTCTCCCTTTTCTCGAAATCTACACAATATTTCTTCTGTCAGTACTCTTATCTGGTCTTTCTTCTTAGGCGACAATGTCCAGTCAAAGGACTGACCCAGAATCCCATTTTTATTTCGGTTCCTCCAGTTCTTATGTGAGTTCGGCGGGGGTCCCTCCGCGTGTCTCATCCCTGGGGTGTTGATCCACAAAGATTTGGACTAATTAGCGATCCATTTTTTAATGTGTCTTTTTTTTGCAAATTGCTAGGCCAAAGTATGGTTAAGTATACCGACTCCACTCCTGGCCAGTATGTCGGCTTGCTCATTATCTCTGTTTCATGGGAACCCGAGAACCCAGCCAAGAGTCAGGACATTTGTTACTGATTTCCGTCATGAGATCCATGCACCCCAGATACATTTTGACTTCAATATCCAGAATGGTCCAAGCCTCCTTGAAAGGTACAGCCGCACCTCTTTTGCGGAATAGAAGTTCATACTTTGGGAATCTCCTTGTAAAAAAATTGCAGGATGCATAGAGACACAGAATTTCGACAGGTTTTATGACGGGGTACTAAAAGCCAAGTTGGACACCTGAGAAAGAACGTAGATTCTGCAGGCAGAATCCACAACGCATTTGCTGGTAGAATGTGTAGCTACACTTCCAGCTGAAAAGTTTTTACAACGTATAACACAACCGAGGACTCGTCTCTTTTCTGCAAGTAGTTAGTTGCAGAAAATACCATAGTTTAATAAAGGTCGAGACGAACATTGACCTTTCCATTAATGGTAAAATGGATAACAAAAAGAAAATAGAATATAGTTTGAGTACCTGTGTATCAAATAGTTTCGAATAGTTCGTGAGATAATTTGTCATGTCTTTCATTCTATTTGCCAATTATTAGACTGGTCTATAGATGAGATTATCATTAAACGTCATAATGATTTAATTTTAGGTCAATAAACTTAAAATTAAATTTTTTTAAATCTTCACGTTTTCAAGAATGACAGTACTGGTCTGGTGTATTTCCCTTATATTAAAGCTAACAACAAATCGTTTATCGTTTTGGTTGGCACTGTTGTCAGATTGTTCACCCTTCGGTTCGTATTAAACGTTTGTTTTAATCTAAGATCTGGTTAATCGACTGCATGAATCTGGTGCCAAGTTCATCCATGACCGTTTTAGTCTCGTGACTTCTCAATGGGGGATGTACCTTGACCGGAAACGATTCCGTGTTACGGGCCGCTGTCTTGGCTTCTGCTTCTCTTTCTTCTGCCAGCCGCGGCCAATTAATCAAATTCAATTTGGGCCAATTTATTTGACGCCGTCTATTTACGCCCTTTCATTTGCGTGTGATTTGCACTGGCGGAAATGCTTCGGCAATTACAACACATTGCTATTTTTAAACTTGAAGTCATATCAAAAACTGATCAAGCGACAAAGTAAGATCTCTGGTTTTATCTAACGGTTACAAATTGTACTTGTGGACATAATGCCAATAGATTATAGAATTAAAGGACATATCTAGGAAAAATAGATTCTGACTGTTATGTCTTGGTAGACCAACCACCTGCCAAGTTATAAATCTATAGTGCTAATCTACCATCATCCATAGAGATCAGTTTGAACAAATTATTAATTGTTTTAATATAATAAAACGATATGTCTGTGAGGAATTAGTTCGCCTTGTTTTGTTTTAGCACGACTAAGTACCAACACGTGCCAAGTTCTATCTCTATAGAGCTATCCAAATTTGTAGACATCGCGTTGAACAAATTATTTTCAAAATAACCTCTTTGTTTTAAGGTAATGAACGACGTATTCTTAGAAAATTCGATCCCGGTTGTTTATTTTGGCACTACTTGCTGGATTTCCAAGTTGGGTGCTTACAGAGTGAATAGTCTATAGAGATCGTGATAGGTAAATGATTGTTAAAATGTCTTCATTGTTTTAAGGCAATAAACGATATTTCTAGGAGAAATTAAATCGGATTGTTTTGTTTTAGTACGTCTACCAAGTGCCAGCACGTACCAAGTTCTACCTCTATAGAACTAATCAAAACCTGTAAAGATCGAATTGAACAAATCAATATCAAAATATATTCATTATTTTAAGTACTGAACGACGTATTCTTAGAGAACTCGATTAGGTTTGTGTTTTTTTGGGCGCTTCTAGCTGGATTTGCCAAATTGGTCTTAATTGTTTTCAGACAATAAACGACATATCTAGGAGGAATTCGTTCGCATTGTTTTGTTTTAGTACTAGCACTACGACTAAGTACCAGCATGTACCAAGTTCTACCTCTATAGAACCAACCCAAATCTGTAGAGATCGCCTTGAACAAACCATTATTAAAATATATTCATTGTTTTAATGTACTCGATTCGGGTTGTTTTATTTTGGCAATTGTACTTGTGTACATAGTTCCTATAGGTTATAGAATTAAAGGACATATCTTGGAAAAATAAATTCTGATTGTAATGACCTACCACCTACCAAGTTCTAGATCGATAGAACTAATCTACATCCATAGTGATAAGTTTGAACAAATCATTAATTATTTTAACATATAACTGAACGACATATCTTAAAAAATTAGCCTGATTGTTTCATCTTGGTACTTCTACATTTGCCAAGTTGTTTTTCTACAGATCGAATCAGCGATCGAGTTATATAAATCATAGTTTAAAAAAAATTAATTGTTTTAACATAATAAACTATATATCTAGGAGGATTGTTTTGTTTTAGTACGACTAATTACCAGCACGTGCCAAGTGCCACCTCTATAGAACTAACCAAAATCTGTAGAGATCACCTTGCACAAATCAACATCAAAATATATTCATTGTTTTAAGCTATTGAACGACGTATTTTTAGAGAACTCGATTCGAGTTGTTTTATTTTGGCACTTCTAACTGGATTTGCCAAGTTGGGTGCCTACAGAGTGAATCAACGTCTGTAGAGATCGAGATGATAGATCTACCAAGTACCAGCACGTGCGAAGTTCTACCTTTATAGAACTAACCAAAATCTGTAGAGATCGTGTTGAACAAACAATTATCACAATATCTTCATTGTTTTAAAATACTAGAAGACTTATTGTTAGATTGATTCGGGTTGTTTTTCTTGTAACTACAAGTGCCTTTGCAAAGATCTTTAGTTTCTACAGTACGAAACATCATCATCATCTATAGCGATCAAGACGAAAACTATAAAACATTTCCGTTTAATTTATATTATTTTTACTTTTTAATGAAGTGATTTCATTATTTCGGGATAATTTCAGCCATAAATTGCAATTTGTTATTGAATAGAGATTTCATTAACGTTATTGTTTAAGAACTATTTCAACGTTTTTCCTGGATTTTATAGAACTGGTTTGAGGCACAATAAAACTGTTTTGTTGTTGTTTAGCGTTGTATATTTTATCGTTTTCTCTTAAATTTACTTTTCGCCTGTAATACAGTACAAAAGAAATTTAAAATATGTAGTTTATTTTTTTTATTGTAGGAATATGCGGAACTTTTTTCTTTCACAGAGGTGGCATTTGACTTGACGACACGACCTTTAGTTTGCTAGGAACGTGGCATTATAGATTAGAAAATTAACGCTCCGTTTCTCTCATCAAATTGATCCTTTCAAAAAAATAATAATAATAATAATTTCCGTCGGCGATTTCATTATAATGAGATCTTAATTTTGACCATTTTGAAATTTGACAATGATTAAGATTTAGCAAATCAAACCTTACTCATTTACATGTCAAATGTGCTAAATGAAAATTAAACAATTGTCCAATAAATTATAAATAAAAAACCTATGGTTTACATCATTAACTTATACATTTGTATTAAATTGATAATATTACTTGAACCCTTCTTTACAAAAATACATAACTAAGATCGGAAATTTTTCAGAGTACTTGCCAATTTGTTCTTTAAAAAGTATATGAATTTTATACTGTATTGTAGAAACTTTATTTTGTGCAGCCGACAGCAAAGCCAGAACCCCGAGAAAGGGCTGTCTTGAAAGGGTCGCGGTGTATAATTAGACAGGGAAGCAAAACAAGAAACTTCGTTCCTCCACTAAAAATACTCCACAGGATCAAATCCAACTATAAATTGCTTTTTATTTTAACAAAAATTTTAGTCCTTTTAGATTTTTAAAAAAAATGTGACTTAAAACCATATTTTTTTAGTTTCTTTTGACTTATACTAACCAGTTTTGTATTTTAGGTCGTTGCAAACTTGATAATTTTTTCATGTGCGAATATCGTGGGTCTTCTGCTTCATTCGTTGATGGAGCACGCTCAGAGGAGGGCGTTTTTGGATACGAGAAACTGCATCGCTGCCCGTCTTGAAATGGAGGATGAAAATGAAAAACTTGTGAGTAATTGACTAATTTAATTTTTACTTTACTTTTACACTTTGTATAAGTCAATATAAATGTTTTAAATTTTTCAGGAACGACTCCTCTTGTCTGTTCTTCCGCAGCACGTCGCAATGGAAATGAAAGCGGACATAATGTCCCCTGTAGAAGGCCAGTTTCACAAAATCTACATCCAAAGACATGAAAATGTCAGGTAATCCGTTCAATTTAAATTCTACGGTGCAATACGTCTAAATGGGGATATTATTTTCAGCATCCTGTTTGCTGACATTGTCGGTTTTACTGTTCTGGCTTCTCAATGCTCGGCCCAGGAGCTTGTGAGGCTTCTCAATGAACTTTTTGGAAGGTTCGACCAACTTGCAAATGTAAGTGGATTATAAGCCTAACAATTACTTACTACAAGTACTTTATGTAAATCTGATGCTTCAACTCTGCGTGTTGATCCTCAATTATTCCTGGGCTTTTTATGATTATATTACAAAGATGGGCTATTAAAATTTAATGTATTAAATTTATCATTTAATTATTACCAAATTGCAATGAATATGATCTTTCTCAAGTAAAGGTAAGTATGTGGAGGGCCTTTGATGAAACAATCACAAAATGTTTGACATTAAATTGTTTGGTTTATGTTATAACATCACTATATCCCCATTTTTGTACCTGTAATAAATATAATAAAATATCAACAAGCCAGAAAGCTTTTTTTTCACTTGATTTCTTTATTATATTTTTATCAATTGTTACTGTTATTACTTATGTTGAATTTTTAAGGACAATCACTGTTTGCGAATAAAGATCCTTGGTGATTGTTATTATTGTGTCTCGGGTCTTCCAGAGCCTAGGTCAGACCATGCAAAATGCACCGTTGAAATGGGGCTTGATATGATCGATGCAATCGCGTAAGTGTGTTTTTATTCTGAACATCTTGCATGTCTAGGTGTTTTTTTTTTTTTTTTTAAATTATATTTGTATTTAATCAGTCTTCTTTTTTGTTGATTTAGATCGGTCGTCGAGGCAACAGATGTTCAGTTGAACATGAGGGTCGGAATACACTCCGGCAGGGTTCTTTGTGGAGTGTTGGGCCTTAGGAAATGGCAGTACGATGTATGGTCAAACGATGTGACCCTGGCCAACAATATGGAAGCTGGTGGCGAACCAGGGTATTTAAATTTTTTTTTTAAATTTTATAATAGTTTACTCAAACAAGTGGCATTCTCACAGTCGTGTTCACATTACGCAATCGACTCTGGACTATCTTGGAGGTGAGTATGAAGTAGAAGCCGGCCACGGAGGGACAAGAAACCAGTACCTCAGGGATCATGGAATCACCACTTATTTCATCGTCCCTCCAGTCAGAAGAAGAAAAGTATACTTCACTTTTTTTTTTTTAATTCTCCTGTAATATGCTCAATTTAATATTTAATTTCCATTATTGTAGCCATTGCTTTTTAACACTCTTCAAGTCAGATCTGCATTGGGCGCTCAACGGCGAAAATTGAGCTTTAAGAATGTCTCAAATGTCGTAGTTCAGCTGCTCCATTCCATTAAATATTCAATGGAAGTGCCATTTTCAAACATGGCTTCACCTGCCGAGCACAAAGCTTCAACGGCTCGAAAGGTTAGCTATTTTTGGTACAACAATATGATTTTGTATGGTCGTTTTAACCAATGAAGTGTTTTTATAATTTAAATTATTTAAATTGATGCATCTCGAAGTGACATGGCTTATTTTGGTTCAGACACAAATATATAATATTACAAAATTTACATTATTAGAAACAGAATTCAGATTTTGTATCTTAAATCATCAAAACATTATTAAAATATTGTTAGTCTATGATAGAGACATTTTACTATAGTTTAATTCTTTAAAACATCAGTGAGCAAATGCGGTAAAAGGTACATGTCCAATTCTTTATTATCGAAAAAATAAAAATAAATCGAAAAAATAAAAAAAAGATTTTAGTTTTGTTTACAATTATTAAGCTTGAAATAATTTTTTTTTTACATAATTTACAAAGTAGATTGTGAATAAGTAGGAACATATTGTTTCTTTTCGAGTTCCTATGTAGCTGGAAAATATAAACGGTTATACATGCATATCACTTTCTCTCACATACAACACAATAACGATTATTTATAATTGAATATGGAACGAATTGCCCCCTCAATTTTTTAGTGTAAATATAATGGTTGTTTGTATTATGTCGCATGCTGTTTTATTTTTGTTTTCTCTTTATTTTAAGTTTGTCTGCATGTTTTTGGCCCTTGTTTGTCTTTTTAATTTAATTTTTTAGGATGCGGTAAGTGACTACAACCACCGAGGAAAAAATGTTGATCCAAACTTCAGTAAAGTATGTGTTTACTTCTAAATACGTTGTAAAAAGTTATAAAAACTAGCATTGCCATATTAATTTTTTTTTAATCATATTTTACAGTTTAATTACACATAGCTTCTTTCACATCGCTTTTTACTAACAAATTTAAAAATAAACAATAAAAATAACAATCTTAGAATTGTAAGTTTGTATGTTCTCTCTTAAGAAATATCGTATATCTTTTAAAAAACAGCTGGCAATAGAAATAGTTTAGAAGACCCACATATTCAATACTTCGATAATATACAATCCTTATTCACATTATAGAAGTAGCACATTTTAGTTCTAGCATTAGTTCATAGTTATTTTCCACGAATTTCCTTTAGGCATTTTCACGTTTGGCCTTTGTAGAAATGTCTCAAATAGAAACTTAGAGTACACATGCTTTGCGCTGTGCTGGGTAGGACGTGTTGAAACAACGTCACCCTAGCTTAAGCATAGTCTGAAGTAGTTGAATTTATCGTTAAGTTTATGCTGAGTGTTTTGTAATTATCGTGGATGTTGCCATACCAGGTCTTGGATTTGCGGAGGGCCCTCCATGCCGAACCTGGTTCGAGGCCTTTCAACCCTGCAGATCTCAACATCAGAAACGTCAGCCACAAGGTACAAGTCCCTCACGTGGTACAATGAGAATTTACACTTTTATCGATAACAGAACTGTACAAAAACAGATCGAACAATTAAAAGTTTACTTTATCTACAAAGTAACCAGAAAAGTTTGTGCGGTTTTCATTTGTTATTGTTTTAATACCATTAACATTTCTATTTATATTTAAATAGGAGGATTAGGTGTTTGCATCATGCAATACCAAGAGGAAAATGGTTGTTCATTTTCAGTCCCCTTGTTCCCAGATAGAAACTTTTTGAACCATTTTGGGCAATACACTAACTTATTGTTTCATCACTGAACACACTGCAAATTCTATGAGCTGCCTCGGCCGCTTTTGTACTAAGCTTAAATTCATGCAGTAAGTATGCACAAACTATGGGTTTTCAAGCAGTGAGAAAGAAAATATTTTATAATTTACAGTAAACTGTTCAAGACACTTTTTCGTAATGAACTGACGCTATTCTCTTGAAATAATGTGATGAAAACACTCCTCCAATGTAAATAGAAATTTGATAAACGGTATTAAAACAATAACAAATTAAAAAATCACACAAACTTTTCTTGTTACCTGTTATACGTTAACATTCAAATCGGTTTTATAAGTTTTTTGAAAAATACAATTTTTTTTATAAATCTCACAAATTTTAAATCTTAAGGTGGCAAGTTCAAATGGGCTTTATATAACACTATTTTTGTGAAACGTTTGTAGCTCGATAACCTCTGATTATCCAATTCTTGCTGGTTTTATATATCAAACATTATTTGGCTTCAACGATCAGTCTGTACCAACATCCATCAAGTTAGAAAAATGTGTCTGACAGATAAAGCCAGTGAGAATAGGCAAGGGGGGCGTCGGTGGCCGCAACAGTTTACGTGTAGACACGGCGCTCATCGCTGTAACGTAAAGGTCCTGGGTTCGAATCCAGCGGCCCTGCATTCGAACCCGACATACTTACAAATGGGCTTTTTTTTTTTTCAAAAACACTGGCACCCTGAGGGTGATATGACCTCTGCTGTTGCCAACCGTCGTAAAAAAATAATAATAATATTATTATTAAAAATGTGTTTTTTAAACTGGTCTTATTAATAATTTTACTAATAAATTGTAATCCTCTTGGTTCTGTAGTTATAACAAAAGTAGCATATAACATTGTTTTGTTTAGATAAAATTGGGACCATTTTTNTTTCAAAAACACTGGCACCCTGAGGGTGATATGACCTCTGCTGTTGCGAACCCTCGTAAAAAAAAAATAATAATAATAAAAATTTAAAAAAAAATAAGCAAGGGTGATGATCAATAATAATTTTACTAATAAATTGTAATCCTCTTGGTTCTGTAGTTATAACAAAAGTAGCATATAACATTGTTTTGTTTAGATAAAATTGGGACCATTTTTTGTAGTAATAAGTTTATAAATTTGAGTATTTTCTTCTTACTTAGTGAATGCGTATTATTTAATTATTTAACATATATTGTGAATTTTATAATACTTTTTCATATTTATTTGTTTATTCATCTCATTCTAACCTTATTTGACTTTTGTTTTTTAAATATTCATTTCAGAACAAAGTCACTGACAAGTTTAAAAGGCCGTTTAAGAAAAGGCATTCCAGCGTCTATCATCAACCTCAGAATAGGGTCAACAAGTATCTTACTCAGGCGATAGAAGCGAGGAGTGTTGATCGAGAAAAGTCCGAACATGTCAATTTGATCACACTCGCTTTCCGAGATTCTGACAAAGAGAATCGGGTATGTTTATGAGAATGTTTTTTATTTTTAATCTTTGAATCTAACGTAATTTAAAATTTCAGTATCAAGCGGACAACGATGTCGGATACAGCACTTCGCTAGCTTGTAGCTTAGTCCTGTTACTCTTGATCGGAGGCTTGCAAGCGGCAATACTTCCAAGAACAATAATATTATTACTTTTATTTCTAACAGCGTTTGTTTGGATTGCAGTAAGTTATTAACATAAGATAAGTTGTCTTTCCTTACTAAAAGCACTTCTTTGTTTTTAGGTTGTTTTAATGCTGCTATTAGCAGTTAGGTTAAGATGGATATTATGGGACATTTCTCAAAGTTTTGTCCTTAGATTAGCAATAACAGTTTTTACTATAGTCCTCATATACACAGTTGCTCAAGTCAATGTGGTGAGTTTTAACATTATAAACATTGTTTTTTTTTTGTTTTTTAAGCAATGCAGGATTTTAAAAAAATGTATTTTTTACAGTTTACATGCAGAGTTGAAGTCAATTGTCCACCTGTGAATGCGACTGCAGGTTGGTCAGACCACAGGCTCTGCCCTCTTCCTCATTACATAGCAATATCTTGCTGTCTCGGTTACCTGTCAGTCGCGATCTTCCTCAGACTTCCGACATTGATCAAATGCTCTCTTCTCCTGCTCATGGCCACAGTTTACACCCTACTCATAGAAATATCACACAAACCGATATTTTCTTGCTACGACCACAGAGTCCAGTAAGTTTTATATGGATAAATATTGACTTTTTTTCTCTAATACGGTCATGTATTTGTAGAGCTGCAGTTCCTTCACATGTCGTGAGCATTGTTTATATCATGATGTTCTTACTGGCTGTAGCTATACATGGACGGCATGTTGAGTGGACAGCCCGGCTTGATTTCTTATGGCAAATACAGGTAAATTATAAATCCACTGGAAAAAAATTGTTATAACAATTTGAAAGATAAAAGTTGTTATTAATTCGTATTTTTTCACGCCTGCAAGTTAACTGGATGTAAAGACCCAAAAAGTCAAAAAATATTAATGTCTCGTTTTATTTTTATTTAGGCCAATGAGGAAAAGAGAGATATGGATGCATTACAGCACTCAAACAAAAGAATTTTATTCAATCTTCTACCTGCTCATGTTGCAACGCATTTTCTGGATAATCAGTTTAGAAGTAACATGGTAATTATGTGTATATTGTTTTTATTAGCAGCTATTTTTTATTTTATTTTCCAAACCATTCATTATTCATCAATCATAAACACATATTTATTTTGTATGACGCTTGATTAATTTTTTCTAATGGTTATATTGTCGCCTGTGATGGTTCTCACACAGAGCACTGTTTCACAGGAACTCTACCACCAGAGTTATTCGAGGGTCGGCGTCGTATTTGCCTCGATTACAAACTATCACGAGTTCTACATGGAACTGGAAGGGAATAATCAAGGGGTTGAATGTCTTAGGTTGCTCAATGAGATTATTGCCGATTTTGACGAGGTTTATACAGAATTTACAATCAAAACTTGAATTAAAGTTATTAACCGTAAAATTTCAGCTGTTGGGAGATGACAGGTTTAGGTGTATTGACAAAATCAAAACCGTTGGCTCGACCTATATGGCTGCAGTCGGCCTGATGCCTGATCACCGTATAATAGAAAACGACGACCACAGTGCAAGCCTCTACATGAGTCATCTCGTTGAATTCGTATTCGCCATGAGAGACAAGCTTGTCTGCATTAATGACAATTCTTACAATAATTTCATGCTTAGAGTTGGTATGTAAATAAAACAATATAATAATTTAAAGAAATCAATAAATTCCATTGTTCGGTTTTTCTAGGGATCAACATTGGTCCTGTAGTAGCTGGAGTCATAGGAGCTAGAAAACCTCAATATGATATTTGGGGGAATACGGTTAATGTTGCAAGTAGAATGGATTCAACGGGTCTTCCCAATCACACACAGGTAAGAGAATCGTATGTTAAAATTCCAGCAGGATCTCTAATCTATTCACTCTTAGGTGACAGAAGAAGTTTTTCAAGTTTTGAGAAATCACCCTTACGAGTTTCAATGTAGAGGTAAAGTGAAAGTGAAAGGAAAAGGAGAAATGACCACCTATTTTTTGACGGATAGGAAACAACCGGGTACTATTAGAGTAGAAGAACTTTCGAGCATCAGAGCCGGTGGAATGAGTATGTATTAATATTTTTAAAACTGTGGACGGTAAATAGTTCAATTTCCAGGCAATATGTACGGAGGTGTTGCAACACCTTTAGCATTCCTTCAGCAAATACCAGATCGAAGTAAACTTTTGAGAGTTGCTCCAAGACCTTTGGGCCCTTCACCACAACCTCAAGCTGACGAGCCTTTGTTGCCTGTTCAACCTCCACCAGTACCTGCTAGAAATAACTCAAGGTAAGTTTTCTACTAATTTTTGTTTTTAATTTATAAAACAGTTTGTGTTTTAGGTACACGCCGCCTTGGCCTAGAATGGCGCCTAGTTCAAGTATACTTCCTCCACCACCGACAGAACCGCCTTTGCCACCACCATCACAGTGTGTAAAACCTTACATGAAGCCACTTCCTAAACCTCCGACTAAACCGAAACAATGGACACATTTGCAAAGGCACTATAGTGACGAGAGTTTAAATTCAGGAGTCCCTTATTTAAGCCAGGCTCGAGTCCATTCTTCGGCCGATGAGATCAGCTCTCTTAATCACTCACCGAGTATCAGTTCTTCGGATGAAAGCTACTCTAAAACAACTGATGCCAGTCCAAGCCCATCACCACCGCTTCTGTCGATTCCAGACACGAAGCAATATCTCTACCCGTCTGACATTCAAGTAAATCCTTGTTCATCACCTGAAACGTCACCAAAGACATCGCACGACTACATCCCTCCTTGTTTCCTTGCAAACAACAACCCAGAGAGTCTAAATTCATCGCGAAGTTTTTCACCAGCCAAAAATGGAAATAACAACCGTGGCAATAGCAGAGGTGCAAAAGCGCGAGAGTCCCCAAGAAATTTCAAAACGGGCTCGAGCTCAAGTTCGAGGAAAACAAATTCTGAAAAAGCGGTCTCAGCGCCTCTACCTTCTACGGTACAGAGTGAGACTTGTGCCAGTTTTGAGTTTTCAAGGAAGAGGATTAAGAAGAATAACTCTTTGGAGAAAAGCTCACCGAGATCTGATTCCTCGAAAAAAGACAACTCTTCTCAAACAGACTTAAAAATGTCAACACCTGAAAGTGAGCAAGATTTTGAGAAACAAATCAGAAAACTCATCGAAGAACAGCAAGAACTCACTGAACTGAGACAGCTTCAAAAGACAGTCGAAAGGCATGATGTAACACCAAGGTATGTACAACAGAACACTGTGGCCCAAATCATCGATCTTGCAGCAAAACAACAACACCTTTTAGGCATTTCACACACAATCCATAATATGTGAGTTTTATTTTTTATTTTTTTTTTTTTTAACACTAACATAATTTTAGTTTTATGTACTACTAACAATTATTTTTGTGTTTACTCCCTCAACTATCTCAGTGCAAGGTCATATTTTTCAAACATGTTTTTAAATTTGTAATTCTCCATTATTCTTTAATTGATAAATCTTGGAAACTTAAATTTAGTGATGAAGAAGCTGTAAATGCTGATGGAGTCGCACAGACAGATCCTGTAAGCGAGGAGGAAGAATGGAAACAGACCACCACTTTTGAGGAAGAAGAAAAACGGATAGCCGAGGAAGTACTCAAACAGGTAAATCATACCAGTTTTCAGTTTTACTTTTGTTTTACGCTTCGGATTGCTTTCAGGAAGATGAAGTGAGAAGGCTGCTCGCTGAAGAAAGTCAAGCAAGAGCGGAACAGAGTGAATGGAGCGATGAAGAAGCAGCATCAGAGCCCCTACTCGGTGACAGAGAAAGTACGGGGTACACAACTGATGACCCTGCTCTTGAGAATATATCCATGATTCACGAGACTGGATTAACAGATGCGGAAGGTAAACTTATTTTAGTTTTAATAATTGAAAAAAATTGTGACAAACTATTTATTTTGTGACAGGAGCACTTAGCGATGTTAACTCCGTGTTTGAAGGAGGTATTCATGATGAAGGCGATAACACTTCCTTGTCTTCAAGGGCTTCATCTCGCCTCCTTGACTCAGACGCTGTTCTCAGTTTAGATTCTCTTAGCGCTCTTTATGACTCCGAGTACGACACTTGTTATCCTGATGACTACAGGTATTCATTTTTGATGATTTTATTCTTTATTTTCTTTTAAACTTGAAATAATTGAAATTTTTGGTGGAGTGAAAGTTTAAAATTTGTCGTATTGACTAAGTTTATAACACCGAGAAAGTGTCAATTCATCATACTTACCATTGTAAATTTTAATAAATGCGTAAGTATTTTAACATACTAAAATTATAGGTACTTTAAAGGCAAAATTAAAATTAATTAAAAATAATTAAACCGCTGATATTAACCATACGGATCAATAATTTTGTTTTCATACAAGGCTTTTTTTATTTTTATTTTTTTTTATATTAGTTATGTTTCAGATTGTGGTTAAAAGTTTTTCATTGTATAGCGTTTTTTATTCACTGATAAAGAAGCAATGAGAAAAACAACTGGAAAAAAAACACCTGATTAATAAAATATTTACATATAAAATATGGTTAAAAGTTATCTTACAAGATATACAAAGAGTTATTAGAAATGGAATATATGGAAACTGCTCAATCGGCATTGTTTTATCATGGCGGATGCCTCTTAAATAATTGCTAATATTCTCGTGCCAAGATTTAGTCTTATGTTCAGACGGAGTGAGGCTGTTGTAAATAATCCTGTGGATGTACAGCACAAACGTCATCAGAATGTTAGACAAGACCCAGTGCCCTGCAGCCTGGAAATGAGTTTGTACAAAAAAAAATCGGTCAGACGTTTTTAATGATTTACTCGGCTCACCTCGATACAAGGAACGACGGCATCGAACGGAGGCTGTACAATGTTTTCCGGTAGTCTGAACCTGTCCCAGACTCTAATGTTGATAATTACCAACGCCAAGAATGCAACCAAGACCGGGATATAGTTGAAATCGCATTCTTTGAGCGAGATTCCAGCGTCCACTACATCTTTGTTCATAACAAATAACTTTTTGCATAGCTCGCCTAGGCTCTCGTAGGAAGCCATGCTTCCCCAGTGTTAATAAACCTTGTTTTTGCTTAATAAAATTTGTCTGTTCTTGTGTCTGTGTCAAACTATTGATTTGATTACCTAAAGCATCTGTTGACTTTTTTTTCCAAAACACTTTCAACTTCATATGATGTAAAATATGTGATTTGTTTCAACAGTTAAAACTATTTAAACTCTACAAATTTTAATTTAATATTTAAAGTTGTAGATTTAAGAAGAATTTCTTTCCTTTTTTTTAATTATGTTTAACGTAAAAATAATAAGACTGTCAATTGTTTTCTTATGAAGAGCAACAGGTTCAGAATCTAGTCTTCCTAAAGAGCGAACGCTGTCATTGACATTAAGAACACCAGAGAAAAGGATTCTGGATGTGTTTACAGACAAGAACTGGTCGAATTCTGCTCCGAGGAAGACGTGTTGTGAGTTTCAAGCAATGGAATGCTCACAGGGTACCACCCGAAACCGTAGTTACCCCCTCACACCATAGTCTTAAAATGACTATTAACTTTTCTTTCTCATTCTCTTGTAGTATTTAGCACAACTGACAGTAAATTGCAACCATGGTCTTTCTTCGGTATAATTATTTTACAACATAACATGTTATGTAGTATGTTATATCTTTAAACAATGGAAGAGTAAATCTTTTTTAGTTAAAAGAACAATTTTTGCACTTATATAATTTTTTCTCTTGCTAATTAATGTTTGCACTTGATTTTCTGTTTTGAAGTTGATGTTTAGGTAGGGGGATAGTAATTATTACTTGTTATGCACACCTTTTTTTTTAAATATTATCTTCCTTACAATATCTCAGGTTGGGTGTTGAAAACTGAAGACTGAAAAAAAGAATTTGAAATTGTTAAACTTAAATAATTTATTGCATGTTTTTTTCATGATTACATATACACTCGTGGTAATTTACATTTTAATTAATTTTCCTATAAATTTATAACATTTTTTAGGTACTACAACAGAGATATCACCCCAGACATAACGAATCTAGCGAATATAAGGAGTGTGTCTGAGAGCATCACGAGAAATTTTGGCCAGCCGAGATCGGAAACGGACTCAGATATTTAAAATTGAACTTTTGAAAAGTTTGTAGTTTTTATACCGGCAATTATTTCGTTCGTTGAACTTAGTTTAACACCGAATATGTAATTGGAGTGAAAAGCCGATTAATTGGTAATGAAGTAGGAGTTTCTGTTGAAAACAATTCGTGGAAGTTTAGTTTCCTCTTCCGTTTTGTGGAAAAGTGTACTTAATTTTATACATATAGTTTAAAATGCTTTTATGGCCTAATTTATGTTTACATCACAGTTATATTTATTTTTATATGTTTGTTTTTTAACATACTTAATTATCTAAATAGTATAATTTTCTGGTGCTTTCATTATTATCATTTATAAAATGTAAATAGAATGCTTTTGTAAATAGTATGTAAATGGCAAAGCTATAAAGCTCAGAATATTTACCTTGTTTGATGTTTTTCATTAAAAAAATTGTTAATATATATATTAATTATTAAATGAATCATAATTTTGATTTGTAGCACTTAAAATTTTACAATACTTTAATTATATAACTTCAGAACATCAGTTGTGTTATGTGCAATTTCACAAAAAAAAATATATATATATGAGTGCCAGCTTTCTAGCTGTGTTGCTTCACTTGTGATATTCTGTGAAACTGGTAACTAGATCTGTTTTGGAAAGGAAATCAGGTGCCAATGTATACACTACTGTTTGTTAACAAAAATCAAATTATTGTCTTTTTCTATCTTCATTCCTCGTTAGAGGTCACGTTACGTGTCATAGATGTTTATAATTAAAATAAAATTAAACTAAAAATAAAATAGACTATATAAATTGAAAGTTATTAATTAAATATTAATAAAAGATAAAAGTATTTTATGAACTGATAGTTCTTATTTGGGACTGTATTCACTTTAGATCCAATTGAAGCCCAAAAGGGAAAACACGATTACAATTCTGTTACATCTTGAAATAAAAAGGTTTTTTTTAGTTAATCAATTTTGTTTTTAATATATGGAATATACATTTCAGCCGTAGATGTATGAAGTACATATACTTTATACTTTAAATTTGGACACGCACCAGCAATGGTAAAGATGGTGAAATGCCTAAATGCACCTGGAACAAAAACCAGGGTGATCGGATATGATCCAAGTTTCAGATTCATAAACCCCAAAACAATTCATAATTATTTTTATTTAACATATATCATTAAACAACAAAATAATCTAAACGAATAATTTTTCCCCCTTTTTGTTTCCAGTTTCTATCTTTTTTTATTTATTTTAAGATTTGTGGGTAATGAATGTATCAAAGTTTTAGATTCATAAACCCCAAAACAATTCATAATTATTTTTATTTAACATATATCATTAAACAACAAAATAATCTAAACGAATAATTTTTCCTCCTTTTTGTTTCCAGTTTCTATCTTTTTTTTAAAGATTTGTGGGTAATGTAATGTATCAGGTCATAAAGTAAGTCTGTAGGGTTTGGGCTTTTTTTGACCCCTATGCCTACTCCCTATTTTATCTGTGTGCCATGAAGAAACCACTTAAAGATGGTCCTTTTTACTAAAGCGTCATCCACATCATAAATTTTCCTATCAGAACTGCGTTTTCCCTTGGCAATAATAAAAAACCCATTAAATTATGAAAATGCACTATTTTTCCAATTTTTTAAATTGGCAAAACACCTTGCCAAAATATAGGAACTAGAACAAAACTGACAAATGACACCTTAACTAATCCTTTTTACTAATACTTTACTTTAGAACACAGGAGGGATGAAATCAAATTACTGAACAATGGTTTATTTTACAACCCAATACTTTACGACCCTATTGGGTGTTGAGGGACAGAGTTAAACCACTTTAAGCTTTAACAAAAGATTGCACATTCAAATTGTCAAAGGAAATTACAGTAGTGATAGGATTCAAACCCATGCCCTCTTCATGCCAAGTAAATATATTATGACAGCCTGTGGGAAAAAAGGTAAATGTAAACTGGCTACAGATGCAAGAATAGTGGTCATACAGTGTTTTTTTTGTTTTTTTTATACCTTTACATAATTGAATTAAGTTATAATAATAGGGTGTCATAAAAAAATGACCGTTTTTCTTGCTGATTTAAAAATAAATTTATTTTGACTTTTTTTTAATATTGAAAGTATATACCGTTGTGTTCTATGGTTTGATGCCATCTTGAGGCTGGGTTTTGGATTCCTTCACAACACCACTGGAATTTGAACAGAAAAGTTCTGCAATTTGAACCTCATCCAGACAATTAAGTTTTCTCTTGAAAATAATCAGCCAACGACTAGAACAGCTGGTGGTCGGAAGGTCTGTAGCTCTTGACGGTAAGCAGGGTGAGGGAAAAGCTCAATTCCATACAAATCTGTTTTTTTTTTTTTTTGAACAACAAAACCCAATTTCTACTTATGAATCCTGGGTTGGGTCAAAACAACATTTTTTGTAACCACTCACAGTTAAGTTTTGAATCAATGGTTCGATTTGGGATTTTCAAAAAATGTTGACAAATGGCCTGCTCAATGGTCAACTCATGAGGAATTACTCTTAATGAGCGATATTCTTTCCCGAAGTTGTGCAGTCCACAATTTATGCTCTCTTGCCAATTCCCAAGTAATTTTCGTTGGGTCTGCCTCAAGAGTCCAGCTGAACTTCCTCATCGAATAATGATTTTCATACAGAACCCTCTTTCCTCTCGAGGCTGTCTGAATACCAGGTCACACAGGGCAGAGGGTTGAAGAGACAGATAAATTGGCCGAGGAAAGTTCAATGAGGACCTATTGACCCTGAACCCTTTTACGACATACCAAACTGCCACAAACTCAGATCCATTAGACAATGGATTAATAAGTCCTCTACTCAATGGAAATGCAGCCTGGAACAGAGGCATGCAAAAAAGTTTATCGAAGGACCATCGCAGAAACTAACAGCAGAACTACTAAATCTAGGACGTGCTAGGGTTAGAATAAAAGTTGGACTGCAGACTCTAGAGATATGTACTTGGAGTGGCAGAAACAAGCCTGTGCAGATATTGCCAAGAAGAAACATGTCCTCTATTGGTGCACAAGCGTATGCCGAGATTCCTAATCCTGGGAGAGGAAAAGCCAGGGCTTGAAGGATACACACAGAAACCATAAGCTTAACGAGGAATTCTAGATTAAAAAAATGGTGATGCACAACAGACCAATATTCGTCGCAGTGCACAGGTTAAGAGGCCACTATATAATCTAATCACGAGGCTGTCACCGGTTCAAATTTCTGGAACCATATGCACACATTGCCGCACCAAATGGATTGTTTTGACGCCGGAAAACTTACTAATCCGATAATGGCGTAATATTATTTTTTTTTAACAGAATGAATACATCTTTCAACAGTATATTTAATAGAAAAGACTTCTCTTTGACAAAACATTTTGAAAAATATATGAGCTACAGGCTAATTGTATTAATGAAACCAATAATATATAAATATTAATAAAACAAATATAAATTGGCAGAATAAGTAAAAATTTGGTACAAAAAAGTATAAAGAGAAAGTAATAAACTTTCTGCACTCAGATCTTGAGACATGTTGAAGATTTATTATTAATAATTCAAAATAGGTACGTAATAATATGAGAATTATCTCTAATAAGTTGTACTAATTCAGCCGCGGGAATGGGAAGATAGGATAATCATTAGCACACAAATCTATTCAACAAATATCTTTGACATTTAACATTTTACTTATTTCATGTTTTACTTTTTAAAAAATCTTATATATTTACAAATCTATCATCTACATTACTTCCTACCAAATAAATAAATAAAGGAAGAAGTATAAAAATAAAAATATCCAAGGTAAAAAGAAATCAGGAAGAAATAATGACGGTATAGAAATCAATGGTAAATTGAATAATGAGAAACACATTCAAAACGCTGTAATTATAACCAGTTTTAGTACTGAATTATATCGAATAAAAATTTTGCATGACAAAAAAGTGTCATTTTTTTCCAATTCTTGCAATTTGTCAATTCTTTCCAACTTCCCGTTTCTCTTATTTTACTTCGAAACACGTCATCTCTTGTCGAGAAATCCACCCAATTTAAACCTTGGAGGATGGAGTAGCGTCAGAAGACTGAGCTACTGGGACGTGCCTCGAAGGTAACCCTCACCAACCCGGCGTCGTATTGGCTAAACGTCTCATCCTCCTGGTGTTCCTGTCCTGGTCTCTGATTTTCTTCTCCATTTCAGCGTCCGTGAGCGTTTCGAGGAAGGGGCACCACTGGTCGGCCTCTGACCCGGCTCTAAAAGGCACCTCCACCGTGGCGAGAGGCGCCTCAGAAAAAGCGTATGTTTTTTGGTGCCAAGACAGTTGACCTCTTATCGAGTAAGCTATCGCAGTCACAAATTCTCCTCCTAGTCCCAATTCAGCGCAGAGTTTCATGGCAAAGTTTTCTGGCGAATTTTCTTTCTCAGACATATCCCATTCAACCTACACAACAATATTATTTAAGACAAAAAAATTAAAATTTTTCAATTAAAAATTTACCTGATCCACCAAAGAAGTATTCCCAACGTGAATATTCAGCTTGACTATGACTCTCTGGTCTGACTGTTCTTCCAAAAAGTTGTCAGTTGGGAAGCCGTCGATCTGCTGCCTGATAGCCTGTGCGATTGCAGGGACAAAACTCAATGGATTCAAATCGAGATCGTCACAAAGAACTTCGGCGAATTGCTCGGGTGTGATAAGCGATTCGTTCTTGTTCCAGGTGAAAGTATCTCGCAGCTTTTGCCCTTCGATCTCCATATCAAGTCTTATCGGCACTAAGACTTCAACCTGAGAAGCATTCTCAGAAATCGAAGACGGATCAGTGTCATCGTAGCAAAGAGGAAAACTTCTAACCTAAGCATAAAATTGCACAAAAGCATCAGCTTAATTACTAGACAAATATGTTTCCCTGAAATATAAATTAGATAAAATTAGCAAACAAAACTAATAAAATAAAAATTGTTTCTATTTTTAGGTTAGGAGATGTATAATAATTAACATTTAAATATTACAAGTAAGTATTAACAAATAACAAGAATTTAAAATAAATCAAAGCATATACCTTTTTGTTGACTACTCTATTCCTGTTGATTGGTGTCGCCTGTGGCACTGCATCAAGATGTGAACTGTTCGGAAGAGACGGCACCCAGGGCATCGTCTTCTTCGGCTTTGCTGAGCTGGTAATTGGCGTTTCAGATGAGTGGACAGAAACAGCCTTGTACTTGTCATCATTCCCATCAATAATGTCCTCCACTTCTGAAGCCCTGAGTAGTGAAATGCTCGAGGCAAGACAGTGTGAACTGAGGCCGAGCTCGATGAGCCTCTTCCTTTCCTCGTTGCCGAGCGTGCGCCTATACATCCCAGGGTACCTCTTGTAGAGTGAACCCCGGAACATACGGAGGTAGTTTCCCACCTATTGAATATCAATAATCAATTAATAATTATAATAAATATTATAAGGTTAATAAATACACCACTAATCTATGTGGATATGTTACAGTTAATGTTAATCTGTAATGATTTGACGCTCACCTTAGAGGGATCTCAGTGTGTTACATGTTATAAACTTCAAAGTCCCGAGTTTCTAGCTTAATCTTTCTTTTAATAAGTTATATTTTATATATTCCATTTAAATAGGGGTGGTTTGGACTTCCTAGTATCATATTAAACACGTACCAACGGCACTTTAATATAAATAATAAACAATTAATTTTAGCTTATTGAATATCAGTTTATAATACGCTCCAAGATTTTTAAAAAAATCGAGCACTTGTATTTTCTTATTTATTTCAAACTGTAGGCATTTTTATCATTAAATTGATTACAATATAGTTATGTTAATTTAAACCAAATTAAATGAGATTAAAAATTTCATGCGTTTTAATAAAAGATGTTGAATTATGATGGTTTGAAAGAAAATTCACCAAAAACCGGAAAATCATTTAGTGATAGTTTTAAGTTTAACACCTAGTCTTGCTCTAATAACTCGTTTTGCCTCCTCTGAATTCACATAGTGCCTCAAGTCTCCAAAGCAGCAAGTAAATAAGCATTTTTGTCTTGTGAAACAGAATCCCAGTCTTCAACAAGAATTGTTTGAAGCCGTTAAATGCTTGATGGAGGCAGCGAATGATGTCCAACCCATGTCACCGATGTCATGTCCCATAAGTTTTCTTTTTGATTCATGTCAGTAGAATGTACCAGATAATTTATTGAGGTCCCAACAACCTTCAAGTAATGGGTGACAACTCAAGCTACATGCGGTCAAAATGCATTACACAAAGTTGTCCCCAATAAATGGAGCAAATGGTACCACTGTTTCCAGAAGAACTTCCTTAATGTAACTTTAGTGCAAAGATCCAATCGACATGACGATCAGTTCATTATGGGCATGGATGCTGATTCAACCCACTACTATCTTTGTAAAGGGTCACGCATGGCACATGAAGTGAATCGTTCTCCACATCACACATGAAGACGGTCCCGGTCATCTGACTGCCACAAACCAAACCAGCACTCATCTGTGAAGAGAACAAGCCCCCCATTGTTCAAGTGTCCAAACGAACCGCTATTTGCGAATTGTCTTTAAACTCCATGCCTTTCTAATAGTAGAGATACTTCTGACTGTTTTAGAGTTCATTTTACAATGGAATGTTCGGAGTTACTACTTATCAAGGAAGCCTATAAATGACATTTCCATATGTGGTGAGAGCAATCGAACGATCACCTCTAGCTGCCCTTCTTTGCAGTTGTCCACTACCGTATCTCAATCGAGATGCCTGGTAGCCCCAAAACCAATGTAGACCACAGCGCAGCACACCATACCAAGGAATTGGGCTTTGTAATGTACTCTCGTCACTGGCCAAAGCATCTGCCTGGACAAGATTTTCTCAAAACCATGCTTTTGAGAGAAAAATTGTTTAATAGAATTTATTGTTTCATCAAAGAAAACACTTTAATAAATCAACTAACCCACTCAATAATTTGGCCCTGGAAAGGATGAAATTGAACTGATATTCTTTATTTATCGGAAGAGTGTGTATAAGGATTAGTAACACTGTAAGGGTAAACAACAAGTAATTAATGTTTTATTTTCGTTTTATGTCAATTACTAGTCTTTATACCTAGTTGTGGAAAATAAACAAATAAATACTTTTTTGTTTTTGAGTGCTCAACCAACATTATAAAGTACTAGATAGCAGTATTACTAGGATACACAGTATATAATACATTTGTTCACATTTTATTAAATAATAAACGTGAGAATCACCTCAGAACCGATGCAGTAGTACTCTCCATTTTCCTCCACCTGGAAGCTAATCGGCTTGTCGCCGAACGTCCTTATCGACATCCTCGAGCCTTTAAGAGTTGAGACTGCAGAGTTCGAAACAGTAACAGAAAAACGACTCGAGTTAGAAACAGAAACGCCGACAACAAAACTTCTCACAAAGCCGTCCGACAACAGTCGACAACAGAGTTAGGCTTAGGCTCCAGAGCTGGAACTACAGCAGCACTAGAAACTTTGATCCAGCGGAAAGACTACAGTGACGTCACCCCATTATGACAAAAATTTATTTACCCCAGTATAAATTAAAAAAGAAATCCTACGTTATCATATTCCATATATTTTAATCAACTTACGAAACTCGTAATCCATAACCAACAAAAAACAATAACATTTTTTCTCTTATTTGAAATAAATCAAGAGTAACAAAAAGTGTAAAAAAGGCAGGGCTGGAAATCCTGCGTTCAACCAAACTTTCCAATTTTTACAGAATTCAGAGCTTACAATCACGAATCCTTAGATCCATCGTCAATATTATTATTCTATGAATAACTCTCAGAATAACTTGCGCGATATTATATACCTGTGACCTGAATGTTTCTTTTCAAATTATTTTGCTACAATGTAAACCAGTTAACTTTTAACAATAGATTAGGGCATAAGATTTCTTCTTCAAAATATTTAGCTACTAAATGTTAGACAGATAAGCTTTGAACATTTGTGCAAATCAGTAGTAAATAATACTTTAGGTTTTGGGACTCAGTAAAAATAAAAATAAATTGTTTGGACTTGTCTGATCTCCTGCATTTTTGTCATATTTAATTAAATGCAAAGATCCAAGGTAAAGAACATGAAAAATGTGATAAATTAAATTATATATAATCCTAATTACTCAATATTTTATTAATAGATTGTTACAATGTATTACAATGTAAAAAATTAATTTTTGGTTTTAAAAACATGAAACAGTTTATTTAAATTTAAAAAATAATCATTTGTATACATACATAGTCATGATTTTATGGATTTTCTAGTCCAGGCCCCAGCACTCGTCAGTCTCGGGGCCTTGATGGTTAAACGGAGCGGTGTACATATGAGTTCCACTTTTTGTTGAACAGTATGTGTGCACTTCGATCGGTCGTCTGTACTCGCATTTCAATATGTGCTCCGGTAGATCATCCACTTCGATGTACTCGGTGGCATTGTAAGGGCATCTCACCTTGGTACCGTTGTATTGTTTGAGACACCGGACCAGATGATACTGCAGCCTTTCCTTCTTGAGAATGTGCGAATCGTCAAGAGGGCACTTGACCAAAGTAGACTCCTAGAAATCGGTGGGTAAGTAATCAAAGGTAATTTAATTATAATGTCATGCTGTACAGGCATTGGGTCATTTATTGGGTCCGTCTTCACGGTGAGTAGGAACCTAACAAGTGACAATGCCAGTTCAGCATAACTTCACTGGCTTGCAGACCAACACCCAGCATCAGTACAGCAGTTATAACACACCGATGGACAAAATTAACTCACCACCCTTAAATTTTAATGTATTTAGGTTTATTCATATTTTGCATATCAACATTTAAAAATAAAATGTTTATTATCTAATTAAAAAAAACTTTTTTCGCCCCTTTAATACTGAGTATTTCCACCTCTGGCACGAATCATGTTCATTAAACACCTTGCATCCTGAATAATTCTTTCCCATTCATCAAGAGCAGTCATTTCCAATTCTTCTATGGTCTTAGGACCTGGGATTAGCCATTGTACTCATTGCTTACGTTGGTTCTGAATGTGTTTGATTGTGTTCAAATGCGGACTTTGGGCTAGACACACCAAGCACTCAATTTCAACATCATTCAGATAGTCATCCACAATACGTGCTCTATGGCATACATGCATTGGCAAGAATCTCTCACTGACGTGAGGGGAGGGGGGCAAATGGCCATGTTCTTTGATTGAGTCTTGTAAGACAGCTGTGTGAAGTTGACATGGCGCAAGAGATTTTTCTCACACACAACCATTCAGTTCGAGCGTTCAAGGAAATGCCACCCAAGAACAACGACCCACCGCGGTATGTCATCTGAAGGATCATACAGCATGAGGTGTACCTTTCTCCTGAGCCTCTAAGAAATTACGTCCATCTGAAGATTTGAGGCTAATTCTCACCTCATGTGAACTCGAATCTTCCTATGTCCAATTCACATGTTCCCGTGCGAATTGAAGCCTGGCCACTTTCTCAGCTGTGGAAAGAAGAGGTCCATGAACCGGTGCCGGGCCCAAAGGTTATTTTCATTGAGCCTTCTTCTTACAGTCCTGGAGGAAATCAAAACATTTCGGACTTGTCTTATAAGATTTCTTGCAGTTTTGAAGAGCCTGATGACGGATGAATCCATTGTCTCTCTGGTCTGTAGACTTAGGTCGACCATGTGCCTTCTAGTGTGAAGCCCTGTTTCTCTGAAGCGCTGAAGAACTTTTCCATATATAGAGTGATCATTCGGTCTCCTGGCAACTTCATGCTGGCCGTATCCTTCCTCTAATAATGTTAAGACCCTGACACTGTCATACTCAAATGCCTGACTGCAGCCATTGAAAATGGTTAAAAAATAACAAAAATATCAAATGAAATGAACGAAGGAAAGAGATTAATTCAAAGCAAAGCAGGCCCTTTAGGCATAGCAGAATGTAACGGCGTAATGGTACTTTTCGTGCAAATGGGATTAATCAGTTCAAAAGTAAATAAGGAAATAAACAAAGCATTATTTACTGTTTATTTTTACTACAATAGCTCCTAATTACCTACAACTAATGAAAAAAGATAATGGATTTAATTTTAAACTAAATAAATTGAACGGTGCGTTAAATTTGTCCATCAGTGTAGTTATACAAAAACGACATCTAAATTTACTAATAACTTTGTTGTCTTTTTTATATTAAAAGTCAGTTTTCTTGTTTTTCAAGTTTAAACAATGAACAATAAAATGAAACAAAAAAAATTATTTGATGATTTATTTTATTAAAAAATATATATATATATATTTAGAAATAAATACTCACATAAACCATCGTGAGGATAATCTATGACAACAGACAAAGTATAAATTCAAAATAAAACAATAACTACAGCTGAGCAACAATTGGTCAGTTCTATGGCACCAGTTGGTGGAAATACAGACCACCTCATCTCTATCCCTGTGTTCATCACATTTGATTTTATTGCGTACTTCATTCTGTACTAGGTGAATATTTCCTTAATAAAACTTAATAGAAAATCGACAGTTATTCCAATTATGCCTTAGTTCTCTAAAAAATTCAACTTGGACTTAACATTGGATGATTAAGTTTTACAAACATGTTTATCTTTATTTGTAATAGTTTAATTTAAATTTGGCAAATACAAGTTTATTTAAAGGACTTGTTACACATTTGTATTCAGTAAGTTCTATGCACCGTTTTTACCTAGACTGCACTAAACATAAGAAGTATTTTACCTTTAAAATAATAAATTGGAGAGACGAAGGCAGAAAATGGCTAAGGCCAAGACATACCAACCTTTAATTAGTCACTAGCAAGTGTTGGTTGTAATACATATTATATTATTTTTAGTTGATATTAATTACACTTCCTTATACAGAAAAGTTAAATTTATACTAATATAAACGATATTACGCTACTTCAAAAAAGAGAAAATTGACAATGGCCAGTACTCAATTTGTTTCAGTTGACTCAAGGAAAGAATTGAGACTATACATTTTACCAACTTTAATAACTTGGAATCAATAAAAATGTTTTAATTTTTATTATTTTTACAACTTGGGAGTATAATAGTATAACTATATTTATTTTTATAAGTATATTAATTACAACATACTTATTTTAACATAAACCAAATTAAAATTATCAGAAATTTATGAGTTTATATAAAGATTAATTAATTGTCATTATTTGAAAGAAAATTAAACAAAGCACTGAAACTCATTTAGTGATAGAATAAATTGTTAGTTTAATTTTAATCTATCATTAAATGATTTTCCAATGTTTTGGTGAATTTTCTTTCAAATCATCATAATTAATTTTTTTTATTAAAACACATGAATTTGTGATCTCTTTAATTTTGTTTATATTGAAATAACTATGTAGTAGTTAATATAACAATAAAAATACATAGATATAGTTTTGATTTTTTTTTTTTTTTTTTTAACGTGTTTCCACATTAGCTCCAAATAATCATCATGTAATGGTCACTAAACACCACACATTAGCTATAGCATTATTTTTTATGACTATTTGGTCACTAATCACCACACATTATTTTTTATCTTTAAGAGTGTATTTACAGTACAAGAAGAATTCTCAAGAAAAAAATTCTAATAGTGCAGCCAATATATTATATTTAAGTGATATTAATTATGCTTTCTTACGCTGAAAAGTTAAATTTATATTAATATAAACGATATGCTACTTCAAAAAAAGAGAAAGTTGACAATGGCCAGTGCTACAGTTTGTTAGTTGTTGTTAATATAACAATAAAAATAAATAGATATAGTTTTGAAAAACTTTTTTTTTTGTGTGTATTTGAGTGTATATTTAGAGTACAAGACAAATTCTCAAGAAAAACTACCAATGATAAATGGCTAAGGCCAAGATGTATCAACCTTTGATATATATGATAGGGGTTGTAATATATTATATTTAGTTGTTATTTATTATGCTTCCTTACGCAGAAAATTTAAATAGATATTAATATAAACGATATTAAGCTACTTCAAAAAAGAGAAAGTTGGCAACAGCCAGTGCTCCAGTTTGTTTCAGTTGACTCATAGAAAGTAATGAGACCAAACGTTTCTGCCCAAGTTCAGTGAGTCGGGTTCCGAAGGGGTTGCCATTTCTTACCTTGACAGGAGAAAAATTATGAACGTCGGGAGTAAGTTATCTGGGTCATAAGTTTAATACATAGACGGGCGAGAAGATCATAAATAGATTGTATTTATTCGCCATTTAATTATTTATTTTAAAATTCGTCCACAAAATAAAAAACAAAATTAGCGAATAAAGAAGACAAGGGAAAAGCCATTTCTTTCTGACTTGTCCCAAATTTTATTGTGTTGTGTTTCTTTTATTTTATTTCCATTTTTGGTGAGTCGATTATTTTACTGTTATTTTCTTTTAGTTTTTTCTTCTTCTTTTTTTTATTTGTTTTGTTTAAACTTGTAAAAATGGCGAGCTTCGCGGCTCAGGCCGCTTTGAGAGCCAAATGGACGGATTTGGTCGAATCCACGGACGTTTCGACGAACGTCACCTCTGGGATGAAAAGCGTTGTCGGTTGGTTGAAACAGGTAAAACACAAGAAAACGCATCACAATTTCATTACTGCAAAGCTCATGTTTGACACTGTCGTAGATGTTTGAGATGCAAAAAATCAAATGCTTTGTAGTAAAAATGCATCGACAGTTGGCCATCATTTTGAAAAGATGTATCACATAACAAAAAAAAAGTTACAAGATTTCGCTGCACAGTTTATCTACGTTAAACAGCAATTGTTGATAAATTCACTTTACAAAAGACGAACACTGCCAGCATGTCACTTTTTTATTTTGTAGTGTAATGAATTGTCGCACTCATTGTCTTGAAGCATTAAAAACGCAGACAACTTTAATGAATGATTTATTATTCTCAGTTAAATAAAAAAATAAAATTACTGGTTGTCAGGGCTATTCATGTCACAACTTTGACAGTGAATTTCACACCTCCAGAATGAAAGAAAAAGTCTCTTATACAAATGGTGCAGGAGAAATTTCACTTCATTTTTTCAAGTATTTCATTACTTCAGAAAAACATTAACACCAAAACTACAATTGCTACAAAAAAATCTGAAGACACCATTGGAATCTATGTTAAATTTCTTACAATGTTAAACCTTCATTAGACCCATGACAGTTTTTCATGCTGAAGTTGTAGTCGCTTGAAATATTAAAAAAAAAATAATTTTCTGAATTTGTAAGAATTTTTAAAAAGTTCTTCATTTAATCACCTTTTCAACAGTGCAATTACTTTTTTAATTTTTTTTTTTTTTCAAAGCAGATTTTTCTTTAAGAACAGCAAAAATGATGGGGGGTCAAAGCGACTATACTTTAGCGTGACAAACTTTCATGGTCTGACAAAGGTTGTAACTCGAAGGAAATTTGACTTAGATTTCAACAGTGTGTGGATTTTTTTTTGTAACAATTGTATTTTCAGTGTTTATCTGAAGTAAAGTAACGAAATAGAGGAAAGAGTGAAGTTTCTTCCTTACGTTGATGATCGGACTGTTGTACAGGGGAACTTTTCTCTCTCTGGAGGTGTGAAATTCACTGGCAAAGTTTGTAACACCCTATATATTCTGGGAGTGCTCGACAAATTGACAGAGTAGCCCAGACAGTAGAAACTAAATGAACTTTGCCAATTTTATAAAAGCCTTGGAATGTTAAAATTTTCAATTTACTTCATTGTTCAATCATAAAATGAATAATTTTCCTTTAACAAAACAAAAGTACAAGAGATATTTCCGTATTTAATCTTTAAAAGCTTGAGATTCTAATTAAAATATATTATCCTTTAACAACTAGTATGCACTACAGTTGTTTTCATTCTTATCCCTTAAAAGTACAGGATGAAATAGATATTTTCAAATTTTTCCTTTTAACATATATTTTGAGCACAAGAGTGCCAAATTTATCCTTTAAAAATACATAAGTACTAGAAATATTCTAACATGACAATTTAAAAGCACAATACATTTTTCATTTTTATCATTTAACAATTTGAAAGCACAAGAGATTTTTTAATCTTTAATAACTTAGGTACACTACAAATGTTTTAATTTTTATTCTTTTTACAAGTTGAGAGTCTAATTATTTTTATTTGTATAGCATCTCAAAAGTAGAGCTGTCATATTCATCCTGTAACAACTTGGAAGTACAATAGAGTTTTTAATATTTAATAACTTAAATATTTAAGTTTAAAGTAATTTAAATTTTTTTATAAGTTTAAGATGTATTGACCACTTTTTACTCAAGAATGATCCGAATCTCAGTATAGTCTGGATGAAAAACAAATTCAATTGTTATCTGCCAAGCTTTCGGCCTATTTTAAGATCTTTATCAGGGTCCATATTAATTTTAAATTATGAATACATATTTGTACTGTTACAATATTGTTACAGTCCTTGGCTACGTTGAGGCTATCTTTAAAGAAATTTGAAACAATTTATTAAAAACTTATGTAAATCTGTACACTGTATAATAATTATTAATTGTGTAGTATCTATATAGTTGTATTGATGGTTGAATTAATTGTACAAATATGTATACACAATTTTTAATTAACATCGTTCCTGATGATGACCTTAAAAACAAATCTTGGTAGATAATTAAATTTGTTTTTCCATCCAGTCTTTACCGAGATCTAGATTATTCGTAATTATTTTTTTATCTAACATCTCGAAAGTAGATCTGTTAGTTTTTTTATCAACATAAAGGGACAAGGGATATTTTATTTTTTGTACTTTTAACAACTTGAAACCACTGTGTTGGCTGAGTGACTTATAAAAGTAAAAGAAATATTTTCATTATTATATTTTTGTCAACTTAAGAAGTAGAAGTACAATATTTAATTTTTCATATTCATCCTTTAACTACTTGGATAGGTAACTTAAGTGCAAGTCAGATATCATTTTTTCATTTATCTAACATTTTGAAAGTAGAAGATTTCCTATATTTATCTTTTAATAGCTTAGATGCAAAATATTTTTTCATATGGAGACCGCAGGTTCGTATTTGCCATGTTTGTAGTGCTGGATTGGATTCTGGCATTGTCGAATTTTAATTGATATATCTTAAAAGTATTTTAAGGTGGTTTGACCCCTCGTCCGCGACACCTAACGGGTAGATAGACGTTAAATCCTCCTGTAAGATGGGCATTTTTTCTTTACTTTCTATTTTTTATTTTTTTTTCATATTCGTCCTTAAACAACCTAGATGCGCCAAGAGATATTTTCATTTCTATTCTGTAACCGCTTGGATTACAACAAATTTAATTTCATGTTTCTTTCAGCCACCCAAAAGTACAAGAGATATTTTCATATTTATCCTCTTTGACCATTTGGATGCACAACAAATGTTTTTCATTTTCATCCTATAGAACTTGAAAATGTAAAAAATTCAATTTAATATTTTCTTTCTTGGAAGTGGAAGAGATGTTTTAATATTTATCCATTCGACTGTACGGAAGTTGTATGTATTTTTTTTTTTTTTATAAATTTGCAGTTCTGAAGGGCATAACAATTCTCAACAAGGACAAACTCAATAGTACAAAAGGATAGTTCTACTATTCAATTGATGTACTCACTCCATCATAACCGTTTCTATATAGGACAAACTCAATACTTAAAAATTACCGAGTTCTAATTAATCAATATTTTATTCTTCTTTATGAATGGAGAGGGTTTTTCATAAAAAAAATATGTTTCTTTATTATCTATTAAAAAGGAAAATTATTCCTACTTGTCTTGAGTGTATGCAATGATATATCAATAGCTTTTATTAAAGTATAGTATTAAATAGCTTGATTAGAAGTTACTTTTGTTTTAACTAATAATTATTAACTGAACTGGTAAGTTTCTGCTATTCTCCATATATAGCTGCTTGTTCATATTCTTCCTATGTTAAATGATAGTTTGATTCCAACCATTTGCTTATCTTATTATTAGCTTTTAGTATATGTATTTCACTTAGATACTGTTTAACTATTATCACTTGGAAAGTTACACTATCATTCTTATTTACAGGCATCCTTAGATGTAAGGGAAGTTGGCCGAAGAACCTTGACAAATCTGAGTATGCCGCAAGAAAAGATCACAATTTTACACTACAACGATGTTTACAATGTCGACCAAGGGAAAGCTGCTCGTTTCCTTACTGCGATAAAGCAGTTCGATTCTGAGACGCCGCTCGTTTTGTTCAGTGGAGATGCACTTTCGCCTAGCATGCGTATGTTTAATCTAACAATTTATTTTATATAGATAATATAATCTATTGTTTTTCCAGTGAGTACACTGACAAGCGGCGCGCAGATGGTCCCTGTACTAAATGCAGTAGGAACTCACTGTGCCGTATTTGGCAATCATGACTTTGGTAATTGTATAAAAAAAATTCTGTTCGTGTTTTATCCTTTTACATCAATAAAACTTCAGTAATTGCTAGATTTCGGCCTGGAAGTGCTAAGCAAGAGGGTGCTTGATACAAACTTTCCGTGGTTGATGTCAAACGTTATTGACAATGAAACTGGACGAGCACTCGGAGATGGAAAAGTCACTCATGCTGTAGACTGGAAGTCAAAACGAATAGGGCTGATTGGCCTTGTTGAAAAAGAATGGCTTGAGACCCTCGCTACTATCAATCCTGATGAGGTGACCTACATCGACTTTGTCGAAGCTGGCCAAAAGTTAACTTCCCAACTTAAACAAGAGGTGTGTAAGCTTTAATATTTACTAGATTATTATAATCTATTGTCATGTTTAAAAAATCATCTAATTAATTAATCAAATTATTGTTAAATTTTTTAAATAATGTTGGCGTTTGTTTTTTATTAAACCGTACTTCTCAGGGCTGTGACATAGTTATAGCACTCACACATATGCGTATGCCAAATGACATGAAACTGGCAGAAAAGTGTGATGAAATTGACCTCATACTCGGTGGACACGACCACGTTTATTCTGTCGAAATAGTCAACAACAAGTATATCATAAAGTCGGGGACTGATTTCGACCACTTTTCTAAAATCACACTCAAATTTGAATCAGGCAGCCATGGATTTGACATCACAGTCGACAAAATTAAAGTCGATGAGATGTACGACGCTGACCCTGATTTGTCCATTGAACTTGAACAGTACACAGGTGAGTTTCTTAAGAGATGAACTGTTTATTTAAAAAATAAATAAAATAAAATGGGAAAAGGAATCTTAAACTGTGATTTTCTTTTTTTTAAAGAATTGATTGAAGGAAAAATGGATGAGGTTCTTGGAGAGTTTAATGTAGAGCTGGATGGACGCTTTGAAATGATAAGGACAAGTGAAACAAATCTTGGTAACTGGGTATGTAAAAATAACTAAAAAAGTTCATCTTTTTCTGTGTTCCTTTTATCAATTTATTAAAAATCATACTTGCAGGTCTGTGATGTGATTTTGGCTGCAACAAAAGCTGATCTTGTTATTTTAAACTCAGGAACTCTTAGATCTGATTGCATTCACCCTGCGGGCCCTTTTACAATGCGGGATCTCATGATGATTGTACCTATTACCGATCCATTAACTGTTATTGAACTTACAGGTGGTTTATCATAAAAACTATAAAATTTCTTTTTAGTCATGAAAAATCAATTGAAACATTTATGTCCAATTGACCATATTAATTATTTCAATTAGTTATTCTTTTTTATGTAAGGTCTTGGTTGAGATGAAAAAGTTAAGGGTCATGAGTGGGATTCGAACACACGCCTTAGTTGCTATCAACAGCCGAAGGTAGTGGGATTGAATCCTGCTAATGAAACTAACTTTTTCATCTCAATCAAGACCTTACATAAAAAAGAATAATTAATTGAAATAAGTGGAAAATTAAGAGGTAAAGCTTTATAAGAGGAATAATTCTGATCATCTTCAAATGAAATCTAAAGATTAAATTAAAGAAATAATTAAATTACAATTTTAATTAAATTTACAATTTCAGGAAGAGAAATTATAGAGGCTTTAGAGAATGGTGTTTCCATGTATCCAAAGTTGGAAGGAAGATTTCCACAAGTTGCCGGGATATCTTTCGCCTTCTATCCTGGCCGTACTCCTGGTAACAGAATTGAACGCGACCTCGTCAAGATTGGAGATGAATACCTCAAACCCGATAGCAAATACCAGCTTGCTACCAAAACTTACCTTCGTCAGGGTTCAGACGGTTACACCGTGTTCAAACAAGCCCCTATAATCGTAAGTCATATAAGTAAGCAGAATCGGTATACGATATTAAAATGTTTTTTCTTCAGGTTGATGAAGAAAATTGTCTTGAATTAGGCCTGGCTATTCAGAACCATTTCAATGCAATAAAAATACGCTTAGGAAAGACAAAGCAATGTTCCAAGCATCGTCAGTCTCTTGTAACGCTCTCAAGACGCCATTCACTCGTCAGAATGCTCGATGGGGGTGATCTTGATGGTCCGACGCCTCTTAGGAAGCATTTACCAAACTCGGATGCCGTGCCTGAGAAAGTTCCTCGGTTTTCAAGACGTGCATCACTCGACGAACTCGAAAATGAATCTTGTCTACTGACCCCAAGGATTGAAAGGCGAATTATCACTCTGACAGAACAGGTATTTACCATGTTTACCATAAGCAAACAAATATAATTAATTTAATTGTCTCAATTTTTACAGCTTGGGAAGGACCTCTTAGCTGAAAAAGAACGATCTTTTTCAGATACATCCATAATACCTGAGGAAAATGAAATTTCTCCGCAAGATTACTCGTAGTAGAACAAACGCTTCCGTAAATTAATCAATTAATCATTCTGCACAAATGGCAATTTTTAAACTTTTCCATTATTGTCACAGTTTTAAACTTTTAAATAATCAGTTCACAATAATACATAATAACACTACCAAATGAAAAATAACATCAATTACTCTTTAAACATATATTCAATCAAGATTTTAACGTTTAATGCTTCTTGCAGCATAATTCTTAATATGCTACTATAAATTCATAAACATAAAGTATAGATGAAAAATATAGATTGCAAATTTTGGACAGGGTATTCTGTCCAATAATTTTCTAGTCAAATGTGACACATAGTAGAGTATATAATAAATATACAGCTGTATATAAAAATATGTACATTTTCGCCTCGCTTTTAAGTTGATTTGTATGCAAAAGACATTGTTATTGTTTATTTAACTTATTATGTTTATACAATATATTAAAATATGATTTACAACGACAATTGAATTTTTTAAATTTCCTATTTAATAAGAAAATGGCATGCTTAACTTTTATTGAGATTTTTTCTTGAAGTCAGGTGATTGTTGTTTCCAATCATTTTGGTCTCTCGAACACTTTTTACTTTTATTTTTCATGTGTTGGTGATTCCTCATTTTACAGCAGTTAACGACTGTTATGTTGGCTCTTGATATTTTTTATAGTAAGGGCAATTATTAATCAAAAGTGTGATTTCTTCTCAGTATATGGACCCGCAATTTAGTCATTCCCGACCATCTTGTTCTGCCTAATCTCACTGTGTTAGACAAGTATGGCATTTTGCAATTTTTAGTACCAGACATAGATTAATATTTATATTTTTAATTTGTTTATACTTTAGATTTATAAGTACAGGGATATTTTATATGAACCCCATGGTGCCAGTATTTTTGAAAAAGAAAAAGCTCATTTCAACACCTTGAATTTGAACCCTTACAGCAATGAGTCGTTGTGCCAATGCCTTAATCATTGTGGCCATCGACCTTTCTTTAAATATTGTCAAATGAAAAAGTTTGTTCAAATTTGGTATTCTATCCTTGCAGCAGTAGCATTACCATTGCATTAATCATAAATGAAATGTATATCAGCAAGACATTAGGAAATAAAAACATAATTTAAATCACCAACATGAAGACGTCAGCTGATAACATAAAGCAAACTGATTGAATCGAATAATAAAGAACAGACACGAAACTCAAAGAGCCAGACGGATTTCTTGGAAAAATTGAGCATGCCCTCCCCTCATCAACACTGGTTTTTGTCAACAAAATGCAAAATTTTTGGGCCTACCAGAAGTGCAATCCAAAAAGGTGGGTATACCGCTGGAAGCTAATTGAATGGGTAACTTTTGAGGAAATTCGCAAAACTCAGGAGTTTGTAGTTAATAATAGATACCAATCCAACATTTTCAAAAAATTCCAAATTTTTTATAAAAGTTTATAACCAATTTTAGTAGAAACTAAGCAAAAAAAAAAACCTGAAATTACTTCTTTACCGTCGAGATTTGGTCAGGAGTTTATAGAAAGTTTTTGTCGCATATGGTGAGTAGAATCATCTGAAATTTTCGACACTTATCGTCAGTCACACTTCCAAGTTCCTGAAATAATAAAACTTAAATTTTTTTTTCAAAAAATTATTTTTATTTACAAAAACAAAAGCTCAATTCGATATTAAACATCTGTTTGTACAAAAGGAAAAAAAAAGACAGAGAAACTGTCCTGTCCTGTTTGTTTTTTATCATCAACTTTTAAAATTTTAATTTACTCTTAACTTTTTTCTTTTTATTAGATCACAGATTTATTGCAAAAAAATTAAAAGGGCAAAACACTATTTTGTAAATTGCAAACGAAAGTTACATGTATAAAAAAATATGTAATAAATAATATATTACATAGCACTTTTGTTATTTACTTAAATATATATTACACATTTTTAAATGTAATAATAAACAAGTCTTTTACATATATTTCCACGTTATAAATCCATGTTTAACTTTCAATGTACCTGCATAACATACTAAAGTCATATAATAGACTATCCTCTATATTTGTATATAGTTGTGCTATAATATTGTATATTTACAGTATCGTATTTATATATAATACTCTTCAGTGGGATTTTGTAAATATTTTTATTACTTTGTTTTGAATTTTTTTTTTTTACTGGAGAGATTGTAAGGCGCCAAGAGGAAGAAGGTTAGAAACACCCATGTCACCTGTAACAAAAGGAAAGAATTTTTAAAAATAATTTCAGTAATTTACACAATAATGACCAATTTTAAGAACAGTTTAAAAACAAATTATTAATTTAAAAAATAATTTAACAAGTAAAATTAACTAAGTATTCTTAATATTAATTAGAAACTAATCATCCTGAAATCATGGCAAAATATGAAACTAAAAACATATTGATATGTTGATGACATTATACGTCACAATGGACAGCAACTTTGGCAATAGTAGTTTTATACATAAAACAGACACATAATTACAGCACCTACATGCAAACAGTAAAAAAATATAGCATATGAAAAACTCAATTACCAAAAACGACGTCAGTGGTCGCAACAGTTAGGAAAAAAAAACGACCTTACAAGCAGAAATTAAATTCACATGCATAGGAAGAGGCATAGAAAAACAAAACTACTTAGGCCATAACTATAAATTAGGCATTAAAACTGCACAAAAGAATACAAATGTAACTAGAAGCGTTTGTTGTCACAGCAGGTTCAACACGAGACAATTTATAAAAACAGACAGTGTGTGCAAGTTTTATCGGTTTTTAGAAAAAAAAAAGTGAAACTTTCAAAATATAAATGTATTTTATTTTTAACCCAAAACACAATTTCCTTCATTTTCTATAAAATACTGCCAACGTTCTGGCATTCCAAGGTGTTCCACAACAAGGCTTTGTCTTTGATTTGTCTCTCTCCATTATGAAAAAGTCGAAACCCTGTTGACTCACATGTTCAGTTACTACTAGTTATCACTGTGAATTCCACATAAATTTCAACTCTGCGCCTGAGATCAAATTCGTACAGCAAGCAATGCCCTCAAATGAATTTTATCTACTTCCATGTCGTCAATCTTTATAAAAAAGATAGTCCCTACTCATAGTTGAAGGAATTTACAAACCACATCCCTCACATGAATTGTAAAAGTGAATCCAGTGACCCCCCCACCAACATGAGGTTCACTAAGAAGGTGGTTTTTAAGGATGCTCAATTTGAACATGCAAAAAGTAGGAATTTAAATATTATATTAATAACTACTGTAAGAAAATAATTATAAATTAGTGATTAATTAGTGTTTTTTATATATTAATTAATAAAAATAAAACTTTTTTTTGAAAAAATTATTTTCAAATCAACAACAAATCAATTCAATATGTTCTTTTTTGGAAATGCTATGTAGACAATATTTTATCCATATGATCGGGAACATTAGAGGATCTAAAAGAATTCCTACAACTAATTAATTCTTTACACCGTAATATAAATTTTACAAGTGAAATTAATAAAGATGGTTGTTTAACTCTTTACACTTAACACTGCCATATTAAACAACCTAATCAAAATAGACTTGTATAAAAAAAAACCCAACTACAGATACCATGATACCAGCGGATTCTTCTCACCCATGGAATCAAAAAGCTGCTGGTTTCATTTGGCCCATAGACCGTATGTTATGACTTCCTTTAACACCTGCTAACTATAAAAAAGAATTACAAACTATTAAAACCTTAGATAAAAATTATGGATATCAAGAAATATTTATTGATAGATTGCTAATTAAAAGAATAAAAAAAATTAACTTTAAAAGAATCAACAATAGGACTCATCCCACCATAAATGAATCATTAGGTTTTTGTTGTTTGCCATACATTGGTGAACTATCAGAAAAAGTAGGTAAAATTTTTAAACAAGAAGGTTTCAGCGTAGCTTTTAGAAGAGCGTGTTAGAAACAGCCTATCAAAATCTAAAGATAAATTTTACAACTTGTCAAAAAACGTTAATTATGATTGAGATATTACATATAAAGTACAAAGCGGGAGAGAAATTAAAATGAGTTCCTGAAGCACTTCCTAAAACGAACAAATTTTCAGAATTTAAGTACCAACTAAATAACAAAACACAATTTAAATCACCGTGTTACACAGTTTCAACAAAGGGATGGAACTAGATTGGTTTGAGAAATTTGAAATTAAAAAATGTAGAATCGAACATGGAGATAAATGCATTAATAATATAATAGGTTTTTATTTATCTTGTATTTTAAATATGTACCTAAATAATATTAGTCGTACAAATTAATTAATTTAATTTTTATTATTTAATTTTATCATTAATTTACTAACTTATTATTAATGTATTATTTTTATTAATTAATATATATGTAAAAACATACAAATTAATTACTAATTTATAATCATTTTCTTACAGTATTTATTAATATAATATTTAATTATATTAATAAATACTCATTATAATTCCTGCTTTTTGCATGTTCAAAACTGAGTGGCATTAAAATCCAGTTTCTCATTGGAACACCAAAGTCGCATTGGCGGAGGATCAGCAGGTTGACTTTTATAATTCATGTCGAGAGACGTGGTTGTAAATTCATTAAATCTGATGATGAACTATAAGCTTGAAATCCGGATCATTGAAAAAATCTAACTGTGAGTACGAACTATATTTTTATAAAGGTTGAACAACATCCTCACACCAACATTTATCATTTCTATACATGTCATCACGCCGCAATTCTAGGCTGACTTTTTTTGGATAAACTACCCCTTTCTTTCAATGCAGCTTTCCCCACTTTAAAGCCAGTGGGGCTAGTAGTAATAAGGGATCCCATTTATAAGGTTGAAAGGCAAAATTTAAAAAACTTATGCACACACAAAATACAAATTAACTCCAATGAAAACACTCACTCCAATCAAAATAAAACAAACCAAAGAGGAAAATACTCATTCTTATTCTACAATAAATCAAAGCTACAGAAACACCCCTTGACATTTTACAAACTAATAAAAGAACCCAATAGACTAAATAAAACACGGACTAACCATTCACTTAAGACGTACATCAAACCAAACTTACCTAAGGAACAATAAGCTTGATTGTTTGCAAGGTCCACTGGTACAATCGGTAGCCCGAATGAAGCAGTGCCAGCACGGTTGTGAAGCTGTGATAACATTAGGACGTGTCTTACACCAACTTGAAGGAGTTTCTGTTTCACGCCTGGTTGGCGGATGTCTACAACTGGCAGTGCCATATCCACCGATGTTGAAGAAATTTGTGTCCGCCGGCCATGGAATTTTTGCCTGTGGTAGTCAAGTCCTTGCTGCGTCGGGTACTGCGCCGTGCACAGTTCACACCTTGTAAACGAAAGGAACATTCAGGAATTGAACAGGAAGCCTTTTTCTTTTAATACTTACTCAAATGGAAGTTTAGACTGCGTCCTGTGTGTATTAACATGGGCATTTAATGCCTCTTGTGTCTGGAAGACTTTATCGCAGATCTGACATACTAGCCTGCGTACCATGCCAGCTCGCCTTCTTGGCTCAACTTCCTGTGTCAGATCAACAGTTGGCAGCTGTGGTTTGACCTTTAAAAAAGTACAATAAGTTTAACCAATTTTACAACACAAAGTCATATAGTTCGTGTCTGTTAAAACAAGCAGCAAAAGTTTTGTCAGACGAGAAAAAACAAATACCTGAACTTATTTATATATAATTGAGGAAAAATCGAAAATAACTCTCCAAATTGAGCAAACAATTTGACTATTCTGTATAAAATAAAATATATACTGAGATGATTACCTGCCGGGACGATGGTGTGATTGAGACACTTGAATTTAGTTGGGAAGGAGTGTTGCGTCTCAATTGAGCTGTGTTAATCTGTGCGGTGCGAGGAGATCGAGAAACACTAGATGATGGTAATACCTATCGATAAATTGTAATATTTTCCCTCAAAACCTTCCTTAAATGGTTTGAACAAATGCTAAATTAAATCACTCACTGTGATCCCACGAGTTGCAAGCATGTTAGCTACCGAATCATCTTTTTTCTGAGTTGTCACCTGACTCGGCTTGACAAGAGTGATCGAGTCGGGGAGGCGGATCGAAGGTCCGGTATTGTCTTCACGCCGTATTTTCGGGGCCGGAGCGGGCTCTGGAGCGTTGGCAGGTCGCTTGGTCACCTGAATCCCAGGAAGGTTCGGTATGTTCGGGTGAGGCTGTGGCGACTGCTGCACCACCGGTGTAAGCATCACTTGGCTTCCTATCAACCCAAGAAAATAACACCATCTACATATCCCTCATTGAGGTTCAGATAAAAATTAAAATTTACTGAGACCTGGCCATGAACAAAAAATTTACACATTCTGATTTCTAGACCTGCAGTCTTCTCTGGATTTGCATTTATTAATGCAACATTAATATTTGCTCACCTAATGGAAGTTGTGGTGACCTTGAATTTTGAAATGACATCTGGTTTTGATAAGGCTGAGCAGAATATGAAACCGGTATCCGCTCCACTTGCTGAGCTAGCTGCTGCACCGGGCCCTGATGTGCTTCTGCTTGATGGGCAGCCAGATCCGCTGCTGAGGAAAACCCTATTGCAGCACATTTAGCTCCAGCCATGTTGCAGACATAATGGGAGGCCTGGGCTTTGTGTGATTCGAGTTCAGTCGCAGTCGGAAAACGTAGAAGGCACACCGAGCAAGGGAATGCTGAAGACTCAACAAATTCCCCGTTAGTTACCAATGAAGCCATATTTGAGAAAGAGCCTCCAGGTGATGCTATCAGGTCTTCAGATTTCTTGACAGTGAGTATACCCAACGCGGGCTTTGTTTCTTTCGCCATTTCCTTTTCTTTCTGTTCTTCATTGCTGTCTTCATCAACACCTTTTTTAGATGCATTTGATAAACTGTCCTCGTTAGATTCTGCCTCACTGTCTCTTTTCACACTCGTTTCATCATCTTCTCCCTGTTTTTTTATGGAAACACTTACTGGTAAATTAGGCACTTCTTTTTCTCCATTTTCTTGTTTTGTTTCATTGCTGGAGCCTTCTTCATCTTCAGAAAGTTTTTGCTCATCCTTATCTGGTGGTTTCTTTAAATAAAAATGAATTTATTAGTACTGCATTAAAAGAAAAATAATTATAAGTAAATGTTGTTGTTGGAAATAATACTAGATTGAATAAAAGAAGCTTTTTCACAAATATTCAATTAGTTACCATTTTTATTTGAACTTCATTCATTATAAAAATATGAAACTTACTTCAATTTTTTCAATTTTTATGCTAGTGACAGCCTCCTCTTCTTTATCGACCTTATCTTCAGACTGTTAAACAAATCGAAAATTAAGAGAATAATTCAAGCGTTCAGCTACCATTGTATAATACACATACCATTTTTGTTATTTTATTATCTTCGCTAGTGGAGGTGATCTGGAAAAAATTGAAAACAAAACAAAACAAATTAATATAATAGCATGATAAAAGTTAATTTCTAAAAATAGTCTTTAATATTTTGCCGGTGTTTTGATTGAGTTTTTTCTTCTCTACCTTGAACGTCGAAGTACCGTCGGGTTTTCTCTTGACACCGATTTTTAAAGTTACTCTCGACAAAGTATTGTCTTTGTGTTCGCCTAGATTCAGAACATAGAAACAAAAGATAGAAGAAAAGCAAAATATGGAGCGACAAATAAATGATAACAAAAAATATAAATTAACATTTTATTTCTTTATAAGAAACACTGAATCACGAATTTGAAAAAACAAAAGCAAAAAAAAACTGTAATTTAAACACGAATAACGATACTTCCCCTCAGAATCTTTCTCTTGGTTTAACCATGAATAAAAATCCTATTTAATTAATGCACCAGCTCACGTAATTTCTGTATTATTATAAAACGCTGTATTTATAATCAACTAATTTTCTGTGAATTATTGTGTGGACTGCCATAGGGCAGGGACCCACCCTCAAATGCCATGTTAATCACACTTTTTGAGTGTGTTGTATATCAGTATGTATTAGCAAAACATAATGTGTATATATACACAAGAGTTAAATAAAATAATTTAACAAAAAGTAATTTACTATTTTAAGTAGCTGCCACTTTGCTATAAAGACTCTTCTGTGTAAATGATTAATGAAGTTTTTAAAAAAGTATGGTTGATGTCTTATTGGAAATGTAATAAACTTTCAAGATTGGATAAATAAACAAATAAATTTATTTCAAAACACAAAACAGGCAGCAGGAATAAACTCAACAAATTCATTTTATCATGTTTCTTGTACGATGCTCAATGAACATCTGAAAAAGTTGTCAACAAACTTGGCATGTTTGGATTCTACCTAGTAGAAGGGACCTCAACGGATTTACTGGCTGCTAATGTAGTTCTTTGACTTATTACATGCTTATTGCAATTGGAAAAAGGAATAAAATTAGAACTGATGAAATGCAGCAATAATTTAGCCTAGGATTTCTACTATCTGACTGTAATTTTCAAGCTAAAATATGAATCGGACTCATTTTACTTAAGACTGGATTCCTTGAGATGACAAATTTACACAAAATTCTAAACATTTGTGCAACTGAAATAGGCAAATGTAATCAATAATCATAAAAGAGGAAAAATCAGTTTTAAATTTTAAAAATTCAATATGATTCAACATGTAATGTTTTCATTAAAGTGTGAAATAAGAAAAGAAGCATCTGCATAGACAATTGAATGCTAAATTAGCATTTTGATATTTATAAAGCAGGTCTGCATCGTGATTATCCTTTATTATATTATGATCTTGACCACCCTAGTTTTTGCCCGTCCAATGCCTTTTGATATTCCCTAATTATCTTGTTTTACAGTGTGTATGAATTTTGTGTAAGTATTAATGGCAAAAAGCTGAAATACTGGCAGATAAAACTAGCAAGAGTAAAATAATCATATATGATCAAGTTAAGAAAAGCCAATTACCAGAAAACCAGAAAAATTTCATGCGGTTTTTCATTTGTTAATATTTTAATGCTGATCACTGCAAAATATAAAATATTTGTTTTCTCATGGCTTCAAAACACATAATTCGTGTGAACGTACTAGGGCGGCCAAGGCAACTTGTAAAATTTGCAGTGTTCTGTGATGAAACAATAAGTTCATGGATTAACCAACCCAAATTTGGTTCAGAAAATTTGCATCTGGGAATGAGGGGAGGGAAGGTGTCAGTCAGACCTTTTGGTATGGGGTCAGAGTCATTTGGTGACAGCCAATTGTACGATATCCTTGTGTTACTGTACAGGATTTTTAATCGCATGTGACAATCTGATCAAAAAATGTCTATTATAAAGCTTTTTATTGTTGGTCAATTTGTCAGGAACCAATTTGCTCAGCTTTCACGACTTCCCTAGTCTATGCAAGTTTGAGCAATGGTTTAACTGCTTACGAGAATTGCTGCCCTCATTATTCAGACAGAAGATTTACCCGACCATGGTTCATCTTCGATCCCCTCCATCTGAGAAAACAAATTTTTGAACCACTTTTTGGCAGTGTGCTACTTATTGTTTCATCACTGAACGCACTGTAAAGTTTACAAGCTGCCTCAGTCGCCCTTGCAGCGAGCCTTAAATTTATACAAAAAGCCCACACAAATTATGTGTTTTGAACTAATGGGAAAGAAAATATTTTATAATTTACAGTGAACTATTACACACTTTGTCATTATGAAATGATGCGTTATCCTATTGGTATTATGTGATGTAAATTCCTAAACCTTACATGTAAATAGAAATGTTGATTAACGGTTTTTTTTTCTGGTCGGCGAAAGGCAAAGGTCATAGCCGACACGCTAGAAAACCTAAAGTTGGGGGTTAGTGTTTCCCTATTTGTTAATTTTTCTTCGTTTTCTTTTCCCATTACCCCCTTCTTTTTCTTCTCCTTTCTATTTTATGTGTGTGCAAGCGTATGTGCAACACCCACGTTCACACACAGGCGCATAAGGAGGGGAGACGGCCTCACTATTTCCCTCCATTTCTTCCACTCTTCTGTAGCTCTGTGGGCTAGTAGTTTTCACATGCATGGCCTCGTCCCCCACCTTCCCACAATTATTTTCTTTATAATAAGGTGTCCGTGTTAACCTGGTGTGGCCTATTTCCAGTCTTGTTAGGATGATGGCTTTTCTTTTATCCAAATTCTCTGAGACCCACAGCTTAACGTTCGGCTTAATCGGGTTCAGCTTTTCGGTCATCCCAGTCCAGCGTGTTTGCTAGGTGTCCCAGCTTGTTCTTTTTAAATAGTTTTTGACATCCGCTGGACTGATTGGGATATCCGGGTCACTAGGCATCTCCGCCGCTTCCTTAGCCGCCTTGTCAGCCTCCTCATTTCCTTAGAGGCCGACGTGATTAACGGCATTAACACAATAAAAATAAAAACCATACAAACTTTTCTGGTTACCTAGTGGAAGCCAAAAATTGGTGGAAGTGCTGATTTCATGTCCAATTTTTCTTTATTAACTACATCTGGAAAATTTTACAATACATATCCCCCCCACTAAAAAAATCAGAAATTATCTTGTATGAATTATAAGAATTAATTTATCGTGGAACATGTAATCACATAATTCAAAATTGAAACAATGACATCATAGAATTTAGAATAGTTTTGTTAGCAAAGTCAATATTGGATGGGACGATTATTTGGAGATCATGACTGGATGGGACTTTATTGAAAAATAATTTTTGAATCCCAATAAGAAAATAAATTTTCTTCTTAATTTTGTCTTCTATCGTCTGGTAATTTTTATTGGTTGTCAAAGCATTTACATTGGCCAGATAATTTATAAAATAATAAGCCAGATTGGGATTTATGCACCACATTAAAAAAAATTCTATTTTAAACATCGTTAAATCCAGACTTGTAAATAAATTGAACGTTTGCCCACTTGTAATTTATTTACATGTGCTTACACTGTATATATCTGGGATGTATTAGCGTATCAACAAACAAACTGTTATACCAATTGTTGACAATAAAAAAAACCCTTCAATTTCTCTTATTCAAGAGCACATATTTTCTAACAAGTTACTTCAATATTTCTGAAAGTTCATACTTACTAGATTTTATTGTAAGAACTGAATTTATTTTTGGGAGTTCAATTTTGTTTAAACTCCTTTTTGATTTTTTTTTTTATCATTGTCATCAACTCTAGCACAATATTGCTAAACTTCCCGTAAAACATTTTTTGTGAGAAGAATAAAATCAATGCACAAAATTTTCATTGCGGGATTTACTCAGATAATGTACCTAATTTTCGGTGGAATGAAGGTCATCGTGAAAACTTCAGACTGTATCGGATTATAGAAAATCACTGGAGCTTTATTTTATAACAAATATAAAATGTGGATTTTTACTTTGGTAACAATAAAAAGAAATATTTAGCTGGCCATAAAAACTTTGCTATACACACACCCAGAAAAAAACTAGTCATCTATCTAATATTTTAAAACTGTTACTGGATTTTAAAGACTATTTTCCTTGTTTGTTTACCAGACTTCTTTTCTGTTTGTTAGGTAGAGGATTAAAATAAATCATCATTATTTAAATTCATATTTACTCATTAGTCAAGAGGTTTCCATCTTACTCAAATCTTTTCCTCTTTTTAAATTCAAGTCATTTATTTATCTCATTATTAGTAAAGGAACTCTTTGGTATAAAATGGGCAAAATAAGTTATCAGTGAAGAGGATGACTTGATGAGGATGATCATGGGTGGCTTTTGAATGATGACAGTCAAAGTGAAATAGTGGTCCGTCACAAATGGGTAATTATTTTCATCAACCAAGCCAAGACAGCCCTTGGGCTTCTTTAGCTATTAATGACAGATTTTATCATCTAAATGCCTTTCTTGACCAGAATAGCACCAGGCTAAGTCTTAACAAACACCTATTAGCAGCGAGAAATATCAAATTTTCAGATGAACTGTGAGAGGCTGTCTTATATGGCTTGTAGTTAATTCCAGCAACTGGCCCTCTTCTCATAAAAAAACTGGCATACCGAGCCTGAAGTTCGCCAAACATTGGACATGGACAGCTGAAAATTGGGCCGATATTTTGTTCAAGGAAGATTCAAGGCATTCTCGGTGGTCACAAGATTAATACGAACAAAGAAGAGTTAATGGCATACTGTCCATTTTTTTTTTTTTTTTTATTAATTAATTTTTTTAAATTGATTTTTCATGATGATTTATATACATATTTTTTTAATACACACAAAAGGGAATTAATATTTAACTATCTATGAGTGTCTTGAATAAAGCATTGGATGCTCAGGTTTTTCTTGAGATTTTCACTCGAAAAATTGACAATTGGCAGTTAAATTGAGCATGTAGGAAAATTAAATAAATAAAACATTAAGCATACTTATTGTTAAATTGTGAGATTTTCTCATGGAATCTGACATTGAATCTAAGTTTGAACGAACTTAACTTTTGTTTAAGTCAAGACTTCTGATTGAAACGTGGCTTGAAACATGTTAATATCCGAATTGACACACTTTTAATACACTCCTACCTGACCATTCCATGGTCTTTATTCGTTGTTTTGCGCTTTTTTTTTTTTTTAATTTTTGCCTTCGTTAAAGATGATACACCTGCCAAAAGACAAATTCTAAATTTTCTTTTGCCACCATACTCAACCCAAGGAAAAGCTGGTGAAACAGTATGTAAACCTGTAGCTACGAAGTTGATTGTTTTTTCAGGTTTACAAATGACCAATAAACAGATACTTTTATTTATAATATTATGAACTAATAATAAAAGTAATAATAAAAAAGTAACAAAAATGATAATAACCAAGGCCATCTGCCAAGAGTTCATATCCGTTGAGAAAAGAAAATAAACTGAATATATCATAAAAATAATTATAATGACCAAACATTTAACTTTAACATGAACTAAACTAACATCAAAACAGAAAATAAAATGTAGTTTCTTCTGATAAAATAACAATAATAATAATGTTTACACCAAAGAATCGTACAATTTACCTCTATATATTCACAAACATTTTAACCATGGACTATTGTTCACCTGGAATCTGCTAAAAATACGCACTAATACAAAAGAATAAAAGAAAAGTAAATACATTACTTGATTAGTAATTAAAATTTTCAAAACATTCTAAAAAAAAAAAAAAAAAAACTACAGCTACATCCAACAGGTGTTCATTACTAAAAAAAAAAATTCTGTTGCAGAAAGAGCAGAGGTAAATTCTTCTCGAGATGTAGGGTTTATAATTAAGATTCAACAATTCCCCTTTAGTATTAATTATTATACCCAAATCCTTACCCGACCAATCCACAATATTTATTCTTGATTTTTTTGCATCACTTTTTAACTTTCACCTTCATTGAAGTGTTAAAGTTGAAGCAACTCCAAAAGGTGAAATGCTAATATTTCTTTCATCCCTCATACCTGACCCAACGGAAACTGACTCAGCTGAAGGAAAAACTGGAGAAACGGGATGTAAACCTGTGACGACAGTACGTTACAGTTTTTCTTGCAATCTGATTCAGGCAAACTGACAGGTCACTGATGGTCCTAGTGTGAAACTTTTTTAATTTTTGCCTTCTTTCTATGCTCACCCATGACACACATTTTTCACCACACAGACATTAAAGGAAACTGATACAGCTGAAGAAAAACCTGAGAAACGGGATGAAAACCGGTGACGACATTTGGTTTCTGTATTTTTCTTCCAATCTGAATTCAAACAAACCAATAGACCACTGATGGTCTGAACTTTTTTTCCTAGTGCAAAACTTTTTTAATTTTTGCCTTCTTTCTTTGCTCACCCATGACACACACTTTTCACCACACCGTCCTTATAAAGGAAATCGATTCAGCCGAAGAAAAACTGGAGAAACAGGATGCAAACCTGTAACTAAACGTTTTTTTTTCCTTGCGATCTGTATTCAAAAATACTGATCATGTAAAAAATATTAAAACAATATAGGCTCATTTGTTGTTAAATTTTGAGTTTTCCCTCATGGAGTCTGCAAAATTATGAACCTCTAGTATGATTTGGCTAACCTTGTTGTTTCAATCTATCGCTGGCACTAAAGAACATAACACGATATAATACGCATTGTCAAATCTTTGTCTTTGTTAAAATCCCCTTTTTTCCTTTATAACAAATAAAAAATGTTTTATTTTGTTAAACTATGAGGGTTTTTTTTATGAAGCCTGCATGGTGATAGAATTGGACTATAATCAATTCCTATCATTTCGGTCTACCAAGTGTTTTGAACATTTTTTTTTTTTCAAATAGATTCATTCAATTCATTGTAAAACGTACTATTTTGAAAAATCAAGGTGATGCTTAATTTTTTTACAGGTATATAAAGTTAATAATTTCTACAATAATATACAATTATTTATTTTTACAAGAATTTTGATTTTATGTAAAGGAGAAAAATGTTTGGAAATAGTAATTATTGGAGAAAATATAGTAATTCACATTGCTAGTTTTGTAGAAAAACAGTAGCTTTGTTTAAAAGAAAAAAAAGCCGTGTAATTGTTCGGCCTGTGAGACAGTAGCGTTTCAAATAGTCATTTTAATTAATCCCTTTGCCGGCAAATACAACAATTCTCAATCAGACTAATTAAGTTAATAGGATATAAAAAAAAACATCAAAGATAAAATTACCTTTTGTCTCAGCAGGATTCATAGCGACTGCCAACTGTGGACATCTTAGAAGTAAGGAGATGTAACAAACACGGTCTCAGAAACCGAGGGTATTTTCGTATTAGCGCGATAGAAGCGAGGCGGCACTCATTCGTACGCGGCACAAAAGTTCTCTCAGATGTTTCTCTTTTGAAGGAGAAAAGAGATTAAAAACAAAAGAGCGAGCGGTAAATGGTGTTTTGCCGATAAAAAAAATGCGGACTCCCTTCTTAAAAATATTCCGTTTAATATTGTACAGGGCACTGGGTAGGATTGGAATCGGGATGTTTCCAAGCAAGTATGGCGGGGTTGGGAAGGAAAAGGAAGGGATTGCGTGGCGCTGGGAGTCGGGTGGGGGGAGGTTGCTGAATGCCCGCGCCACCTACAGACCCTAAAGCAGCAAGTTTTCATGGGAAATGGGGAATTTTGGATGATTCCGCCTTTATTCCAACCTCTATTGATCCCGTAATATGGCCGGGGACGGGTGGCGGGGAGGAATTTATGCTCCCCACGTTAATTACGGGAGTTTCCCCTTTTCCTTTCCAACTCCCTTCCACTCTGGCGTATCGATCTCCCCTGCCATGCGGCCCCTATAATATCCTATACCCGCCCATTACCCTCTGCGTCCATTCCATTACCCACACCATTACCTTGTCTCTACTCTTTATACAAAACGCCCTGCCTAGGATAGAGAACATTATAAAGGGTATTACACTTCGGCAGGGAAATTTTCCCGCATGGATTTCCCTCTTTTTTCTCTCCACAAATTATAGAGAACTCCCGTTTCACTCTACGATTCTAAACCAAAGGCTCATCGTAACACCTTTTCTTTACTGCTCAATTATTTTCTGTTAAATATACAAATAATATAACGAGTAATATCGTCTTCTGATATAATAAATAACTTTTTAAAATAAACAAATTATGTAATTTAGTTCCACTCTCTCATTAATAGAATTCAGCGAACAAGAATTATACAAAACATAGATTTATTCAATGCTAGCCTTGCATATTTAAAAAAAGTTAACATTTTTAAAATATAAAAAAAAAGTTTTATAATATTGTACATTAATTTCCTCCTCCTTTATATATTTTACATAATATTACGCATGTATGAATATTTTATATATTGGTAATAATATAACAAGTCTTTCTTTTTTCAATATACAAATCTTTTCAAAAATTAAATAAAACTATATAACTAAAAATTAAATTATTAATAAACATTGCAAAAAAAAATTTACAAAACAAAGACTACACTTGACAAAAGTCGTCAAGTTTCTACATGCTAATTTAAATAATAAAAATAATTATAAATCGTGAAATAAACATTCAGTTGCTAAACTCAATAATTGAATTCACTAACCGATTCATACCTATACTTCCAAGCAGATTTACAATAAGGTTGAGGCTACAGACCATCCCATTTTAGAATATTGTTCAGTTGTTTTGTCACCACATTAGAAAATACTAAGAAATTCAATAGAAAATGTACAATGATGATTTATTCGTACAATCTGGTTTAAAATTACTAGAACATACTTTGATACACCTTACCAATTTATTATCGAATTGGCAGAACTGCAACCACTAAACACAAGATGACAAAATAATGACCTGATATTTTCTTACAAACTCTTAAATAATATGGTCAATTATGCGCAATTTATCAATTTGCTAAATTTCCATGTTCCACGTGTAATACAAGACAAAAAATACTTTTTTCAAAATCTAATTATAATACCAATTATTTAAAATTTGGTCAAATTCCTCAACTCATGGAAACAAGTAGTAATATGCCTTTACATTGTGACATCCTTTATCCTTTACATTTAAAACCGTTTTGTAAGTTGATTTAAACTTTTTTTTTTTAATATTGATCATAGCATGATTATATATTTCTGTTGTTTTCATTTATTTCTTTATCATTCCATGTGATTTCTTTTATAATAATAATATACTTTTGCAAAAAAAAAGAAAAGTTATAAACATTACTTAATATATAATTTAAAGTAAATTTACAGCATGGAGGGTCCGTCTGCCAGAGGTGATTTCCTTTTTATTTGTTTATACATTTCTCTTGTTTAATTACATTTTTATCATTCCTTCTCATTTCCTTTATATTTGTTTATATATTTTTGTTGTTTCATTTTTTAATTAAATTTTTATCATTCCTTCTCATTTCCTTTATACCTGCTGTTTATATGTTTCTGTTGTTTCGTTTTTTAATTAAATTTTTATTATTCCTTCTCAGTTCCTTTAAATTTGTTTATAAATTTTCGTTGCTTGATTAATTTTTTATCTTTCCTTCTCACTTATTTATATTTGTATACACAAGTGTATTATGACACAATACTTACAATATTTTATTTATGTTTGTTATGTTGACTATGTGCTATTTTGAATTATTGTTGTATGTATATTATTATTTATGTTTCAATTATTCATTCATTATTACTTATTATAGTTTAAACTCTTATAGCACTTGTAAGTGGGTATATTTACCTGTATAAATAAATCAATAAATAATTCACAAGATGAGCCCAGTTTTTTAAAATATTCTATCAGTCATCTCTGGAAAATCTCATTTTTTTCTAAATAAGCAACACACAATTCACTTAGAATCGGGCAGACCCTCAAAAAATAATTAAGTTCCTCAATTGCTCCTATGCTACATAGAGCACAGAGATGTTGCTTGGGATCTCTGAGAAAACTCTTGTTTAAGTAGAGCAAATCTAAAAATTAGGCTAAAAATGGCTTTAAAAATCCAATAAAATAATTAACCAGATATCTCACTTTTTTCAGATTTCAATTTCACTCTTTATAAATTCTGGTAGAATTCATTGCTTTAATTTCAAATTTCTGTCTAAAGGTTTCTGTTAGTTATAAATTTAGTAAGTAGTAAAGTAACCCATTTTGGCCACTCATCAATATTTTATTCATTTAAGTTAACATTAAATTACATTCAACAAAAAGATTTTTTATTTCATTAAATCAAGATGTTTCTTTTTTAATCATTTCTTGAGTAATTTAATTAATTTTCTTATTTACTAATTTAATTGACTTACATAAGTATTTCTGATGGACCCTGCCATAACACTAAATCGATGACATGCGAGAAGATTTATTTTATGACCATTCACTATGATGCCTCCATCTTCCAAGAACTCTTCCTAATTAAACAGAGCAAATAAGAGCGGGCCAAGCAAGGTGCTTGGTTGCACACCCATACATATTTCAAACGATTAAGTAGATCTTTAATTACTTTTACCATTTTTGATTGAGCTGTCTATCTGGTAAAGTTGAAAAACTATATGTCCACTCTATCCATTGCAGATGAGAGATTAAAAAATAAATAAATAAATAAAAAATAAAATAAAGTTTGTTTCTTTTTTCCTTGACGCCAATTCTACTAGGCTGGTTAAGGTATAAATATTGTCGATTATCGAGTAATTACTATGAAAGCTGGTTGGGTTTTTTTTAAACTGGGCATACATATAAAATTTGTATATTGTACAGACTGTTCCTGAAACTATATTATTTTTGGTGTTATTCAAACCTAATGTAAAATCCTCAATAGTGAACCCCTGGTCACACTGATTGTTCTTAAAAAATGTTAATTGAATGATATTTAAGTGATAGGTGGCAAGCTCTAAAATACACCATATCATCATAATATAGTAATGTAAATATTGGGGTGCTGCAAGGATCCATTGTTGGATCGATTATACACATTATTTGCACAAATGAATTGTATACAATTTTTCTGCTGGTATATTTCAGAGCTATTGCAGATGGTACCAACACTGCTCAAAAAGATGTATTACTAGCAGACAATAACAAACTCTTAAGAGTGCAACTCAAATCTTGGTTTAAAAATAAATAAATGAAAATAAAATAAGTCTGTGGTCTCAAAGATCTAAAAATGGTACCTGAAAACTCTGACACTGTAAAACTCTTCTAGGCGTCTTTATTGAACCATGCTTAATATGGAAAATCCCTGTGATATGCCAACCAAAATTTTATGTCAAAGTTTATATTTATTAAGGAGTTTAAACAATCATATAATCCCCCAAAAAATGCTAGTTGCCTATTATGAGTTTTGTGAAAATAAAATAAGGTACTCTATTTTAGCCTGGGTTAAGTACAAAATATTTAGCTTATAAAGAAAGGCTGTAAGAATAATCAGTGGGGCTGTCATAAAGACAAATTTACAAAACTTGGTATTAATGTAACACTTAAGTAGGTAAAATACAAGTATTGTGTAAATAAACATGTAAAAAAAAAATAAAATAAAATAAGCAAGACAAAAGGAAAAAAAAATAAAATACAAATTGTTAAAAAGAGTTAGAAAGTTTAAAAATTTAATTTTCAAGTATCTATAATGTCATGCAATGCGTGCAAATTTAATAAGTGGTCCATAATAAGATTCAAGTAGTGAAATGAGCTGGGATTCACTAAGGAGTGAAATGAGCAGCACTTGGAAGTACCCAGGTAATGGAATGCATGCGAAACATGGCAAGAATAGGACATAATTAGAATGTATCAAGTAAGTTTACCTTAATTTTGATCATTTTACTAAAACCAGAGATCAAAGCCAAAAATTACCTTTATATAAGAGAAGAAACTGTGATAACTTAATTGTCCCTTACAATAGAATAGAAAAAACTAGGTACCACTGCATATTATTTTATAATTTAATCCCAGGAAGTTATACAAATTCAATTTTAATGCATTTATTCATAACGATTTAAGAAAAAAAACAAGCGTTCTAAAGTATTAAATTCACTAATTTCGTGGTCCGCTTGACCAATTAATTGTTCTAAAGTTATAGTGGAATTTTTAAAATTTAAATTAATTATCTTTATTACACAAAATAAAATTGTATTGTATTGCATTTTTAGGCTTATACTTTTTTTCAAAATTTATTCAATAATTTTGTAATAATTATCCATTGTAATAGAAAACTTATAGGCATATGATGACATCACTATGATCATGGCAAGTCAAAATTGAGGTTCAATTACCTATCCGCTTGGACGGTGTTCTTCCCCCATTTTGCCTTAACCCTCAGGATTCCTTGTGTTCGCCGATACTTACCACGTGTCTATTCCGTTTGTTCAGGTAAATTAACATTTTTTTTGTAAATAATAACAGAGTGAACAAGTTTAATGTAAATATAATTAATAACGTTAATGAAAATTTAAGGTTTCTAACAGGGTTTGTCTTACTTTTCAGCTTGAAATACAAATCGCACCATGGCCGATGTCGAAGAACCGTGAGTTTGTTCAATTATTAGTTATATTTTTAGCACTATTTGTCATAATTGTTTGAACATTTGTATAATTAACTGATTATTAGTTTATAGAATATGTTCTAAAAATCATTGTAATGTACTGTGTATCAAAAATATCAACATTCCTAACCTTCATTCCATGCTGGAATAATTTCTAATCCTAGAATAAAATTGGCTTAAGATATATTCTAAGTTTCTTATGTATATACGTAATTTGTTTTTGCCTATATTAATATTAAAGCTAGTATGGGTGTAAACAAAATAATCCTTATGACCCAAAACATGAACTTATGAACCCAAAAATTGAACAGTACAATCAACTTAAAACGATTATTCAGAAATCGTGAGATGCGGTCTGGTGTGACGTAGGTTTCAGAAAAACATTTTCTTTATCGTGCCAACGTTTCTTTCTTTATTGAGATCATCTTTAGAGCCTGGGATTTATAAACATTGTTTAAATTTAACACCAAACTGCATCTCATGATTTCTGAATAATCATCGACTAACAGTCACTAATCACCACACTCAAATTAAACCCACACATTTCAACATTTTTAAAGGACTCTAGCTTTTAATGTTTTATTTTTATGTTTGCTTTAGAGGTAGCCCAGCTCCAGATACTACTGATATCAGCACAGCCCTTCAGGAGGTTTTAAAGACTGCGCTGAAACATGGCGTCATGGTACACGGGCTCCACGAGTCCGCTAAGGCCCTTGACAAGTAATTAAAAAAACAAAAAAACACTTGTTATATTTTAATGTTTTACTTTCAATTTATAACTTTTTTTTTTCTTGAGGCGACAAGCTGCGTTGTGTGTATTGGCTGAGAACTGCGATGAGCCCACGTATAAGAAGCTTGTGCAGGCCCTTTGCTCCGAGCACCAGATCCCGTTCTTGAAGGTCGACTCAAACAAGAAACTCGGGGAATGGACGGGCCTTTGCAAAATTGACAAGACAGGCAAGCCAAGGAAGATTGTTGGATGTTCCTGTGTCGTTATTCAAGAGTGGGGAGAGGAAACACCTGCGCTCGATTTCGTACGGGAATATATTGCTATGAGAGCAGCTTAATTTTCTTTTAAATACAGTTTTTTTTCCAACTAATGATTCATTTCTTTAAAGAGTCTTGGTTCCTTATTTTCTTTCTAAAGTATTGACACGGCGTCATCACTGTAACGTCTTGCAGTGGAAGTACCCTCGTTAAAAATGTGCATTGGTGCAATAAAGTTAAAAAAAAATCAAGGCGTGCCTACTGTAGTTTTTATGATTTTTGATGTATTATACAGTTTTCTCGTAAGAAATTTGGCATTATTCTTAAGAAAATAATAATTGAAAGGGCAAAATTAGCGGGACTATTTGGGTTGGTGCAAAAGTTACTTAGAACGAACTATTGCAAGGACATTTGGCTTATTAACTGCAAGCAAATCAAGTAAAAAAAAAAAAACCTTAAATTTTCTATCTCAATCTGTGTTGTAAAAGGATTAAACAATTTTCGCAAAGAGTTGGTAGCTTTACTAAAACACAACCGATCACTTTCATGGATTAATTCTGGCTGAGTGGTGATAGTTGTATCGAATAAATTTTTTAAAATCTCTTGCCAAAGATCATTACTATAATATGACATCAAAATCAAGTTCCAAGTGGAAAAGAAGAGGATTTTTTGCACTGGTGGCCAGATTTGGGGGTGCCCTTGTCGAAGTTGAGTGAGGCCGAAGCTGTGTGGGTGGACCCTAGGGGCTATAGGAGGCCCCAGCTGAGTGTGCAATGGGGATATCAGTGAGGACAAGCAGCTACGGATATGACATGGACACTGCAAGTGAGCAAAAAACAAAAACTAGTAAGGAACTGGTTAATTCCTGTTCCTCAATGAAGATGGCGCAGACCCCAAAAGGAAACACATTTGAGTGAATATGGGCCCAATGCCGGTTCACTTACTAACAGACCAACACCCTGAATCAATTTCCTTCTGGACCTGATTAGTTTTTTCTTTTTTGTTCAATAAGTAAATGTATAAAAGTATTTTGTAAATTTCATTGTAGAACTGCTCAACTTTTTAGGGCGGTTAGAGATGGTTGCCTGCTCCTAATTATCTTATCCTGAAATAAAGCCTAACTGGCCTGTTCTACTTCAGAGTGAGATGCTGCAACGAGTTTTCAGAAATCAGACTGATACAAGCTATCGTCCCACAAGGGAGCATTCTTGGTCCCATCCTGTATATCATATCATCTATCCTGCTGACCTACCTACACATCCAATACCTTCACCACCAACACAGTTAATACTGCTATTTTTTCTTCTAATTCAAATCTTATCAAAGCTACCTCCATAATGCAAGAACAGCTTGAGTTTATCAAAGACGTGCAAAAAGTGGAGGACTGAATGAAGAAAAATGTACTGTTTATATTCATATTGAGAAAACAATCTTGCCCTCCGCTATAAATCAACAACAAAGAAATACCTATTATTTGAATTCAAGTCAGATATTTAGGACTATACTTAGCCAGCAGACATATGGAATCCCCACACAAGACTTAAAAACAACTTAATAGAAGAGTTAGACAACTGTGACTTCTAGGACCAAGATTCATCGACCATCAATATTTTACTGAAATCACTTTGTACATACAGGATGGAACTGTGGAGTTCAGTCAAGCCATACAAGATCCAGTGCATCCAAATCTTCCAATCAGCTCTCAGACAAATTGTCAAAGCTACTTATGTCACTAACCTCACTATCCACAAAGGCCTCAACAAACAACCGTTCTGGATTCCAAATTTTCACACCAAACTCTCAATCCAGCCCAAGCCCTCTGTGTACACATTCCCATCCCAAGAACTTGCACATTAATTGACAATGGCCTCAACACCTCCTTGTCACTTGCACTCTGTCCTCCGGGTGCAGCACTGGCCTTAGTATTAGCAACCATGTGAAAAACGCACATTGTGATCAAACTTGTAATATATATAGGCTACAAATAAAAACATTTTAAAAAATTATCATACACTAGACAAGAGATGAAAAACAAAGATATACAAACGAATAAAATATTTATTTTGTGTAATAATTTAGACATTGAATTTAGCAGTAATAAAGTATTAATACCAAAATATAACTGTTTCCTGGCAATTAAAAAACACGATTTACAAATAAATCACAATACTACCAGGTCAGATAAGTTTATGTTTTGTCACACTTTTAGCCTCGACATACAGCCTTTTTTTCTCTTTTCGAGCTCTTTATAAATACTGTACAAAATATGCAAAAAAACACATTATATTCTTTGAAATCAATTTATATTATAAAAATTTAACAATAAAAAAAGTGATAGAGGAAAAATGTTGTGTCATTTACTAACATTGAAATGAATATTTCTGAAGTAAAACAAAATAAGGAAAACATGCATATTTACACTTTTGTTTAAAGCAAATGCTAAAGAGAATTTATGATATAGAATAAGAAACACTTTACATCATATAATTACAATTTAAAACATATTTACATTATACCTACTCTCATTTCTTTCAATCTTCGTCAAAATTGGCAACGTGACCTAAAAAACGAGTACATCGGTATTATTATAAAATCAGGAAAAATTTATTTCTTAAATATAACTCACAGGTTGTTTCAATATCGGAATTGTTATTTTCAATTGTTTTAAACTTAGTTCTATACTTTTTCAATCTCTCTGCTTCCCTCCTGTAAAAAAGAACGTAAGCCTGGCAAGAATTTACTACCTCCCAGCTCACCTTAGTGACCAGCATATCATCGTAATGATACCATTGGTTTGTACCTGAATCACAATTTAAAAAAAAATGATTATTTAATCATAGAAACAAATTTGAAGAGAAAATATTGGCAATAATTACTTGAATTTAAGGCATAAGTGGTGTAATGTCCTCCAGAACCACTAGTTCCATGGTGGCAAATCACGCTGATGAGGTTGTACCTTGTAATGCAGTCTTGACTGTCTGAAATAAACAATATAATGAGAAGGATGAGATTTTTTTATATTTTATTATGTGCCATTTATTGATAGTGCCCGGTCTCTCATACCAATCACCTACATCTGAACTGGGCCTTACCTTCATCAATGTATGGCTTGAGATCAAGTCCTTCCATGGGAAATTTTATGTGGGAGGCGATTTTCGATGAAAATACATGATCGTGGCGGAATCGTTTCAAGTGGACACAGAGTATCTCAGGAGTCTTCACCATTTTAGAGAATTTTATGCCATTCCTCAGCTTCCGGCACTTCTCGCAACTAAAAAAAAATGATCCATTCCTTTTTACCGTTTCAATATAAATTGAAATTATGAGGAAATTACCTGTACATGTTGTCACCCTTGAGTTCATCAGCGGAAAAGAAAGCAGAAAGGCAGTCATGCAATGATACAGTCGGCCCCCAGAACCAAGAACTGAGCCAGTCCATAAACCATGAATACCAACCTTGTTCGTTCCCATAGTGGGAACATTTCTGAGTGGCTTGATTTGAGCTTTGGTGCAAAAGGTTCAGGTGGTCTCTAGATGGAATCGGCAGAGATAAATCTTGAAAAGTTTCTACCCTTGTTGAAACCTTAAATGAATAAATTAATTTATTGATTGTTATAATATTAATTGATTTTTAGCATATGCATGGCTTATTTTACTGTACTTACCCGGTTGCATGTTAAACACTGAACAGAACTCAATATTATGCCATCAAATATATCACTTATTATACTTTTGCACTGGTTTTTTTTACACTTGCCTGCAAGAATTTTTAAATTTATTTTTATAATAAAGCAAGTCATTTATTAGTCTGAAGGTTGTTCACAGTGAAAAAATTATAACAACTAAGATATAAAATGTGTAGTTTTGAATAAAAAGCAGCAGCCAAAAAAACAAAAACGTACCGTGTTTGTCACTAGGTGGTTCTTGTGTTGTTAGAGGTGAAGCAGACCTTGAAAATGATCTAAACAGAAAATTAAAACAATAAAAATAAATAAATAAAAAAAATTGTCCTTTTAAATAAATGAGTCTTTGAGAGTGCAGTAGCTTATGTACTTTGGTCATCTCTGATCATCCTGGCTACTTTGTTTCTGTTCTGTCTGTCGGGATTTTTATTTACAGCAGCAATCAAACTACAGTTTCATCAACTTGTAGACGTCGTTATCACAAAATCTTGAAAATATTACTTACAAAGATGATTTCTCAGAGACATCAGAGTCGCACGATTCATAATAATCATCTGCATCATCCGATTCTTCAGTTTCATCATCTAAAATTTTAATTTTTTATTTTGTATATACGTATAAAACACATTTTTTAAATATATTTTACTTTTCTGCTGTTGGTTAGTCTCACAACTACATTGTTGATGGTTTGTTTCCATTGAAATTTTCTTCATTTCTTCATGTAGTCCATCCATGAAACATCTATTAAACAAATAAAAAATAAATAAAGTAATAATAAACTTTTTATTTGTTTCTAAATACTCAGTGAAGAATGAAACTGCAAAAATAATGCTTTATTCCTTCTTCTTGAATTTTTAATTGTCTAATTTGCTATCTGATGCAACATTAGATAATCTATATGAATTTCAACTTTCAATTTTAAAATATAAAAAGAATCAGTAATTGGGGTGATATTTTACCTAAGAAATTCCTGAGAATCATGCTGTTGAAAACCCCTGAACATTGGATGGGCAGACCTTATCATAAATAGCAAATTCGGCGGAGGAGTCTTTCTTGAGAGCATGCAAATTACTAGTTGCTGGAATGCTGTCGAGAGGCTGCCTTCTCTCCGTCGACCTGGCCGCGAAGAATCTAAGCTCCTCGAAATGAAGTACGATACAAGAGGAGGAGAATTGAGTAGTGCCTGAAGCGCGCTATTCATGTAGCAAGTGTTGCCAAGATTTGGAAGGCCGATAACGCCACGCGGCCAGCCTCCACGCCTCACTTCAACAAGCCTCAACCTCTCGGTGATGTAAATAACTACCTGGCATTCATGACAATAAAACGAAAGGTTTGAAGTATCAAGTTGCAGACAATGTCGTTCATCGGCTTTATAATGGTTGAACTGGTGGTTTGTATTTTTTGAGCAGAAGTAACGTTTGCAGTCTTTGTGGAGGCAAAGCCATATGGAGGTGGTATTGTTGCACGTGTAACATTCGGGTGACTAAATTGGTAATTCAAAAAAATGTATTTATAAAAAATTAATAAGACAATAAAGTTTAAAACAAATCGAAACTACTTACATTTTCCGGTGTGTCAAAATCATCTATTATTCCTATTAAATGTTCTTTTTCAATCTCAAGTATATGTGTGCATGTTGTCGGTTCTATTAAACCCTGTAAAGATGTTTAACGTTAAAAAACAAAAAAAAAAAAAAAACAGACATATAAAAACATACAGATAAAAAAAAAACAATCTAGTATAAATGTTTAAACGCAGAAAGTTAGAAACTATGAAGAACAAAAGTGAAATGTAAGAAACTTAAAAAAATCCTAAATGAAATTTTACAAGCATATTAAATATTCTATATGAAATTTTCTTAATTTCATGAACAATATGTACTAGAAATAATCATAGATTCACTTTGCTACTGTGGTGCATGAAATTAAAAAAAGTGATAAAAATATGTAACAAGCAAAAAATATAAAAGGTTGTGACCAGATAAAACTGTACAGTTACTTTGGTTAATCATCCAGACATTTGAAAAACTGACAGTGACTAAATCCCATTAAGTCTTTTTAATTCATAATTTTTAACTGTATTTTTAGTAACAATAGACTTGGGATAACAGTTCTGGTTCGAATCATGACAAAGCCCTTAGAAGTTTATGAGTCATTTGAATAAGTCATTTCATGAGATAAAATACTGAATCTGTATACTGGGTTTATAAAACAATGTCAGATTTTCAAAAGTCTTTTAAGCCTATAAAAAGGGTCGGAGGTTGAGCCCTGGGCATGGACACCTGACCAAGTCTACAAGTATGTACTAGGCTTAAAAGTCAAGTTAAAAGTTTTCTATCTCTACCTCGTTACTTCTAGACCTATGTTTTCATAGACCAAGAAAAGTCTTCTACCTTTTTTTTTCCACTCTCTAATCTCCCTAGTCGCTAACATGAAAGGCAACACACGGTGTTTCAGTATATGAAAATAATCAAAGGTGGTCAGAATTGGACTGACTGACTAAGGCACTGGGATATGCAAAACAGCATTAATGGAATTTGTTGCTGCTGGTTTCTTCTACGTCTTGAACAATGGAAATACAGTAACACCTAAGGAACAGACATAGTTCCACTTTTGTCTTTTTTCGGGAGGTGTCCTCTAAAGTTTTCATCATCTGATAACATAAAGCAGTCTGTATTTGTATATGTACAGATACTGCATGTGTGGCGAGGATTTACTATTTTTTAAAATTTGTCAATCTTTGGCGGGTCAGAGCCATGTCAACAGAATGAAAATTTGAACTTAAACTGAAATCATTAAATGAAAAAAGCATCAGAAAGAAAATAAGATTGGTTGAGGTGGTGGAGAAGTTAACAAATTCGAAGAACCTTCATTTCAATTAATCAATAATTGTAAATATAATTAAAAGTTGTTTTAAGATTCAGATATCGTTTATGCTACCTGTAACTAAGAAAAATGAAAAACTAATCTGGCCTGTCCCCTACTAAGAGTCTTTCTCTACTGTTACTTGTTCTTATCGCTCCACACCTGAGCCCGTGTAGAAGCTAGGCACAGTCTAGCGACCGAGCTCCATTTCAAGCCGGATTTTACTAGTGACAGGTTAGCACCCCCAGGATGGACCTTGTGGAGCCATCTTATTGGAACTCAAGAACCCTGAGGGTTGATATGACCTCTGGTGCTGCAAACCCTCGGGGGAAGAAAAAAGAAAAAAGAAAAAAGTACAATGTCAGGTACACTTCCTCGCCTACTTAAGCTAGCCACCCTTTCTGCCACATAATTCTATCCATATCTTGTGGCTCGGTACCTTGCAGGAGTGGATACTGCATGCACACTAATCTTGAAAAACTATCAAACGAATGCTGCACAGTCACTATACCGAAATGCAATGCACTCCACCCTTTCGGGTTGGCACACTCAGGGAGTGTCTTATAGATTAGATTGGTGTATCTCATGTCAAAGTCTCTATGGTCCAACAGAAGTTGTGACATGTGACATCTCATTTTCTGCCACCACTCAATGCTCAGAAAAAATGTAGTGCGTGTGCCGGCCTTTCACTGAGGCTTCTACCATTGCTTGTTCAAACACTACCTTGCTTTGATTGGCAACGAAATGCTGGGCTCAGGCCCATCAACCTTCTAATATTTCGCACAAACAAGTGTTGTATGCAGGTCCACTCGCCCAGGAGGACGATGAACCTGAAAACCATTGCTAACCAGACGTGAAGTAATCACTTTGGTATCTACAGCAATGCATAATGAGCAATACATAAAATTTTCTGATTCTGGTGTCCGATTTTCCAGTTTAATTCAGATATCAATGAAAACCTCCTTGTCAGCTTACAAGCTTAGCTTGCAACCTGCAGGGCATCAATGTACACAGTTCTATATGACTATGTGACGTCTAACAAGGCTGCTCAAGGGTCGTTCAATCAATGACTCACAGCCCATGCGCCCACCCCACAACAATGTCATAGTCCTTTATTTAGTATCCCGTAAGAAGTCTGTTATCGGATGTTTCACTTTATTGAAATCTGGTTCTGTTTTGATTCTAAGTAAGTTCTTTATCTAGGTGGAGTCCAAAGAATGTGTTAAGGGTGATATTTTATAGAAGTGAATGGTAGTGTGGTTCATGTAGGAAAACTTAATGTATTGAATGTGGATGTATGGATGCCACTGTAAACGGTTTTGTAGGTTGTTGATTGCCGTAAAGGGAACTTTATGCAGAGAAAGTATGTGTCCTTTGAAATCAAGTTTAATTAAGTACCTCTTTAAAACTAAATTATACAAATGAAAACATTCAAAGTTGTAATTTAAAAAAAATATAATTTAAAGTTTTTCCCGACGTTTAAATCGTACAATTAGAAGCTAAATTATCTGAATGATAAGTCTAAAATGGCAAGACGAGGGCTTCTGCCACCCTTGTTTTTTCAATTAGTTTACCTCCAGGCTGTCCTCCATTTCCGTCCTCCTCCTCTTCGGGAGTGAAAAGTGAATTTTCCTCCTTTTAACTGGCCTTTTCAAAGATTAGGGTCGTATTGACAAAAATGGATCAAAAACCAACGGGTCCGGTCCGACAAAGGGATTAGTAGACATTGTGTAGCCTCCCTGTTTTTTATGACTTTCCATTTTTTTCTGTATAATCCAAACAGAAGCCGATAAGGAAAGGAGGCAGGGCCGAATTGGCAGTCAAACATCGATTATTGGTAAAACAACATAGAATACCAGAAATAAAACAAAAATATTTATTTAAACAGCAGCAAATTTAAATTCTATAAATTAACAACCGTCCACAAATTGGCTTGTTTGGTTATTGTTTTCCCAACACGTACACAAAAACAATATAGATTTCTCTTAAATTTAATAGAATATATTTCATAGTTACATAGTTACAAACTCACTTAGTAGAGCTAATAAAGAGATTCATTACAAAACATAAATAGTTAATTAAAGAAACAACTGAATTATAATTATAATAAAATAACAAATAATCAGAAGTATGAATTAATAAATAAAACATAGCCGTAAAAATACACAGTTCATATAATTCATAGAATACAAACAAAACATCAGAAAAATATAATTATTAGTAATATACTAATTAGCATAAAGGTACGTTTACATCCAACAGTTATTGCATGATATTTATGTCAGACAGAAATCGTGGCTATTGTAAACAGTGAAGAATTTATGTCAGAGATATATTTGAACCACTAGTTATCAACACTTCTATATCAATAGATGTAAACCTTGTTGTAAGTTCAATCTTTTTTTTTTGACACTTGTCGCAAAAGTTGGCCATTCGTATACTTTTCTGCAATAGGTTTAGCATAAATATGAGTGACAATAAAAAGTGGTTTAAATCTAAAATTTAAATCTAAAGAATAATAAATTTAAAATTACAATTTTTAATAATAGTAGTACGTACCTACTATATGCTAAAAATTGCAAAATTACACTAACTTTTTTTTGAATTTGGTATCTTGTTTTCCTATAAGGGAACTAATTTTACAAACAAATCAGCAGATTTCATTTCTCAAAAATTCGAAAACTGAACTGGATCCTCAATACTGAGCTCAGACATTGACTGTAGGCACTGCTTTTTTCAAAACACACTCTCGAACCCATCTAGAACGTTTTCTCTTCTTTTTTATTTTTAGAATAATTAAATATACCTCAATTTTGTGTTTTGTGTCAAGATAAAATCAACTGTGTGCAGAATGAAAGATATATATATATAAAATGAACGCAAAAATCTATCTTGTATGCAAATGGGTCGTATATTTTTTCCAAGTTTCACATTTTGAGAACTGACATATACATATCCACAATATAATTTTCTAATAATTTCTATCAGTATGTAAACAATCAAAGCAATTTTCTGTCTGACACTCAACATCTGGAAAAAAGTGTCAGAGTAAATGTACTTTACTGTAATAATATAGTAATACATAATTTTAATTATTAAATAAACAGCTATGTGTTTATAGAATGATAATGAGACATACATAAAATGGATATGAAAATAGTGAATTGATCTAAACATTTATATCCTGAGTGTGGAAATTAATTGATTTTTAAAAACGTTAATATTATCTTGGTACGAGTGATGTGGATAAGCATAAGCTCTGTGCATTGACCTTTATATAGGACTTTCTTTTATATAATTATTTTTATGAGCGGAAATGAAGGATATTTTATGTTTCTGGGATGAGATCTAGGGAACACTAAAGTTTAATTTGGAAAGTAAATAAGGTGTCTTAATTTGATTATTCACAAGTTTATTAATTTATTGAAGATGAGGTCAACGTAAATAATTCTCTTTTCCAAAGTTAAGATACATTCATAGGAATCCAAAATATTAAAGTAGTCATGTATAGTCCATAGGATTTTAAGTTTATAAGCTGCTATCTTACAAATTTATTTTATTTGTTATTTAACTTTATTACAAAACATGTTCTTGTCCATTTTATTGTTTACATTAGTTGATTTTTTGAGTGAGGATTAATCAGATAAATGGTCTTTGGATTAAGAAAACACTAAAAACGTGTTGAGCTTTCGTCATATAAACTGCTCAAAAATGAGTAGGGATATCGCCAATTTTGTAGTATGTATTTTCTTTCTCTAGCATTTTTATTATTTTTTTTAAATTATAAATTCCATTAAAATTTATTAAAAATTATTATGCTTTTTACTGAAGGAAAATTTAATTAAGAGATGTTGAAAAATAAAATAAAATAAAAAGTTTTAATTCCATAATTTTGTTTATTGGACACAATAATTTTTTTAAAACAATTAATATCTTGTATAAACCTTTGTACGCCTTTTAGCATACTGTTAATAAGGTTGTCACATATTTTAAGGAATTTCACTTCATAGATGTTGCAATGCTGCACTCAGTTGATGCAGGCTAACTGGCTGTGGATGGTGATTGAAAAGTCTTCTCTGCAAATCCCACACGTGAGGGATGTATTCCTCGATAATTTCTAGTACATAACAGTCTGCGGGTTGCCTACTAGTACATTGAGGTTGCCTTCGATAATATGGAAACCAGTTCGTCCTGCAGTGTATATCCTGGCCCAGATTGCCTCCTCCAAACTGCAGTGAACAAGAACTCCCCCCCCCCCCCAGTGAGGGAGTAAGAACTGGGGCATTGTATGCATCCTCTGTTCTCGGTAGACTCTTCAGCCCCTGCTATCACTATACAGACAGAAATGCGACTCATTAGTAAACATAACAGCATTTCAATTGGTGTTCTCTCCTAGGTGCTCACTGCACCATATTCTCCTGAGCTGCTAGTGTTGGGCTGTTGTTGCAGGTCGTCTCAAAGGAGCATATAATGTGAGGCCAACTTCCCACAAACGATTTGTATTTCTGTCCTCCCTTAGCGTCACAATGCACTGAGATACACTACCAGGCCTCCTATTGGCACTTCCAGTCTCTCGGAATCGAGCTAAAATCTGGGAGACCATGCTCTGAAAAATGTCAACTGTCTTTGGATATCCACTTGCCGATGACTTCACTGACTAATAATATTGCAAACTTATACTTCAAGTTTATGTCTTTCTACGATTAAAGAAAATACGACTGGATTAAAATGGAAAAAAGACGAGAATAGGTGTTTTTTTATAAAATGAGTAATCTTCATGTTTATTTTCTTAAGTAAATCCGTTATTTTTTTTTTNGGAGATGGTTTTTTTTGCCAATACGCACTTGTCAAGTTTTTTACATTTAAATAGCAAATATTAGTAAACAGCATGGGGTGAAAAGCCATGACTTTGACCATCAGTCGGTCACTTAACATTTGACGTCGAAAGCATAAAGGCATGAGACCTGATGCTTGCTGAAGGATGATGACTGGGGTTGATGGTAAAAACCCCATGGCCAAACGAATACACCTATTTTGCATGATATCTAGTTTCTTAAGCAATGATGGACTTGCGTTCCCATAAAACATACAGCCGTAATCCAAATTAGCTCGTATCGTCGTTTTGTAAAACATAAGCGCTGTGTCGGGATCCGATCCCCAGTTATTATGGCATACCATTCGCAAAATATTTATATATTTCTCTGATTTGCATATTATATTCTTAATATGCAAATTCCAATTCAGCTTTCTGTTCAGATGTACACCTAAAAAGGTTACTGCTTCTTTCACCTCAAAATTATAGTTTCCCATGTGCAAACTGGAGTCAAAAGGATTATTTCTTTTCCTTGAAAACCAGCATATCTTTGATTTTTGTGTAGATATAGTCAATCCTTTACTTATCATCCATTGATCCAGAACTCCAATCATTTCTTGCATTTTCTGCACACATTCGTCTACGCAGCTACTGATGGTGTACAAGACGATATCATCTGCGTATTGCAAAATTTTAATCCCTTCTGGAAGTATCCCCTCTATGTCCGCTACATAGAGAGCGTACAATATGGGTGACAAAATTCCTCCTTGCGGTAAGCCTTTTTTTGCAGTTCTAGGTCCCACTAGTGTGTCTTTGATTTTGATAAATATCGACCGATCCGTTATAAGAGACATTATATTTTTTACTATTATTTTAGGCAACTGAATTGTTTTAAGCAGGTTTCCTAATAAATTAATATCTAGATTATCGTAAGCTCCCGTTATGTCAAGAAATAGTGCTAATGTGGATTTACCCTCTGAAAATGCAATTTGGATATCTGTTACCAGCGAACACACATTGAGTATTGTTGACCGTCCTTTGCGAAACCCAAATTGTGAATCTGGTAACAAATCTTTTTTCTCAATCCACCATTCCAGGCGTTTTTTTAACATCCTTTCGTATGTTTTCATCAAACATGATGACAAAGTTATGCCCCTATAAGAAGATTCCATATTCTGTGGTTTGCCTGGTTTTAATAACGGTATTACCGTACATGTATTCCATTGTTCTGGGATTTGACCATTTTCAAGTATTTCGTTATAAATTTTGAGCAACCGTTTCTTAGCCGATAACGGTAAGTTCTTGATAATCGGGTAATCAATTTTGTCAACACCTGGGCAGGTGGTAGCAGTTTTTTTGATAGCTGCATCTAATTCATCGTTGTTAAATGTTTTTATCATTTCATATTCATCTTCATTTATGCATCCTATTGTCTGTGATTGCCATTTTTTAATATCATTTATTACTAAATCAGGGGTTAGGTTCTTCAAGAACTGGCCTGTCCATTCCCCTGAGTCCACTGGTTTAAGATTCTCAGATGGTCTATTTTTAAGAATTTTAATCTGTCTCCAAATGTCTTTGATTGGTACGGTTTTATTGAGTTTTTCACAAAAGACTTTCCATGATTCATGTCTTGCCGTTTGTACGCATTTTTGTAGCTTTTTGTTCGCCTTTTTGTAAATAGAGAAGTTTTCATTATCTGGTTTTCTTTTGTATTCTAAATAAGCTTGTGTTCTAAGATCTCTAGCTCTTAAGCAGTTTTTGTTCCACCAAGTGTTTCTTCTCTTTTTAATGTAAGAAATCTTTGGAATGGACAATTCACATGAGATTTCTATGTCGTTGATTAACTGTTCGTAATCGTAATTGGTAATATCCTTTTGGCAGCATATCTTGTCCATATTAGTGCAAAACTTATTCCATTCTGCTTTGTTAGTATTCCAGCGTCGATTAGTAACAAAGTTTGTAGGCTTAGTACTGTAGTATTGTGATTTTATTATTATTGGCAAATGATTAGAACCCATTGGATCTTCGTATATGTTCCAGGAAAATTGTGTGGCGGTGCTGGCCGAACTAAATGTAATATCTATGGCCGATTGCGAATGTTGATTCACGTAATGCATTAATGTTGGTGTTCCATCATTAAGGAACACAAGATTACTCTCATGTGCGGCTTCTAAAAGATTTTCCCCTTTCTTATCCGAATAACTACATCCTACAGCGGAACTGTGACAGTTGAAATCCCCCATTATCAAAACTGGTGACGGCCAGCTATCGAAAAATCGTTTCCAATGGCCTTTATTTAATTTATTGAGAGGGGAATTGTATAAAGATACAATAGATACTGTTTTTCCTCTTCCATCTGTAATTTGTATTCCTACGCTAAAGAGACCCTCGAAAGTCACCTTATTAGGAAGTTCCTGATATGGCACATTGTTCTTTAGAATAATAGCTGCACCTGCTTTACCATCCTGTCTATCATCGCTAAAAACATTGTATCCCCTGAATCCATAGAATTTGCCTGGTTTGAACCAAGTCTCTGAAATGGCAGCAATGGAAATATTATTTTCCTCCATAAACATTTCAAACATGAGTTTTTTGGAAGCTAAAGATCGAGCATTCCATTGGATTATATTCATTGGGTCCATCTCGGTAATTATTTTAAACACTACAGTTTTATGGACGAGATCATCCACCCAACGTAACTTATATGTACATGCATGTACCTATTCACGAGCTGTACATTAAATTGTTAATCCTGTCACGTATTGCTTCTTTCAGCGCATTATCATCCATTGTTTCTTTCGTACTTTTATTTTTAATTTCATATTGTAGCTTTTTAACTAACGAGAATGTTGCTTCAAAAATCGTATCTTTTGTATCATTATCTATGTTAATTTGATTTTTTCTTTGATCTATGTGAGGGTTGTTCTTAATTAATCCCCCAATTTCATTTTTTGGAGTTGCCTCTCTGTAAAAATTGTGTGGATCAATCTGCTGTTTCGTTATCTCTTGCCTAGGTGGAGATAGAAATCTGCTCCTTTTCATGGTCCTTTTGTACGAGCTTGTGGAAGCATATTGTCTGCCTGGCATATCCTTTTTTTCTATGGGGGGGAATTCCGTAAAATTTTTTAGACATGGCACTGTTTTTGTTAACTGCGTTGCAAACGTGTTTCCGGAAATCTTTTGTTTTGCCTCGTTATACGATATATTTTGTTCTCCCATCAGTTGTTTAATTTCTTTTTCTTTTTTAAATTGTGGACAGCTTTGAAAATCGTTTGCTTTGTGCTTTAAGTTACAATGTATGCATCTTATTTCTGTAGAGTTGCAATTACTGGAATCATGCGATTGCCCACATTTTTCGCACCTTACCTCTCCTTTACATTGGTCTGCAAAGTGGCCATATCTGAAACACTTTTTGCATTGTATTACTCTCTGATTATATGGATCGATATTACACCAAACATAATGAATTATCATGTAATTAGGCAAATATTGACCGCGCACAGTAATTAAGACTGATTGGGTGGGAATCAAACAGTCTTTACCTTTTTCGTCTTTTGATTTTCTATTGAGCCTTTTTAAATCAATTATTTTCAAATCTTTACCATATGGATCTTTAATAATATCTCTTAATTCTGAATCTGATATATCTACACAAACATTTCTAATAATGCCCCTTCTCATCAAAAGATGTCTTGGAATGTACGTGTTAAAGTTTTTTTCTTTGATTGGTCGAGCGTCGAGAAATTTATTTGCCGAAATAGCGTTGTTAAATTCTACTTTTATTCTGTTTTTACTCATTTTTTTGATCGATGTTACGTTATTGCCAATTTCTTTACATTTCTCATGGATAATTCTATCGATTGCCATCGGGTGTAATCTCGCAATTCCGTTCCCTTCACTATTTTTACTTTCGAGAATAACTTGAAATGGACCGGGGTCTTTGACGTTAAATTCCATTTTTTCGTATTCTTCCATTTTAGAATGTTGGATTTCAAAATCAACCTGTTTTTTCTCTTCAACCATGTTTATGTCAGGTGGGACTGTTATCTTTCCTCCACTATCTTCCTCCATTTTCAAAAAAGGAAAAGCACAATTTTTTTTTTTTTAATTTCCTTCTTCGAAAATCGGTGAAATAAAAAAAAAAATGAATAAGGAATTCAAAATTTCAGTTCTCTCCACTTGTTATTTCTTGTTAAATCCTCTCGCTAGAGACACACACGTCCGCCTCGTACGAAGGTCAACACAATACTGAAAAAAAAAAAAAAATCCGTTATTAAAAAAGAAGATTAACATTTACCAAGTTGTAAGAATATATCGGTTAATTTAATTAAAATTAACAGAATAAGAATAAATTACAAAAATTCCTGTTCATTGTTGAGCAGTTTATTACATCTTCGGTGTAGTAACGGTTCAGATTAAAAATTACAAAAGTTGAAGTTAACAAGCATTTTTTAAAGGCCCCAGAATGCGAAATACGTATTTTACATATAAAATTGTGTGGACATTTCCAAAGAATTTTCCCTTAAACCCTTTAGCTTTGTTTTTGATCAAATCAACCAAACTACAAATTTTTTGAATCGAGAGGGAAAATTACTACTAGCCTAGGCCGATTTGATTTGTGGTTACAAATACCGCCTATTTCAAGTTCTTACGACTCAATTTTTTTGACAATTGTATCTGCTTGATTATTAAAATTTGGAGTATATAAATGACAAAAAATAAATTAACTAAGGGCAAGTTTATTTCTAAAATAATAAAATTATTTCTAAAAAATCGATTCTCCTTAAAAGTCGAAGCTTTCAAGCAGCCCAATCAAGTCGTCCATTTTGTATTGTGTTGGTTGTGTCCTTGTCGAACCGGTTGACGAGTCGGAACCCTGTGTCGTTTCTCGATATATTCCATTCTTTTCTCAACAAAAACCCGGTTTTGAAAAATGGGAGTCACCGTGAACACGATCATCGGCGGAGATGGTATTTAGTCTGATATTTATCGCTATTTACCCGGTAATATGTCATTATTGACGGTTTGTTCCAGGCCAGACCTATCCCAAAACCGGCCAAACCGTAGTTGTACACTACACAGGTGAGCATTATTTACGTATTTAAATAAGATTTAGTTTCTCTGTATGCCGAGTTTTATTTAGTTTTTCTTTATTGCATGATGTTTTGTTAAGTTTATAACTATAAATGCAGTCATATGGCTAAACTATGTGACCTATCATGAGACATAACCAACGACGCTATCCGTTTCACTATACACTGATGGACAAAATCACCACCCTTAAATTTTAATGTATTTAGTTTATTCATATTTTGCATACCGAAAATAGCTTTGGTTGTAAAAAAAAATAAGACATAAAAAAAAAATTTCATCTAAAAAAAGAAATTATTGAGTAAAACAGAAAATTCTAAAACAAAAATGTAAGAAAATTTTTTTTTGCCCCTTTTAATACTGAGTATTTCTACTTATGGCACGAATTACGTCCGTTAAACGATTTTATGTACCTCAGAAAGTTTTTTCTCCCATTCATCAAGGACAGCCGTTTCCAACTCTTCTAGAGTGTAAAACTTTGGGTTTCATCATCGTACTTGTCGCTTAGGTTGGTCTTGGATGTGCTCGGTTGGGTTCAAATAAGGGCTTCGAGCTGGCCCTCCAAGTACTTAATTCCAGTCCTGGCCTTATCCTGGCATTATACAGTATTGACAAGAATCTCTTACGATGCGGGTGGCAAATGACACTAGACTAGTACACATTTGAAGTTAGAGATCGTACTTGCCCGATGACCAAGTAAATGCTACTCCAGAACATTAATGACACAGTGGAATACCACCTGAGGATCCATACAGTATGGGGGCGCACCTTTCTCTAGAGAGTCGCCATATGAAATTATGCCCTACTGAAGATATGAGACCAACTCTCACCTCAACTCTAAAGAGAACTTGAAATGTCCAATTCCAATTGAATGGAAGCCTGGCCATTTTCTGAGATGTGTAACGAAAGGTTCATGAGCTGGGTGCCGAGGCCTGAGGTAATTTTATTAAACTTTTTCTTACAGTTCTGAAGGAAATTAAAATATTTTTGACTTGTCTTATCTAATTCTTTATCACATTTCCCATGATATACTGCATTTTCATAGAGCCTGATGTCGGATGAATCTATAGTCTGTAGATCTGTCATGGATTACTAGTGTAAAGCTGTAATTTTCTGAAGCACTGAAGAACACTTCTTACTGTAGAGTGATTTACACTCTCTCTTGGCAGTTTCACATTAGCTGTATCCTTTCACTATTAATGTTATGACAGTCATACTCACTCAAATGCCTGACTGGAACCATTGAAAAATGTTGAAGATCAAGAATATTATCAATTGAAATCAACGTAGGAAAAAGATCAACTGAAAGCAATCTTTAGGCCTAGCATAATGGAAGGGTGTAAAGCTACTTTTTGTGCAAAAGGGATTAATGAATGTATAAGTAAATAAACAAAGCATTATTTACTGTTTATTTTGACTTAAGATTGCTCCTAATTACATGTAACTGTGAAGAAAGATAATGGGTTTAATTTTGAACTAAGTAAATTGAGTGGTGCTTCAAATTTGTCCATCATTGTATATTAAGTTTTATAAATGTTTGTTCAATCATGATTGATTTTTCTTACATTATAGAAATATTTTAATGTTTAAATATAATGTGTTTCCACATTACAAACATAACTTGCTGTTTGTTGCCATCATTAACAGAGTTGCATAGATTTTTCTTTCTAGCATACTTTCTGATATGAGATGATCTATGATTTGTTCATGAGGCTAGAGACATGTTTGTCTCATTGAGTGAACATAATATTACTCGGATAGTACAAAATAAGTTTTCAGGTCTAATTTTATTTTTGATGAACACTAGTTTTTTTGTGTGGTGTTTAGTGACCATTAGTTATGATTATTCGGAGATCGTGAGATGCGGTCTGGTGTGACGTAGGTTTTAGAAAAACATATTCATTATTGTGCTGTTTCGATCTTTATTGACATTTTCAGGGCCTGGGATTTATAAACATTGTTTAAATTTTACAAATACATGTAGGATGTGAAAAATCAAAAATGATTTTATACAATGCTAGAAAATTTTAGATAAAAAAAATGAATTTATACAATGCTAGAAAATTTTAGATAAAAAATGAATTTATACAATGCTAGAAAATTTTAGATAAAAAAAATGAATTTATACAATGCTAGAAAATTTTAGATGAAAAAAAATTGAATTTATACAATGCTAGAAGAAATTTTTGAGATTGCCATAGAGACAGGGCTTATCGGAAGTGATCAAATTCACCACGCTTCAGAGTATTAACCCATTCAATTTGTGCTTCAGGTGCTTTTTGTTTTCTGCATATCAATATCATGCTCTCAGTATTTGCATAGAGGTAATGATGAGTGATTTTAAGCTCCCTCATTAAGAGAACCAAGAGCATGATATGCTCGCCATCCAGAATTGGTTAAATTAAAAATATGTTTTATTTGTTTATTTATTTATTATTTATATATATATATTTTTTTTTATTATTATTTAACTCTTGTTGATGGCTTATGTACTGTTGAAGTGAGTCTTCATTATATTTGGCTCATGTGGTTAACTATTTTCCATAATCAAGTAAAGGTCTAATACATGAAAATATATAATTTTTTCTCTCTCTCATACTGGGCATTTTGGGAAATTATCTCACTGTTACAGGGACATTGGAGAATGGCCAAAAATTTGATAGTTCCAGAGATCGAGGTGTGCCTTTCAAATTCCGCCTAGGTAGGAATGAAGTCATCAAAGGCTGGGATGAGGGAGTTGCCCAGGTAAAATTTATCAAGTTTTTACTTGGAAAAAAAGAAGAAAAAAAGTGAATCTGCATAAATTATTTTCAATTTTTTTTACAGATGTGTGTGGGCCAAAGAGCCAAGTTAATCTGTTCTCCTGATTTCGCTTATGGCTCTCGAGGACATCCCGGAATATATCCTTTTTGAACGCTTTAATTTAATAATTAATTTTTTTTATTAGAGTTTTTATTGTAATTTAAAATTTATTTTCCTTAACTCCGTTGCACTATCCCTCCTGATTCGACATTGATCTTCGATGTGGAGCTGCTTAAGGTTGAACCTTAAAAAGACGGATCATCACAAGGCCAAGGAGGAATATAACTTGTCAAATTTTTTGAAAATATTTGTTTATCGTTCAAATATCTTTGTGGAGTTTTTTCCTTTTCTCTTTCTAATGTTCACCTCTTGGATAACGAAATCCTTTAAATAATAAAAATCTTTTGACAAATGTGTTCTTCATATAAAATCATAAAATCAAATACCTCATTTTTTATTTATTACAATTCTAGCATGTATATCAGTTAATTAAATAAATTACCTAATTAACAGCTGAAATTGTATTTTTTTTTTTTTATATCCTAAACATTGTCACTGTTTGGAAATAAAAAGAATCATTGGCAATCAGCCTTGTTTTAAAATTGTTTTACAGTTATTTCCATGGTGATCTTAATTTTAATGTAAACTTTTTTTATTTAGAGTCAAGTTAATAAATCAAAATTCCCAAGATGAGCGAGCTAGATGTACCTTTCCCGAGTACGACTAATTATCGTGTGAGGAGGGATGCATTCATCTCTATCCCTGAAATAAGGAGGTTCAAGGTTTGCGAGGGGTTTCCCTATTGTAAAGACCAATTCCAAGTCAAATATTTGGAACACTTTATGAAGATGGATGAGAAACATGATCATGTAAAGCAGTTTACATTTACAAAGTTTATCAAAATATTAAGTTAAATTTATATGGTTACCAATAGAATTTAAACAAATTGTATTGAGGTCTGGAAGATGAATGCGTAAACCTGATAAACCATTGTAATTAACATAGCAATGGTTTGTCTGTTCGTAATTCTGTTAATATTTTGTCTGTTTATAAATTTTGAAAGGTGTCTGACCACTGCAAAGCTCACTGCAGTGAGATTAGACAGACAAGGTGCAGAAATTAAAAGGTTTTGAAACAATGATATAAAAGATTTGTGCAATTCCATTGTTAATAGATAAATTAATATTTGAATCATACATCCACTGCTTATCACCATCCATTTTTGCCGACGACACAGCTGTGTATCCTGTAATCTCAATCCTACAAAGTCTTCAGAGGAGGTACAGGCAAGGGTCAAAATAGCTTAATGGAGCAAACACTGGTGTTTAACTACAATTAATGTAAACCAAAACACCCGTATATCATTACCCTTCGAAGCAAAACCCCTCATACAGTATATGTATTATAAGTATTCCTCGATAATACTCCCATCTCAAAAACAGACTGTCCTCTAACTTGAGTTCTATGTAGACTCAAGACTAACCTGGAACCAACACACACGATTAAAACAACAGGAATTAAATGTTTTGGACTACTCTACAGACTTCTGTCACACAAATGTTATGCTAAATTAAGCAAATGCCCAAAATACTCTCTTGCAAAAGAACATTTTCAACATTCCTTAATCGAGTTGCCCAATCTCTCTAGATAAATGAGAGCACTCACGGTGTGCTAAATAAGTATTAGTGATTTGTAAATATTGTAAATCTAGCTTATTACATAATGTAAATAAGGTACAGATTGTAATCAATATTAAAAACAAGTTTCAATCAATTGGTAATTTTATACGCAATATTTTAAAGATAAACATCTTCCAGCTAGCTACACTGATGTCTTACAGGCTGGATGGATCAAACAATATAACAAAAGTGCCCTTGCACAAGAAAGAGTCTAAAATTACACCTAAAGAACTCCTTCCAAGCTGGACAGACTATGAAAGACGAGCTTATGTTGATCATTTTTATGTGGTATGTTTTATCAGCATTTAATTTACAATTGTTAATCTTGTGCTAGAACTATTTTAAATATTTTAATTTAAAGTCTGAACTGTGTTCTGTGGCCATCAATCTCCTAAGAATATGGACTTGGATAGTTTCATTTGTTTATGAGTTTATTTTTATGGAATTATTTTGAACATATTTGATATTAAATAGAAATATTGTTACATACATTAGTGTAAATAAAAATCAAGAAATGAAAGAATCAATATAATTGCAGCTAGCCCAACAACACCGGCAGAGGTACAACACTGACAATGCCTATGACGCTTGTAGGACTTACGACTTCTTCAAACTTGAAAAAGATTCTCCGTTTACACGAGGATTCACAAAGTTGTTATTTAAAACCAAAATTTATTACAATCGTTTATTATACAATTTATTTCTATTTTCAGTGAATTCTACAGTTTGAAGCCAAAATTCACGGATTACAAACAACCGTTAGTGTTTCCTCTTAGTAGGGAAGCTTCACGTAAGAATCAATCTGGATACTTCTACTGTCATAAACGGGCTGAGGGTCCATAGTCTGTGACAAATTTACTATTACAAAATTGATGGGAAGAAATGAATGTTAATATAAATCATTAAACTCAACATAATTTTATTTAATTATAATTTTATAGTACAACAATATACAATAAATATTTGACACAAAGAAACTTGATATTTTCATTTTCTATAACGAGAGCTGTATACTTTAACACCGTTAATGTTGCTCACTCGAGTATGCTTGGTTAATAATGAATTCACAGTTTGTTTTTCAGTTGCTAGTTTCCTTAAAAGAGAGAAGTTATTTTATATAAAATTTTTATGTTCTTACAGGCATAATACAATTTTTTTTTAAATAATATTTTTTTGAAGGAAATTACCTGACATATGGCTCGATTTCATTGTAATTCCAGCTCGGCTTTTCTGTAAATAGTCGTTCAAATCGTTCGACTTCATTTTCTGGAAGTTCAGACTCAGGGAAATATGTAAATACGGGTGGACGCTGATCAGACCTGAACAAAGCGATGCCCTCCAGCTGTTTGAGATCGATATTCATCCCTTCAGGCACAGATTCAGCCCATGCTTGCATAAAATCATCAGAATTAAATTTCTGAACAGGTCGGAGGAGGTATTCACCGATGAAGCAGCATGTTTTGTCTTGCTTCAGTGTAAACAGTTCATCACCTAGGTTTAAAAAAATCCAGTTAAAAAAAAAAAAAAAAGTAAAACATGCATGTACCTTCATCATCAGTCATTCCTGAAGGGACAAGATAAGCCTGAAGAATGTGATCTAGGATCACCTTAGGTACAAGATCTTTGAGCATGGAAATTGTCTGTCCGATAGGGATCATATCTGTACTCCATGAGTTTTCATCGATTAAATTAAGAAGATAGCTGAGCGTCCTAAAATGATATTCAACTCCGAGTATGCGCCATTTACCTCCAAGTTGGAAGGCATCTAATTCTCTAAGCGCTTCGTACAGTTCAGCCTCGCTCGCTTGAACACAATCGAGCAATTCTTTGGTCGAGTAAGATGAGCGTAATGACGTCTCTTCCTCCAACCCAGTGAAAGGATTTGCCTCAAGAAGATGTTTTAGTCTAAAAAAAGACAAAACTTAAATTTTTGACACTTAACCCAGAACAATCAGCGTGATATGCTCTTCCTTAATGGGTTAAAAATTTGTGCAATAGACTTACTTATGAACCCTTGGTTTGCACTTCTTGACCTCTAGGTACTCATTAAATATATTTACAATGCGCTTTTCTTCTATATCTCTTTCACCTTTGCATTCCATATTATCGCTAAATTTCAATCCAGGGATTAGTAGCAGTGAGTTTGACGTCTCAGCAGCTTTCACGTCGTAAGTGGCCTCTGAAGTGCAAATAACAGCTTTCTCATCATGGTCGCCTTTGAATATGAGGTTTTCCCCTTTAACGACAAGCGTGTCATAAAGCGAATCATTGAGCTCTAATATGCGATATTCAGAATCTTTGCTGGCAAAGTACAGTGTCTGAGTCAATGGTCGAAATTCAGAAATGTCGAGCTTGGCGTGTTTCACAACTTTTTCAATATCCTCTGCATTTCTCACATACCTGCAATAATAAAAATCAAATTTTTAAACAAAAAAGTTACGTCTATGGATAGAAAATAAAATAAATTTATAATTTAAACGAGCCGAATCATTTCCTAGCAAACTCCCTGGAAAACAAAATCCACATTTCTAGTTGATATAATCTGACACATCCCAAAAAAGTAGGGTTGAAATTTTGCTATCAGGATGGGATTGAATGAGATGAAGTAGCCAACAAACTTGCAAAATAAGGTGTAGCATTTACACCCATCAAACTATGAAGAGTATGCAAGTAGCAATGTATGTAATAATGTAAAGATAAAAAATGTACAAAAGCAACTAAATTTTTTATAACAATTCAGACAGTAAAATTAAAAATTTCTCTCAGCAGGCAGAAATTTATAAAATCATAAACCTCTTGATCATTGCCAATTACCACCTCAAAGACAATGAGAAAGATACAAAAACCTGCTGATTCTGTGAGAAGAAAATAGATGGTGATGTTTTGTTCTAGCCAAAGGTCTTCCAGGTGTAATAGTTAGCCCCCAGGATATCTTCTGCTTAGCCTGGATTTGGTAAAATTTTAGAAAAAGCAAAAATTAAGTCTCAATACTGGCTTCATATAACTTTGCTACCACCTGGAAGAACAGGTTTGCTTCTACCTTGCCGAAAGATACAGCTGTAGGCTTATAAATTGACATCATAAAAACTATTATGCAAAAAAGGATGTCGACATCACACTGAAGCTTTCTACGGCACGCCTTTGCTTGAACCCAATGATGCTCAATAGGATTAAGGTCAGGCGAATAAGTTGGTGAAAATTCAAGTTGATGTCCTGCATTATCAATAGATTTTAAAATATCTTGATACAGAAACCAAGACGAGATAGTGTATTATATTTAGTAAATACCCCCATTTCCTCTAATTGGAATGAGGACCCAGATACTCGCTCCAAATTGGGTGGCTTTCATACACATCCTCTATATGGAGCCTAGGAATAGCATCCTTCAATGTGGGACATATCAAGCAACCAATACATGCTGGACACATACACATCTTTGGCCCAAAGTTTGTCAACCTTGCCTCTTCACTGAGGATGACCCTATTCTCCGAGGGTCACCTCTCAACATGCTCTTGATAAACGGGAGCTTCTCTGACAATCTGGCCCACCGACACTGCCACTTTTGTTGTGTGCTTTTATTGCATTTTTAGCATCAGAAGGCCAGATTAAGTTTGAAGGTTGGGATGTCTTGCCCTTAGCTGTCTTTTTTGTTACCCTTGAGACCTCCGTTACTACCGTCCGGGTGCCCAGAAAACAAACATCATTTTGCCGAGATGCACCGGTATTTCTCCAGCAAGAGGGCCAAAAGAGAACCTGTCACAGACAGGTAACTGCACTGTGTAAGTCGCTGAAGACAAGATAACCCATCATCGCCACAAATTACCTCAAGCACGTGCCAAATTGCGTTTAATGTATCTAATTTATAATGTTTATTTTATTTTTATATAAAGTTTTATTATAAATTATATTATGTTACATCTTGTATTTTTAAAATTTTTGTAATTAATCTATTTATCAAATAAATAAATATAACTTTATCTTATTAACCTTTACCAAATAAATAATGTACTTTTCTTTAAAAAAACATTTATATAAATAAAAACTGCCAAAATGTCATCCATGTATTGAACAAGAAATTTAATAATATTAATAAAAATAATACCATGCATGAAAAAATATTAATATTTTAGATTGCTATAAATCATCTAATCAAATAGATTTTTCCAGTAAAAAAACTTACTCCATTATTTATTTAATATAACTTTTGAGTTTGGACAGAGATGAAAACAAGAATGTTGTGATGTATAACAATCAAAGAAATATAACATTTCCAGAGACTCCTGGCATTTGTGAGCCAACGGTTTAGACGACGTGAGATGAAGTACCAAGTTTTGCCGGACGGCGTCGATTTGAACAAATGTTTGTATTAAGAAAAAAAGCATTTTTGACTAGTATTTTATCTTATGCATTTACATTTTTAAAATTATGTTTGTTTTGCGTTTTTTTGTTGCTTAATGGGTTTATAGTTTTGGTGTTTGATAATTTTGCAGATAATATCATTATTGTTTTATTTATTTCTTTTTTCTGGTATAAAAGAAAAATGCTATTAATTAAACAGTTATTTTTTATGTAGAGATTTTTTATTTATTTTTTATGGTTTAAAGGTCAGCGATGGGTTAGGCGTTTAATCCATAAAAGCAATGACATCATAGAGATACCTTCTTTGCTTGGGTTGAACTCTAGAGATAGGAATTGCAACCTCAGTTTAGTTAAGAAGCAAGTCTGGAGAGGTAACCATTTTGGACGGTAATTTTGTACATCCGTTTGAAGTGATAATTGTGGATACGAAATAAAGCCGGGGACTTATTATGGAAGAGGAGAAGAAGGAGGAGGCCGTCCAGGTGGAAGAGAAGAAGAATGAAATCCTCCCGGTCGAGGAGATTCCCGAAGAGAAAGGGCCGGACGTGGTGAGTTGAAGAAATCCAACGAGCAACGTGTCGGGACAGAAATTTCTCAGGAAGAAAATCATTTTAAGATGAAATGACATCACGTGTGAAAATACTAGATTTCTGTTTTTTATTTTTTATCTTCAGGAAGCACGGCTCAAACGGGATTTTATGACAAATCGCAAAACTCGAGTGCTTTGGATTGTTTATTTTCAAATACTAAGTCTATCGTATTGTGACGACCCTTTGTATCGCAAAACTTGGTATTTAGAATCAAATATAAACCTGCCCTTCTGATCTTTTTATTCATTTTTTTGTTTGTTTAGGTAATCGGTTTGTTTTTATTTATTGTATATAAATCGTGTATAAAAAATACAGGATTTAACATTTTCAGTATTTGTTTACATTTGAACATTGTTTACATGAGCGACATGCTGTTTCTGATGTGCTCATGAAAGTATGAATTTAGCAGAATTAAGTCTCTTCAACCTTTTTGTTTCAATCTTGTCTAATAACTTCAATTAAAACTTGAATAATTAAATTTAATTGAAACTAATCACCACACATTTAATTAAAACGACAACAAAGACCAAATCTTGAATATAAAATAACACAAATACGTTTTTAATTAATCCCACAAGAATAAAAGTTTGCATTTTGTCGTGACCTTGAATCACATTGTAACTTGTCTTCTGTACAAAGTCAAAGAATCCATTAGTATATACAATTTTTTTTTGTCCTTTAATAGATAATTAATGCATCTTGTTTTTTTGAAGTTACAAAAAAAATGGATTTTTTGGCCGCAGTAAGGAAAGTGCTGCTTATGATGAACCGGAATTGGGCCATTTGCTGTAAGGAATTTTACCTGAAGATTCTCAAGAGTTCCTCACAGAAGATGGCGCAATGCCGAAAAGCATTTGAGTAATTCAACAAGCAAAGTGAATATGGATCTGATACCATTTCAGCTTGAGTTAACTGACTCGCAGACAAAATCCCATTCCAAAGTAATTCCTGTCTTACAGGAGGGCTTAATGTTCAATTTTTACATATTTAATTGGGTGTCGCATACGAGGGATCAAACCAATTTACAATATATTTTTCATACTAAAATCAATTAAAAATCTAGGTTATGCCAGGATTCGAACCCAGAATTGCTAGTGTGAACCACTCAGGCCCTTGCATTCGTAAGTTGTAAATTGATTGGAAAGACATAATTCTGTGTAAGCTTGATTGATCATGTTAGTCAAGGAGTGCATTACAGTCAACCCTCCTATAACGTGGTACTCTCAGAACGCGGTTTCTATATAACGCGGAGCTGAAATTGCGACAGCCCTCCCATAACACGGTACTCTTACAGCGCGGTTTCCGTTTAACAGAATCCCATAAGTCCCTTCCACACAGCCTATGAATGACTCTAGTAACTAGATATTGTAAGAGGTTTTAATGTAAGTTTTATTTTCCACGCAAAGGCACAGCCGAGATACATAAACAATATGTTTATATAAACATAGCCGTTTACGACATCGGTTTCAGTCATCTCAGAGATCTTTCACAGTACATACGTTTTGTTAGTGACCAAGTCTTTCTAATCTCGATTTACAAGATGTGAAAAAAGGGCTAAATTTGGCTAAAGAATTAGAACTTCATTTCATTCAAACTGATCGTTCAACGGTGCGCAGCGCAAAGTTTAAAAGAGAGTTAAGAAATTGCTTAGCTCCCTATAGAGAGGTTTTAGTGGAGTTAGAAAAAAAAGCTACGATCGAAAACCAATGTGAAGAAGAACCAAGTGAGGAAGACATTTTGCCCATTAAAAGAAGACGAGTTAGGCGACTCATATCTGACAGCGAGGATGAGTGTTGAAAAATAAATAATTTTACAAAAGTCTTTCTTGTTTTTGTTGGAAAACAGTCTTTTAGTTTAGTTTTTGTTTCATTTTTTTTTATCAATCCTTATATGAACTCTTCAATTCAATAAAAATAATACATAATTTATCTTGTCTTTTGTATTTATTGGTCTCCATATAACGCGGTACGAATGATGTGATTTGTACTAATTCCGAGTTTCTTATAGTGCAGTTTCCATACAATGCAGTAGACGGTTTCCATAGAACATGCTACGAATTAGCCTGGTTTGTACGATTAAATCCGAGTTTCTTATAGCGCGGTTTCCATATAATGCGGTACGCACTCACTGTGTTATAGGAGGGCTGACTACCGTGCCATTTAAGAGCTCTTGTATCCCCCGTTCTGTGCTTAAAGCATCAAGTGTCATAATTCATCAAGGAACTTGATTAGTAGGTCTGGTTTCAGTTGTTGAATATATTCTTCGGTTAAGCAGTATGTCCAAAATACTTCCTCCTGCGAGCAAATGTAGCACCAGTTTGTTAGTAGGATTGTTGGTGACTCCTCTGCCTTGCAGAATCTGCTCGTACTTTGTTGGGTTATGCCAATCTTCTTCAGATGTCTATTTAGTTTGGAGTGTCCTGTTAGATTCACACTTTTTTCCTGCTTCCTGCAATACATTCTGTTACCTATTTCCTTCCAAAGTTTGTTAGGAGGTTCTTGAAATGTTTGTGCCCAATGAGTGAGTTCCATTGTTCCCTCAGTTTCCTTCTGCCTGGGGTGGTCATTGATAGTGTGCATTCCTATCAGTGTATACAGCCCCTCTTCTTACAAGGGCATCTGCTTTCTCATCGTTGCCTTCTACTCCCACATGTTCTAGGACCCAGCGGAGGCTATCTTTCTTTTGTATACATAATTTGTTTAGTTTGGTTTTGCAATTCAGTACCATCTTTGAGCTAATGGTCTTTGAACTTAGCACTTTGATGGCTGCTTGGCTATCTGACATTAATTAAAACACAACAAAAACATCTGACGCTAATTCTCATTTTTGTACCCTTTATTCAGATTGAATTGGGTACATCTTTTAATTGCATGGACCTGAATTTGGAAGATATTGGTGTATTGTCCCTGGGTTCTGAGTATTTGGTCCCAAGACTGAATACTCCTGCCCCTGTACATTCTTGCATTGTAGATCGGTCTGTGGGCCAGTAGATGGTGTCATTCTTAAAGGAGGTATTTTTCTCTTTACCTTTCCTTTTTCATACCTAAGTTTATATGGAAATTTTGGTTAAACTCATGTCGTTTCTTGGGGCCATGAATATCGGATGGTCTTTTGTTAGATTTTGCTATCTCTCCATTTCAGTTTTATTTCCATTAATTATTATATGTGGTGTTTAGTGACCGTTAGTTAATGATTATTTGGAGATCGTGAGATGCAGTCTGGTGTGATGTAGGTTTTAGAAAAACATTTTCTTTATCGTGCCAACGTTTCGATCTTTATTGAGGTCATCTTCAGGGCCTGGGATTTATAAACATTTATAAATATTTTACAAATACATGTAGGATGTGAAAAAAAACCCCTATTTCTATTAGAGATTTCTCTTTGATAATATTAATATAGTTTTCTGTGCCATCCTCAATATCATGTTGTGGAGGGAGATTAATTCCAGTATCTTCTCCATACCAGCTGTTGGACATGTTTTTTGACAGCTATCAATCCTAATGGTTATTTAAGCCCTGCTACAGTTTTGAGTGAAAAGTGGGAGGCCATCAATCGAGGCCACAAAACAGAGAGGACCCGGGGGTTCCTAGTCGTTTTGTTTACTTTTAATATATTTTGGATATTATGGATAAAAACCATTTACAGTGTCGCCTATGGAAAAGTAAATATCCCTTGGGGGCATCTTGCCCTGGGATTCCCCTGTGTCCCACTGCCAGGCAAGCACTGCCGAACCCCTGACCAGCGGACAATTCCCATCTGTTGATGCAAATCAATTGGTGAATTTAAAATGTTTTTGTTTTGTTAGGAATTTAAATGAGAACGACAGTGAAGCTACATTATAGTTTGGTTTTTTATTTATTTATTATTTTTATTTTATTTTTTTTGTAAAGTTTTGTGTTTTTCAAGAAATGTATGATTTTTGAAGTGGAGTCTGCATTGTCTTCAAGCGCAATTTTAATGTTTGTAGGTATACCAAGTTTGGTCCCTTAGGCTGAAAATAAGTTACATTCGCAGATAATATGTTGGATTGTTAATCTAATTTTGCATTTGTGGCACTCTGAGGAAGACCTATATCACATTAAATGTCCATGGGCCAATCTCGTGTGGCCAATACAAAGTCTAGTGAGAGCTATTTCTTCTTTTCGGCATTCTCGTATGGAGCTTTTCCAGGATTTCACATCCTTTTTTATCTCTGATAATTTATTGCTTATGCCTGACCAGTAATTTTTCCAGAGACCAAATTCTTATTTTTATATGGTTTTTGTAATCTTGCAGCATAGTTTTGTTAAATGGGGTACCACCTTTTATAGCTTTTTTGGCCAATTGATTGCCTTTACATTGCCTGGAATGTCGTAATGACCTGGGATCCACTTGAAAGTGACTTGGATATTTTTTGGGTGTTGGGTTCTTAGGGAGTGTATATATTTTGTATTATGGGATTTTGGAAAAAGAGGTTTTGGGTCATGTTCTCATTGCTCCTGTTATACAGATGGATGCATCCCTAACCATTCCTCATCTGCAGAAGAGTCTGGTTCATAGATTGTTCTATGCGGAATCTACATATACATTGTTCTTTTACATTGGTTTTATATTGAATCTGTTGTGTCCTGTCAAGTAGCATGTCAAAATTTATAATTTTTTCATTCTAATAACATTTGGAAATTAATTATGGTTGGTTTTGTGCTTTGTTTCACCTTCATTTCCAGTAATAATTTGAGTAATAATTTGTTATTGTTTTCTCAGATTTTAAGATAGTCCATTGATTAATTAAACTTAACTTGTCTCATGGGTGTAATTAAATACATAAAAGTTGCATTGTTAAAACTTATTATATTAAATGTAATACAATTGTTAATAAGCCGACACCTGCTACATTTTACTTTCAAAATTTATCAGAATCAGTTTAAAGCTCACATGCAGATGCAGCCATACATACACACAAACGCATGAATAAAAATGTTGTATCTAAGATTTTATATAAACTATTGTTTTTTATCTATTTCAGTTAATTGATCGATGCAACCAATTAATAGATTTCACATGGATTAAAAAAAATTCCAAATTTACACCCAACAAATTACGTATTGTTTTATGTGTAAGCTGCCAGAAGTTGATTGTTGTACATTTTTTAAATGTTATTTTGAAGTCCTTAACTATTCTTACTTGTTTGTCATCTGATTTGAACGTTCTCACTTGTCCAATTTAAAAAATATGTAATTTATTTCTTAAGATGCTTTTGTTGCAGTAAAACCATTTTAGTGATTAATATATGTAATTACTGTTTGTTCTTTTATTTTATTGAACTATATAGAAAAAAGTAATTTGTGAAAAATGAAGTGTGGAATTTGTTTTTCAGACACCAGCCGTTGTGGAAAAGGTTGAAATAGCACAGGTTGAAAAAAAGGAAGACATAGAAGAAAAAGTATTAGAACCTGAAGTTGAGAAAGAGGTTGAAGCTGAGGACAAAAATGAAACGGTTGTTCTTGATGAATGTGATGAAGTAGATGTTGATGAAGATATTGATGGTGAAGATGTTGATGGTGATGTCGACATTGATGAGGAAGTTCATGAAGAGGATGACGTTTCCTCTTCTTCTTCCGCAGTTCCTGAGGAACGAGAGGATGGCGACGGAGAAGAAGAAAAAGAAGAAACAAAGAAATTGGATGACGATGAAGATAAACGGAATCCACAGTACATACCAAAAAAGGGGATGTTTTACGAACATGACGATAGAACAGCAGACGTCGACGAGGATGAAGCCTCAGCTGCGAACGATAAGAAGCCCAAGAAGGGCAAAGTCTGGGAAGATGTGGATTTATGGCGGCATGACCTTTATGACGATGATGAGCAAGGGCCTAAAAGCACACAAGAGCTTATCGATGCTTACGGTTATGATATTCGTAGGGAAGAAGGTCCACCTAAAGCAAGGCGAAGACGTCGATATGGGTAATTATATTAATAAGACTAAAAATTTTAATGTTTTAATTATTCTAGCAATTTTAACAAAAATTATAAATGCCTCCACAGAAAGGGTCCAAACAAGTACCAGCGGTCTTGGGAAGATGAAGGAGCTTATATTAAGACAAGTACGGGCTTTAGGGGGAGAAGAATAAATAAGAACTTTGTGAAAAAGGATGAAGATTTTCCTGAGTTGCCATCAAAGGAAGTAGAGAATGCAAAACCAGCTGAAGTAAAAGCACAGAAAAAAGTGCAAATTAGGTAAATTTAATTTTTTTAAAAACTATTCCTCATATTTTTCAAGATGTATTTTTTCATTATTCTTTATCTCTTCAGTAATAAAGTTACAGAATTCAAAGATTCCACACCTGTAACCAATTTAGAAACGAAACAGCAATTAAAAGAAAGCCCTGGAGAAAAGCAGTTTGCTTATCGTGGTGGGCGTGGCGGCTCTACGCGGGGTCGTGGTGGTCGGGGTAGGTTTAGACCTGGTACAGGACGTGCTATGAATTCAAATACGCAGTCAAAGCCGAGAAGAAATGATGAGGAAGATATTGCAGCTCTAGCGCAGCATTTCTCTGAGGCAGTTATTAACATCGATAAGAATGTTATTGCAAGTAAGTTTTGTTCTCTCAACATAACATATTATAACATACAAGTGGTAAAATTAATTTTCGTTATTTTGTAGGAAGCACTAATAACGAACTACCTGTGGAGAAAGGTTCTAAAAGTGTTCCTCAGCCTTCCCACAAGCACGAGGTTTCAAAGAGCAAACAAGCTCAGCATCACCCACCCCAACATTCACACGTGCAACAACTACCTCAAACTCAAGTGCAATTGCAGCAACAGCAAAATCAACAACAGGAAAGCCGGTCCAAGAGGTATTCAGCACAGCGCCAAAGGTCTCTACCCCAGTCTAATCCACATCCTCAACAACAGCCGCAGCAGCAGCCGCAACAGCAACCACAACCTCAGCAACAACAACAACCTCAACAGCAACCATCTCAACAACCTGTGGTGCAGCAGCAATTTATGCCACAGCAACCTCAGCAACAGATCCCTCCTCCAACGTTCTATCCTCAACAGCAACATGGTATATTATTTTATTATAAATGATGTACTTTATGTTGTTAAAACAGAAAAAGTAAAACGAAAAATTATTTTTACATTACTGTCTAAATGGTTTTATTTTCTAGGTGGGTGCGTTGATGCTCCAGCTCCAGGAGGGATGCCTCAGAACTATCCTGGGATGCAGGTAGTGGCTTTCCTCCCACCTCCTCCTCATCCGCCACCTGCCCAGCCTGGATTTCCACCTCCTCCTCTTTATGTTTCTCCGCAATACCTGCCTTCACCCACGATGGCAGTACAAGTAAGCAAGTAGTATTTTTATTTTACTAATATAAAATTTAGTAATTCAATTTGGAATATAAAGTAAGAAGTGTAATTGTGAAAACTGAAAGTAAATGGCATACAAATGAAAATTGTACAAATTGCTGTTCTGCATAATGATTACAAATAACACACATGTCCAAATATGCTTATGCTCTTTATTTTGTAAAAAATATTTTATTCTGGTCTAATATGTATTCATAGTTTGTTATTAGGAACAGTCTCAAACTAGCTTATTGATATGGAATCTATTTATACCTATTTATCTGCATACAATTTACATTGCCTAATCTTACAAAAATTATCAATCCATTGTATTATCTAATATTTTAAAGGCCTTACTTATTTGTTGCTTACCCTTTTCAGCCTGGACCAACGGAAGTGTACCAAGGCGGTGGAATAACATTCTACAACACTCAGACACAAATGGCACGCCCTACGCAACTTTCCCGTCGAGTCAAGCTTGCCATTCCGATCATCTCGCCTAACGAATCTCAGGCCGAGTCGTAACCGATGATAACAATTCTCATTGGTTTTCTTCGATGTACATAAATTTATATTTAAATTGATTAACTATAAATTAATTCGATTGGTCATAAGTTTATGACAAGATTTTTTTTAAATTTTAATTAATTGCCACTATCACAGATTATAATTAAAACAAAAATATAAGGAGTACAATTATATTTTCTTAATCCACATTTATTGTCTTTATTCCTTCTACTTTGATGTATGCAGAGCTTTCCTAATTTATCCGTGTGTGAAGATCTAGATTTTTCAGCATAGAAAGAGGAAAAGGATTTTTATTAGAAAAATGTTCTCACCCCAGTTGACGCCAAATGTTTTCCTTGGAAACAAACACCAATCCCCTTTACATATTCATGCTGGAACAGCACGTGAAATAAGTTTGCAAGGTGTTTACAATGCAAGATTCACACAAAACAAAAGTTCAAAGCTCTGATGATAGAACAAGGTGGTGCACACCTTGAGCATTGAAACTCTTCAGGTCTTAGATCTGATTTTAATTTCTCACAGGAGAACATGTAACTGGAGACTTCTCTAAGCAACTTCTTGACATTGACATGGCCAGACAGCTCACAAGCTGTCTAGTTAGGCCATCACTTTTTTTTACAATACAAAACAAGATAAAGGGAATTAGTCACAACATGTATAAAGAAGTTAAAAAGGAACATATTCAAATGAAGAAATTATCACCACAGAAAAAGATAAATGACAATTTAGTCAACACAGAGAACGTTTAAATTGAGATGTGAATAATTGCATTCGAACTACCAACCTTGGACGAAACTTGCTCTATGTGCAAAAAATTTGTGGTCAAATGTTTTATACTTAAACAAAAGTTCATCAAAGGCCATCGAAAAACTAATGGCAGAACTGCTCGATCTAAGATATGTTAGGTCTAGAATAATAGTAATTCTATATAAAAAATACAGCTTGGAATTATTCCATCAGCCAGAGGTTGATCTAACAATAATATATTCTTCTCTTTCTGTAACCCCCCTCCCTCAACGCATTTGAGGATTTTCAAGTATAAAGATACAGAAAGCAAGACAGAGAAAAAAATACAAAAAAATTAGAATGTAACACTTAACTAGGTAAAAACACAAATATTGTGTAAATAAACATGTAAAAGGGAGAGAAAAAATAAGATAAAAAGTGAACATACAGTACAAACCATTGTTCACCAAAAGAATCGAGCAGAGAAATGAGCTGGGATTCACTAAGGTTTAGTTAGCTTCACTACTAATTGCACACTGCGATCTCTGGAGGCATATGGATAGACTCCAAGTGGCAGAAACATTATGCACTATCGGATGAGAATACTACTCCTGGCAGAGGAAAAGCAAGCCTGAAATACACACACAGCCGTTAAAAATTCTGGGTTAAAAAGCTTTAAGCTTAATGATGAATTAGGCAACAATGGAGTCAATGCTGGTTGCGTGCAGTATGTATGTTGTAAAGAGGCATACTCTTCTAATCATTGTTACCTCTGTGTATGATCGTTCTGACAAACATTTTGTAGCCTTGTTGATCTGGCTATGTACAGAACTGTAAAAATGTAAAAAGTGATATTTTGCTGCCAGGCATGTCATGTCAATCCCGACATGAATTAATCAGAGAATTGAACTGGCAAAAGCCGGTTAATTAAGAAAACTTAACAAAAAAATTAAGAAAACCCAACCTGAGTATACCACCAGCCCATTGGATTTTAACATAGGACACACTGAATGTGATAATCATGGAAGGAAAAGGTTGAGGATTTTAAACAAGCAAAACAATTAAAATTTAATGTTTTTTCTTCTTTTTTTTTTATTATAAATTAAAAAAGAAAACCATTTAATTATCAGCGATGGTCACTTCAACCTCAACACCAGGCTCAAGTGAGATTGATGTGATCTGCTTCACCACCTCTGAAGGAGAATGAAGATCAATGACACGCTTGTGGACCCTCATCTGAAATCTGTCCCACGTCTTTGATCCTTCACCGCAAGGTGTTTTACGGGTTGTGATACGAAGGATTTTAGTCGGCATACGAATCGGCCCCTTCACACGCAACTTCTCCCTCTGTGAACCTTGGATCAAGTCGGAACAGACTGGAAGAAAAAAGAAAATTGTTCAATTTCAATGTGGTGTTTAAGTGACCGTTAGTCAATGATTATTCGGAGATCGTGAGATGCGGTGTGGTGTGATGTAGGTTTTAGAAAAACATTTTCTTTATCGTGCCAACATTTCGATCTTTATTGAGATCATCTTCAGTGCCACTCTGAACACGACACACAAGAATGGCACAATTCGCAGAAAACAAACACTTTGAGCCCTGAAGATGATCTCAATAAAGATCGAAACATTGGCACGATAAAGAAAATGTTTTTCTAAAACCTACGTCCCACCAGACCGCATCTCACGACCTCCGAATAATAATTTGTGAAACATGATGTATGATGTTCATAAACCTGTAGCTTTGAAGTTAAAAAAGTAATCCCTGACTACAGAAGGGATTAACACCTAACTACTCGTTGGGTGTCGGGGACAAGGGTTCAAACCACTTTACTATTAAAAAACAATGGCACATGCTGGGGTTTGAACCTAGAACTCTGAACGACTGAAGGTGGTGAAAGGCCAAACACCTCTGACAGACCAAGATGGATAAGACCTGAGCTGTAAGATTATTACTACACAGACCTCAAGAAGAAATATGTTTTAATTAATTATATTTCACCTTTTAAAACTTGAAAAATTAAGCCAGTTGCCAGTAAAAATGTGAAAGAATGAATTATCATGGATGATAACGAAGGAAAAAGACATAATAATAAAGTTTAATAGTTTATTTGTTTAAAGCTTAGTTTCCATTAAGCAAAAATCACTCGCGCAACTTGTCTCATGTTGTATATACCTGCTGGGACTCTGAAACTTTTGGTATGAGGATGTTTCGGGGAGAACCGATTGGCTGTCGGTTTTTTAGCGTGCATGTGCGCTTCACTTTGTCTGTTTCCACGTAAATACACGCATCTCAAGCTTCTGAATGAACCAGGACTGCATTCGACTTATCAGAGCTATCAATTTTCGTGGCATGCTTAAGAAGAAAGTTGTCATAATAAGGGAAATGTGATGATTTCTTCATTTGTTTTTCTTTTTATTCTTAACATAAAGTATCACAATAGCAAATGCTGATGTAGTAGGTGTAGATATGAACGGAATGCTTTTCTTGCGCTAACTGATGGCTCTTGTTCTGTCTCGTGGAAATGGTCAACCCGAGGCAATGTTTCGCGAGTGTTTAGTGATTTTTCTGCAATGGAAACACAGTATTATTTTATGAGTAGTCTGCATGTATCTGTTCTATGTGCATGTCTCTGTACGATATGATTTTTAGAAAGTCGCATTTTTTTCAGTGTTTAGTATTTGTATTTTGGCAAAATAACTTGTGTTGTTTTTCAAAATGGTGTTGTCCAATGCTGTAGATTAGTTTTTGTTGTTTTACAGTCATGACTGATTGATGAAATTTTTGATTTTACCGCTTCTCACTAATTCAACAAATTACTTAACAACGGTCACTAAATAACAGGCATACAGCGTAATATAACCAATTTTCTTAGAAAGCTTGTTTCTCGTTAATGAAATTATGATGGCGGCAATCAATTTAAAATTTTCCTGCTGGGTTTGTGAGATGATCCATAATTTATTTTGTTCATGTAAACTTCATATTATTACTTTTAAAAAAATCATGCATAGCAATCATCTCACCTTTTTCCAATGATTTCATGTTCTTTGAAGTCAAGGTAACACGAATCCTGTGAATGGAAGGTGCTTCGATTGCTGGCTTTTCAGCATCTTTGAATGCAGTACTCTAAAAATATTTAAAAAAAAATCGTCAAAATGAAAACTTAAAGCTCATGCTCATTTTACCTTTGGACAAAACTAAAATCCAGAGGCTAAGTAAACCATAAACATACTATAGCTATGTAAATAAAATACAATAAGCTTAGGGTATTTTAAAACTTCAATTTGTGTTTAAATTTTGAGGTTTATTAACTTTTTAATCCACGGTTCAAATTTCTAAGTGCAGCCGGACAGGGCAGAAAAACACGTGGAACCATAACCCCCATTGCATAAAACATGAAATTTCAAACAAATAAGTGCAATAATGCAACATACCATTTTCCTCGTCTATGGATATCAACGGGATGAATCTCAAAATGAAAGATATACTGGTCGAGAATATAATTAAGGAATTAATAAGTTTCCTTAATTACAGCGCTGTTCCAGTATGAACGAAGAGCCTTTTTAGAAGGGAAACCAGTGTTGGTAAGGTTGAGTACCAAGTTCCACAATTGCTCACCAGACTAAAAGTCTGTTTATTTGTTCCAATTTGAAAAAATAACTCAGTAAAAAAAGTCTCTAAACATCTTCAGTGAAATAGAAACAAACCTTTTAAATTAAAATAATAATGTATATAATATNTATATATATAATGAATATAATAAATATCCATAATATATTAGTATAATAATGACACTATTATATAATGATTTGTATTTTCAATTTATATTAGCTCAAATCTGTATTTGTATATATATAGACATGTGCAGAATTGAGTCGGGAGTTAACAGTCCTGGGGCAGACCTTGGTTTATCCATTCAGACAACAAGGTTGAGCTCTAGGTGGTGTCAACAAGTCAATTCAGTACCCAATGCACACAGTTCCTAGATACAAATCTTAGGGATAATTAAGTTAGGGTGGTGGAGTACTCATTATTACTCCATCACCTTTTCTTCTATTAACTAACCTAATTGAGGGTTGATGGGGTACTCAATATTCTGCCATCGATTGATTACTATTATGTGTTATGTGGTTTTTATTGTGGTTAGGTCGTCCAATCTGTATTCGCCATTGTCATGTCACCAAAGAGGTATTGGTTAAATCCTCCTGTTTGGCAAGAATTACTCTTTTTAATGTTTATGCTCGCTGCTTCAGTCTGTCAAATGTTTTCCACATAAATGCCGAACTGTATAGATTAAAGTTTATTTATTTGTTATTATTATTATTTAATGACAGGGGATTATTCCTCAATCCAGATACATTACTCATAGCATTTTTTTTGCAAATAATAATGATAATCGTATTCCAAATTTGCCTGCCAAGGCGCAAATCAACATGTCAACCCCCCACCCCACAAACTTATAAGAAGAACATATTGATAAAATAATACACAGATCAACAACTGAAAATAATAATGTATAATGTTTATTTTTTTATGAGATAATATTGGCATATACATATGTAATTATCCAAAAGCACATACATAAAACGAACGTTTGAATCTTGTATGAATAAATTTTGACACAATTAATTCATAATAACTGTCTATTTATTATCAATTATGGTGATTTATAGTACTTTCCAAATTCAAATTGGAGATCTTTAAGAAACGTTTTTGTAAATTCATTGCTAAACTAAATATATAAACAAATAAACAATATATTACATCTCGTAATTGTGATAACATTTGTTCTATTCTGTTTAAACAAATAAATTAAATGCATATAAATGTTAAACAACTCTAATCAACTATTTTTATGTTTACATTCATTTACAATATAATTAATTTACAATATTTACACAATTAAAAGTTATTAGAACTCCTAGAATGGATAAAGATCCGTAGCAATGAGATGCTCAAATGGGTTTGGAGTGTCTTTGCTGGGGATTCGACTCAAAATCACATCAAGCTTGCTATGTAATGTATCTTCGTCCTAAAGATAATTCAACATTATTAACAAAAATTTTATATAAGATTTTGTACATAAATATGTTAATTCTTGACTCACTTTTACAGTGTGATATGTGATGATGTCTTGGAATGATATTGTACGGAATGACGACTTTCTTTCGTGTTTCTTCATCTCTGCGCGAAGTGTTTCAGCAGATTCGTTTAGTACTTTTTTCATCGCTTCGAAGCTCAACTCTTCAGATGGATGTTTCTGTAATATAAAATTTTATTAGATCAGCAGGAATAAAGATACTGAAATATTAAATAATTACTCGTTGTAGTCCAGGTGTTGAACTCGCTGAATCCACCTCAAATTGGTTCAAGTCGTTAAGCGATCCTTTAAGATTTACACCCGATGATTCTACCCAAGAATGCCGGTGAGTCAACACTCGTGAAATATTTGCCACATCTATGCCCGATTCACGAAGGCAGTCACCTAGCTTTACTTCATCAGCATACAGATTTGGTTCTAATGCAAGTTCTTTTACGCCATTTTTTGAATGAAGTGGAGGAAGGAGGTAATGAGCATTTGCTTGTCTCTGGTCAACAATCTAAAACAATATCACAACATAAGTACAACTCATAACTAATAATGGATATATAACTTACAGAAGTCACGTATTGTTCTAAAGGCTTTAAATTCATGACTTTAACAACGAGATCGAGGAGGGCTATAGTAACGATATGCAGGTTCGCCTTTTGTGCAATAGGCATATGAACCTGCTTCAAAGAGACTTCTTGGATTCTAAAAATCATCGAGATGTATCCAGCGACTGTGTGGATGTTCAAAAGTTCAACACCAAAGAGTGCAAGTGTTGTGTATACTGAGCAAATAACTTCAGATGATTGGTCACGTTCAGCCATACGTTCAATCAGCGTTGTGTAGATCTCATCCTCATTTTTCCTTAGGAACATAGTGTCACCTCTTGAACACTGAACCACCGTCAAACTGGGAATAGGAATCCTTAAAAACAAAACAAAAAAATTAATAAGAGAACTATCTCTAGATTGAAATAATTCATTAATAAAGGAAATAAAAAGGCATACGTTGGTTCCTTGAGTTTTTCAAGATTGCCTTGTCGATCAAGGAGTGTCTGCATGATGTCCTGTACTAATAGCACACTCTGCTTGTCAGTGTTAAGTCTAAGCAGAGGACTGAGAAGAGATGAAGGAAATGTAGCGGACATGAGTGTATTTGTGTACTTCCTTCCAACCTAAAAACGCAGCATATTAGGTCTCAATTGCACCGTTTTTCAGTAAAGAAAATGTATTTACAATGAGCAAACACTTCAATAACATTTCACGAAGTAGAACATCCAACTGAGGGTTCAACGGGACTTTGGACATGATAAAAACCATAATTTCAACCATTTGGTAGTCTGGAAGATGGGACGTAAACTCCCCTAGACAGTCGATGAGTGATTCCATATAACCGAGCTCTTCTGAATCGTGGCGCCTCGAAGTAGCTCCTTTAAGGTGTCCGAGGAGAGAATTTATTATTTCCAGCACAGATGGTCCTACGCTTTCCTCTGCAGAGATAGAGATAATTTTTGAAAGAACGTCAGTTATACTTTTACGAATTGGAGGTGATGATGAGTAATTTTCATCAAGGTGGTACATCAGATGCTCGACTACTGCATATGAATATTGGTTCTGAAATAATAAATATATATCTTTACAAATTTTATACTAAACAAAAGTAACAAGATTTCACCTGTATGGAAAACATAATTATCCTAAAGGTATGTACTGCAAAATCATTTGGGACCCACAGGTTATGGTTGTCTAGATGCCTAAAGAAAATAAGTTTGTGTAAACACACTGCATTTTGTTATAGTAATTACTGAAAGAAAAGCAGATAAAACATTATTTTAACAGTTTTAACTTCACCTCAGAACAGGTTTCAGGAAAGAGCGGATGTGACCAAAAGAAGCTCTTCCGATTAATTCACGTATACAGGCATCTGCAACGGATGCAGGATCTGTTGAATCTTCTGCTTCCGTTGTGGCGCTATCCTGTTGATAGTAACGAGTAGTCTTCGGTCTGCGGCTTAAATAACTAACAAGGAAAATAAGCATAAGGCATAATTCAGAGGTAATTTTAATTACTAATATACAGATGTGTAAAAAAAAGTTTCTGAAAGGCAAAACAAAAACAAGACCTTACAGCTTCAGATTACCACCAAATGACCTACTTTCTTAAGAGGAAAACGCTTTAAATAAATAATGAAAGACACAATTTTTTAAAAATCAAAATTCATGCGTTATATTATGGGAACTGGTGTCTTTGGAAATTACCCCATTGAATATGAGGGTGTATTTCCATGATTAAAAATAATTTGAGGGGTGCTTTATTCAACTATGAAATGTTGGTTAAAATGATTTGTTGGAAACATCAATTTAATTTTAACTTTTGGAACTTTTTCTTTTTAATTCACCCTTTTATAATTATCTTACTTATTGTCTTGCATATTAAAAAGGAGGGATGGGAGGATTTTATCCATGTGCGTCGGTTCCCAAATATTTTCTACAAGATCATCGGCAACTGTTTTCCTAATCACACCCTGAAATTGACAATATATTTTAGGAAAATCAATAAATGTATTCAGTTTACTATAAATAATTTAATTTAAACTTTTAATAACCTGAAGTCCCTTAATTCCTGCTAATCGTATTTGTCGCCTAACTTCAGCATTGTTGTTTGCATTGTGGCACATGGAAGAAAACTTCGATACAAAAAAGTCATATCTCCTGTGATACGAGGGTGTATCTTCTTCGATATTTGCAAATTTCACAAACTGAAATTGTAATGTTATTTATTACATTAACGGATTTGTAAAAAGAAAAAAAAAATTATATAAATAGAACAGGTATGTTTATAAATACCCACAGATTGTGTTGCTAAGATTTGCAAATCAGGTTCAGTGGATTCTAGAAGTTTCTGAATCATACGGAGGAAGCTCTCAACAAAAAGATTGAGCGTTTGCGCATGGCAGGCTATCAACAGAGTATCCATTGCTTCCATGGCCATAACAACATATCTAAAAATATATTAACCATATAATTCAAGTCTAAGATTTAGAATTTAAGACTATTACCCAATCCTTTTTCTAGATATGTCCCTTGAAGCTCTTTGATAGAGATATTCAGCAATCCTGTCGAGCTTTTCGGGTGACGACAATGAATAAAATGTGAGCTTTTCCATGTTGCTTTTGTTAAGGCCTTCTTGGGGAACATTTGGAAATATGTTATCCACAAGGCGTTTATATCTCGGGCGCATGCAGGTGCAAGGAAGGCAGTCTAAAGAACCAAATATTTTATAATAATTTTATATTTTATTGATATAAAAATGATTCACATCTATGTATCCTAAAAATTCCTCTTTTCTTTGTTTATGTATAAGCCATTTATATTTAATGGTCTAATTGTCTAAATTACTTTTTTAACTTAATTATTCTTTTTATGTAAGGTCTTGGTTGAGAAGAAAAAGCTAGTGTCATCCTGCCCATGACCATAGAAAGAATAATTAATTGAAATGTATGTACAATGTTTTATTTCTGGAAAATGTATTTGAGAATGGCACTGTATGCCAAAACGTTGAAAGACACTCATTCTCACTTCTTCATGTTTGGAAAATTAAAATTAATCATAACAAAATGGAGGCAATAGTTTTCATCAAGAAGGTGGAACCGTGTTGTGGTCTTAGTCGGACAAAAAACCACTGGGTGATATTGGACCATAAACTCACTTCACTTCCCAGTCAGTGATATAGTGAACAAGAGCAAAGAGGCTATCTGCGTACTTTTCCCTCTGCTCAGTCACTAGTTCAGCCTGTCACTTCTTCTGTATAAAGTAGTGGTCAGTCTGATGCTCCTATATGTGTGCCTCTCTAGAAGCCTGATATACAGGAACATTGCCAGGCTGCACGTGGGGAAAAAGTTTCTGAGTCTTACGATAAACTCGCCCTGATATACATGCATATCGGAACTGCACAGTGAGACAAACACGCTGATGGTACTGGAATACATCAGAGATGAAGCCATTAGATTTTTTTAATCTCTGCAAAAGCTGTACCAGTACAATCTGCTGCTACATAAAATTGATTGGACGACAGGTACATGCACAGGAGAATAAAGAACACTCTGTTTTTGTGTTTCTGGCCTTGAAACTGGGGTTTTTATTCTAATATTTTTTCCTATAAAGCAAATAAGGTAATTGTTACTAGGCAGAAACTCCACTAAACCATTGTATAAAATGATATATTTGTAAATAAAATTTCTATTCTGTTCTGGTTTATTGTGTTATCAGTAATAAACCGTATTAAAATGTTTCATATATTCATCAATCCTGTACAAAAAATAATAGTTGAATTAACAGGAAAAATCAACGAGAAATAAGAGACAAAAAAATTAAACACTGAGATGCCATTTAACACTTAATAAAACAAAAGGGAAACATACAAACTAAGACAGTTGTACTTAGTAATTGTTTCAATAATTTTTGTTCTAGTAAACTTATAATGAAACAAAACATTAAAAATTATACGCAAATTCTAGAAATCCTTAAAATTAAATTAGACTCACCAGAATTTAAAGTATATCAAAGGTTTAATTAATTAGTAATTTAAAAAAAAGAAACCAATCAGGTGTGTCATTTAATTAAAACTTACAAGATTGGTACTTCCTGTCTTTGTTTGTATGTTTTGTATAAAATGTATTCACACTACTTACAACACTCCATTATAATTATTATATTTTTAAAAATAATGTATCGGATTTTATCACAGTTTAAAATTAAAATTAGTAATAAATTAGATTGTCAAAAATTATAATTGTTTAAAAAATTTATTGATAAAGATATTATCACTGAGGAGGTTCTGCCTTGAACTCTTTAGAAATGTCATTTGATCGATCATAAAAATTTTATATTTTTCGATTTTCTGGTGGAAGAAAAATCGATCGGATTTTTCTTGTTTTTATTTTATTTTTATTTTACGGTCTTACTAATTGAAATGTGTGACTTGGAATTTTCTTTTTTCTTTCTTCAAAAAACTTTGTATGTAAACCCATAGAAAGAGACGTAAACAAGGGGACTCTCAACATTTGGAAAACGTTTCTGCCTTGAATTCATTAAAAATGTCATTTGATCGATCATAAAAATTTTATATTTTCGATTTTCTAATAGAAAAATCGATCGTTTTCATTATTGTTATTTTTATTTTATGGTCTTATCGATCGAAACGAATTATTTGGAAAAAACTTTTTATTAAAAAAAATCTTTTGTGCGTAAGAGCATCAAAAATGTGTTTCCATGCAAAATTGTCAACTTACAAGAGGGATCTGAACATTTGGAAAATGTTGAATCCAAACATTCGGGGATTTGTGAATTCGTTGCCGTTTCATTCTGCGTCTCGAAACAACATTTGACCAACGACATGACTTTTCTCTCTCCCTAAATATTTATTTAAAAATAAAAACAGAGAATAATTCAAAATGAGCTGTGAAAACCTCGTCCCTAATTCGACTAGGTTTTCAATGGGGCTTCCCTTATTTTCCATTGATCCGTTCTTCAAAGTATGCGCATGTTTCAATGGAATAACGCGCCATTTTTCAAATATAAACATAAGCGTAAAAGCCGATAAAATCTCAAGACATTATGAAACAAATAATAAATTACAAGTATATAAAATTTACCAATAAAATTCTTGTAAATTAATACGGATCCCTTCATCATACATTAATTTTTGTCCTAAAGATTATTTAGAAATCGTGAGCCCGTCTGGTGTGATGTAGGTGTATAAAAACTGTTTCTTTATCGTACCAATGTTTCAATCTTTGTTGAGATCATCTTCAGGACCTGAGATTTATAAACATTGTTTAAATTTACTTATACATAAAATACAAATACATATAAGATGTGAATATGAATTTATACAATGATGTACACAATAAAGAAATTTTAGATCCATTACATTTCGTGGTCTGATTGATCAAATAACTTTTTTCAATTAATAATCTTTTTCATTTCAACCAATACCTTAAATAAAAAGATTAATTAATTGGTAGAAATTTTAGGTTTAATCAAAGTATTTGTACTCACTGAAAGTTTTCTGTGTAGATGTCTCACTGTTGTGTCATGTTGAGAGTGTTGGTGTATATGCACAATATCTCACTAAAACTCTCAACACAACACACAACAGTGATACATCTACACAGAAAACACATTTTGGGTGGGTAAAAATCCTTTGATTAAACCTAAAATTGCTATATTGTGTACATCATTGTATAAATTCATATTCACATCATATAAGAATATGTATTTGTTTGCATATGTTTATAAATCCCAGGTCCTGAGGTCTCAATAAAGATTGTAATGTTAGCATAGTAAAGAAAATGTTTTTCTCAACCTACATCTCACCAGACTGCATCTCACAATCTCTAAATAAACATTAATTAATGATTACTAAATACTACACACTTTTGTTTTAAATGTAAACATCTTGGCGTTAGTTTTAAAACTCCAAGCTTACATGGCATGAACATGTCAGCTCTATTATTACAAACTTCCGAAAAACCTTATTACCTGTAAAATAAATAAGTATTAACGTGTTGTGAATAAAATTCCTTGTTTTATAAATAATTCTAAAAAATAACAAATATATCTCAAATGGTTGTTTGTTACTGAAAAAAAAACCAAATTTTTGATTGAAGCTGACTCTCCAGATTCAATTTGAATGAGATTTGAAGGGGGATTATTCCAGTTTTCAACGATGAGGTTTGAGAAGAATGATGGTCCAACTAATTTCTTGAAGTGCTGTTTTTAAACTTTTATGTGTTTGAAGAAGTATATAGTGAGAAAAGTCATGGCCTATTTATTTCTAAGAATTTATAGGTTTCGATGAGATCTTTTCATAGTTATATGGTTTTAATTTTTTGGAGATATTGGTAAAACATTTTTGACTAAAGTCTAAAAAAAGACTAAAGGAAACACTTTTTAACAAGACACTGTTCACTATGTGGGCATTTGAAAAGATTGGTAAAGTCCAACATGTTATGTTTGCAAATAAGGAAAAGAAGCAAAAACACATATTCTAACAAACTGTGGAGCTACACTTGCCCCTAGGAGGAATGGATTTGAGATGTACAACTGTAGAAGAAATTCAACTACTGAATACTAACTTAACTACTACTGAAATTTCTTGATGAACTAAGACTAGTCGGTGTGCTATAGGTTTAGAACGGGGTATACAACAGGAACAGGTATCAAATGAGTACATTGAACACCCCGAATATTACATCATTAAAGATGACAGAGAAAGGGAAAATTGTTTAAAAAGATATCGATTTTGAAAGTCGATTTCCATTTGTGAATATGACACACTTTAGTAGGTTTTATAACTGTTAAACATGGTAAAAAAGTTATGTGATAGTTTCACAAAGGTTTAACAAAAAACAAAAAGTTTTTTATTCATAAAAAATAATATAGTGGACGTTCTAACACAAATAATGTAAAGTCGAAGCCAAACAATCGTCAGACAAATCAATTTTGACCATTGTTCAATTTTAATTTTATCTTTAACTCCTTTCATGTTTCTTTCCACCTCTAAATTGCATTCAAATGTCAAACTTAAATGTAATCTTTTGAATTTTTACAAAAATTTACCACCTTTTTTGAACAATTGGTAAACTTTTTACAGAACATCCATAGAAGTTAACAATTTTTTGTTCTTCATATTTTGGTACACACCTATATATATAAGCCCATCTGGATGACATTTTGTCATTTAAGTGGCCATAAAATGATAGAAAATGTTTCAGACTATATCAGATTATTTGTACTCCTATCTAAGTAAGTATGCTTTTATGTTATTGTATTAATATTTTTAATGCCAGGTCTAAATTATGTAGCTTACAACCTTGAATTTTTAATATTTAATTACTCACATTTGATTGTTATTGACCATTGATGGCATAGTTTTTTTAAACTATATAATAGTAGAATTTTTTATGTAATAACAATATTTTTATTATAAAATTCTTTTTCATTTCATAATAAAAAATCTGTAAGTTTGTATCACAAAATTTTAATGTGAAAAAATCATGAATGATGAGTAGTGTTTTTTTAAACTTGTTCTGACTTGCAAAAAATTGGTGTCATTTTTATTCAGTAGACATTTTTGATATTGTTTAATTTCAAAAGAGTGGCTTTATTTTTTGCACAATTATTAATTTTATAAAAGTAATGAATTGTTAAATAAACAATCTAGTAATTATTAAGTTCATTTTCGATGTGGTGATTTCTGTGAGGTGATAAACCTGTAATTTGATTAACTCTAATCATCCTGCTTTACCCAATCTTATCATCAACATTTTGTAATATTCAGCAGGTCATATGTGTAATGACCCTGGCAGATGGTTACCTTAACAAATTAAGTTTATTTTATTTATTTATTTTTTAATGTGTTGATAAAATAAACTTATTATTATGTATAAAAGTATAGAGGAATATTGAGTATTCCACCACCTTAACTGAATGAATGGGTGTTAATAAGAAAAAATGTATTTAAGAGTGAGTGAGAGTATGAATAGATAATTATTCAGAAATCGTGAGATGTGGTCTTAATAATTATCGATTAACGGTCACTAATCACCACACAGTATGAATAGATTAAGGAAACGAGTATGTTGAGGGTTGAAATGACCTAGCTTTTGATAACCTCTGGAGCTCAACCTCAGTTACTGGATTAGGCTAAGGTCTGACCCTGGACTACCTTTCCCCGGGGTGGGTGATTCTTGAGACTTGCCTGCAATTCAGCTAGAATTGCCAGTGGACTGTGAGAAGAGATAGGCTCAATTCTGTACATGTGTGTTCAGACTTGATCTGATAAAAAAACAGTAATCAGTATTTTCAGCTCAGAAATAAGTTAGAAACTGTTGATACACAGACTCGAGTTTTGTCTTGCCTTATCCTTTATAGAGAATGGGTAGGGCAGGCCAAACCAAATAATTTAATTTTAAAATTTAATCCCAATAATCAAAGTGTGTTGTTATTTATTTTCACTTAATATTTTTTTTGTTTCAGTCGAATACATAGACATAGACTTCACTCTATGGCTATCATGGATGCTTATGCCCCTTATCCTCACATTTCTTCTTCCAATGGTAATCCTTGCTCTTTTTTACACCACCGCTGTCATCCTTTACGTTTACAAATACTGGTACAACTTGCATACCATATTGATAGTTTTATTAATTGTGGTTGATTTTCTAGTAAAATTTATTTTTAGGGATCGCCTGAAATATGCTTATGAAAATGACTTTTGGGATGGTGCCAGGAAGACAGTGGCAGCTTTGTGGGATGCCCATGGTTGGATCTGGCATGGCTATGAGATCCGTGGCATGGAAAACATACCGGAAGATGAAGCCGTACTTTTTGTCTACTATCATGGAACACTTCCAGTCGACTTGTACTATTTCATTGCTCGAATTTACCTGGTAACAAACAAATTGATTCATACAGTTGGTGACAGGTTTCTTTTCAATGTTCCTGGTAAGTTTTGTCCGTGCTTTGTTAAGCGTAAAAATCATGTTTTCTAACCTCACTTTTTCTATGTTAGGTTGGTCTATCATATCAGAAGGGATCAAGGTGATCCCCGGGACTCTGCAGACATGCTCTGCCATCCTGAAAGAAGGAAATTCACTTGCAATTTCTCCTGGAGGAGTTTTTGAGGCTCAATTTGGAGGTCCTGACTATCGTTTGATGTGGAAGAGGAGGCTCGGCTTTGCCAAAGTCGCCTTAGATGCTAAAGTTGTAAGATAACCACTTATTTTAAAGTTTCTTTTGAGCAATAATTTTGTAATAACAGTCAAATTTGATTAACTCTTAGCTCTATAAATTTTCAGAGCATAGTGCCAATGTTTACCCAAAATGTTCGAGAGGCATTTCGTAATGTTACTTTCGGTAGGCGCATTTGGCTAAAACTCTATCTCAAAACACGACTTCCTCTTGTTCCTATTTATGGAGGATTTCCTGTAAAGCTCATAACTCATGTCGGCAAACCGATAAGTTATAATGTCTGTGATGGCACTCCTGAGGATCTTCAAAAGATAGTAAGAATCAGTGAATTAAAAAAAACGAAAAAAAAAAACTTACGTCTATCTTTTCCCTCCAGGTAGCTAAAGCGATTAGCGACCTCATTGACACCCATCAGAAACTCCCTGGATCTATTTTGAGAGGAGTTGTCGAGCGTGTTTACGCTACACCCAAACCGACTGAATTAATCAAAGAAGATTAACGAGAAAGAAAAAATTACTTTAAAAAAAATTACTTTCACTGTTCAAATGTTAATATAAAAGAAGCTTTTTCGTTGATGAAAAATAGTAGAGAAAAAATATCAATATCCATAAATGCAAGTATGTGGTATGTTTATTAATATTTATACATCATGATAAACAATATTTTAATCTTATCAACAGGCTTAAATGATTATATTAAAAATTGTAAATGATCATGATGTTGCCCATGAACAATTTTTATGAAATGATTTATTTTCATTGTGATATAAACGAAAAGTAAAAGTACATTAAAAAAAATTATATTTATATTTGCTTGAGTTCAAACTAATATTTTTTCTAATACATTATTGTTATTATTGTTTGGTGATTAGTGACCGTTAATCGATAATTATTCAGAAATCGTGAGATGCGGTCTGGTGTGATGTAGGTTTCAGAAAAACTTTGATTGAATAAAAAAAAAAATATATTTTGCATTGTATTAATTCACTTTTTCACATCCTAAATGTATTTGTTAAATGTAAACGTTTGTAAATCCCAGGCCCTGAAGATGATCTCAATAAAGATCAAAATGTTGGCACGATAAAGAAAATGTTTTTCTGAAACCTACATCACACCAGACCGCATCTCACAATTTCTGAATAATAATAATTATTTTTTTAAATGTATTATTTTCTATTTTTTAGGAAATGACATGTTCCTATTGATATTTTATTACTTATTAGTGGCAATGTGAAACTATCGAACAGAACTGTGCGTTGTTGGCAAGGCTGAAAAAAAGTAACGAGTTTACTTTTAGCATTTCAAATATGGATTTAAATTTTATAAGGTATTGTTATTGAAATCAGCCTTAAAATGAAGTTAAATAATATAACACCAGTTAAATAATATAATCAAGTAGTGCTTCCACTTATAAGTGTGGTGAGTGAAGTGTTTTAAATGTTAATACTTGATTTATTTAGACCTTTTAGTACCAATTATTATGGAACAAATAAAAAAAGGCTGTTTTTTCTTTTTAAAAAATTACTAACAACACTTAAACTTCATACAGACACGCTCTCCTGGCTAATGAAATATCATTTATGTAATTTTATATTATTATTTTTAATCACTTGTTGAGATTTGGAAGAAGACAATGAATTAACTTTTTTAAAAATATTTATTTGGGGTCAGTTTCTAGACTTTGTCTATTCAATGTGCATCATTTTAATTATATTGTGAGAATCGCTGCTTTATTTTCTTCTTGCTTCATGATTAACATAATGTTACAAACATAAAGGGGGTGTGTAAAAGGGTAAAATATGTATTAAAAGAGAATTTTGGTAGGGTTTAATGTAATTTTAAATAAATAAACTTTACTCTAATACAAGATAAACGTATTACCTTGTGCTTTTGTATATAATTATATCTATTATAGTACGTATTATAAATTTATAAAGTACTTACAAGGTATACATTCATTGATGTGTACTCAAATGGTGATTTTTGTAAAACTGGTGATATATTGAGATAAACATTGTTGAATAAAAAGTAGACTAACAAATAAACAAATATTTTTCCTGTACACAAGAAAAAACATACGAACAATTTTGTAAAGTTGGTGATCTGCTAATGCAATATAGAGAATAAAAGTATATTAAATTGAATAAACTTTTTTTTAAACAAAAATATACAGCAAAATTATACATCTTTTTCTATGTTAGTTGATATTTTGTGAAAATGAAAGGAACAATTTAAGTTTTGACATTTATTTGATACTCATGCAACATACATATTTCAGTATTTTTATGTCCAATGTTTGTATTTGTGTGCATTTTTTTTGCATTTGAGTGTTTGTGTGAACAAGTACGGATTGAATAATACACTAACTTCAATAGGTTTGATAAAAATTATTATTACATTTTAAAAGAGTACGCTTCAATATAATTTTAAAGTTAAAAAATGATACTCGATAATATTAACAATCCACTTTACATTGAGATAATAAATGGTTTTACAGACAGGCCAACCCAGCAATGATAGACCAAAATTATCGTTAAGGATCAAATTACACGTGTTGAATTGAGATTTATGAGGTGATGAACATGACTGATCTATTTTATTTTAGTATTATTATTATGAGAACTTGTCACGGTTAAGTAATCTTAACCCCACAGTAGCGACCAGTCAGATTCTTACCAAATTTCATTTGAATTTCAGTGATTGCAGTCAAGGGATTTGTGATCTAAGTATCTGCAAAAGTTCTGATTTCACAGAGAATTTTGTCATTTATATCAATGACATAAAGGATGAATAGAATTGTACGCAGGACCGATCCTTGTGGACTCTGCTAAACCTGGGTAGGAATTAGTATGTACTTGATCAACCTTGACTTTTCCTATCAGAGAGGTGTGATTTCAAGAAATTTTGGAAAGTACCATTGATATCAAGCCCCTCCAGTTTGTAAACTAAGTGTGTGAGGCTCACGATCAAACTTCCTAGGGAAATCAAGGTAGATAACATCAATTGTATTGGTTGAGTCCAGGTTTTTGCCCAGAAGTTGATATTTTGCACCATGTTGTAAAAACAATGTTTTGAGACAAAGCTGTGCTGAGTGGGGAGAATAATTTTATTTAAATTGTAATAAAGTAATTGTTTGAATATTACTTTTTTAAAGCATGGGTCTTGGAGCTTTTCTTGAAGATAGGAGTAACAATAATCCTCAAAAAAAAAAAAAAAAAAAAAATTATGCAGGGTGGGTGACCAAGACCTGAGGGGTTAAATGCCTGGGTAGTCTCATACCCCATCCCTAAAAGGTCCGGGACTTGGTCGGCTCACGTGTCCTGCATAAACCTCTTGGACTTGTTCACAAACCCCAAGATTTTGGATCATTTTATCTTGGGGAGTAATTTGGTAATGTCCTCTCCTTCAAAGATTTCGAATCTAGACCTAGCATACCTATCACACTCTGCGAGGTAGTGTCGAGCCGTTTCTTTTTTTATTTCGCAGAAGCGGCAAAAGGGATCTGGTAGGATACCCATTATGAAGAGGTGTCTTCTCAGTGGGCAGTGCCCCGTCAGAATACCTATCAGCCTCCTAATTCCCTTCCTTGAGATAGAGAATAGCCATTTCGATTCTGCTGGGTTGATCGCCTTAACAAACTCTTTCGATTGCCTGTGTCCGGGGGATAAATTCCACTCCCTAAGGAATTGTTTCATGCCCCAGCTATTGATACTCTCCTTCGCTGTGCTCATAGAGTGAGGTAATACCGGTTGTGGCCCGACAAACGCAGTATTAGAACCTTTGGCTAGGCTATCCGCCTTTTCATTGCCATTGTGTCCTTTATGTGCTGGTATCCAAATAAGGGTCACCTTATTCTCAAGCCTGAAATAGATCCTATTGATAAGATCTATAGTTTCCTCCACCAGTTGTGAGGTTGACAAATCTTTTTGGATTGCCCTAGGACTAGCCTGACTCACAAAAGATTTTAATATCTTTTCCCTTAATTTTATTTTCCATAAGTGTTCTACAACACACATTGATGGCCCAGATTTCCGCCTGAAAAACGGAGGTGTTATTGCCAAGAGGGGAGGAGATGCTGATTCCTAATTTTGGTATGTAGATTCCTGCACCACTCCCTCTTCCTTTGATAAGTGATCCATCTGTGTAGCTGTCTATGTTACAATGGTCATCATCCAGACTATAATTATAATCACAAGGGGTGACTACCTGAAAATGCTTTTTCCCCGAAGTGGTTTTAATCTTTTTTTTTAAGAAGATAGTCTTGCATTCTGTGGGAAAATAAGAATTCGAGAATATGACAGTTTAAAAAGAAAATAATGTTTATAGAATGTGTTTAATTCAGAAATTGATAAACTTAACATTTCTAAGACAGGTAAATTCATTAGAACTTCCAGTCTGGACACCGTCTGCTTTCATGTACACTGAAATTGGGCTTGAATTTATTTTTTCTCATACTATGAAACTACACTACAATTATTTGGTAAAAGTGACAAAAATGGAAAACTTCTGATTCCCTAAAATAGTAATGCTGGAAGTCATGAAACAAGAAGTGGTTGGTATGCCTTTTAGAAAATGAAGATTCCTCGGTTTACAGGGTATTTGACTATACAGGCCATGAGTATCTTAGGGGCGATTGGGTAAAATAAGACTAATTATAAAAATTAGAGGTAATATCCTAAAACTTAATAAAACACCTTTTAATACTTCTGAAACTGAATGTACCATTTGTCATTTAAAATAAGAGGAAGATTTGTCAAAATTAAGTGAATTATTCTTTTTATCTGTCTTGGTGGAGATGAAAAAGTTAGTGTCACGAGGGATTCGAACCTTGCTGCTCCAATGGCTTGAGCTGTAATGACTTTGTCGACTGAAGTCTGAAGTTGCTAAACATGTACATACATTATGTAAATTGAGGAAACATGGCTAGGGTTGGAAGTTCTCCCATTAAACCTGTGTATAGATTATCTGAATGGAAAAGATTGGATTGGTTTAATCAGTTCTAGTAGAGAAGCTTACAATCTTAAACCAATCTTGTAATAAAAAAAATTATTTACAACTAGCTACCAAATAATAATAATCCATATATGCTTAGCAGTCAAAATTGACCATATTAATGTATACCATATGTAATAATATTAATTATTAATCACTTAATTATTCTTTTTATCTAACTTGGTTGAGATTATTGGTTGGGAAGAAAAATTTACCGTCATGAGCGAGATTCGAACTCACGACCGTCGGCTCAATACGCCACTGCTCTAACCACTTGAGCTATTGTGACTTTGCGGTCAAGTCCCACCATTGGGGTTCAAATCCTGCTTGTGACAATAACTTTTTCATCTCAACCAAGACCTTAGATAAAAAGAATAATTAATTAAAATAATAACAATATTAAGACATTTAATAAAAGAAATATATAAATAAAATGTAAATAAATAAATAATGAAGTAAAACAAATAAATAAATAAAAACATTAATAAATTAAAAAAAAACAAAACAACAAATCATTGACTCTCCTGTTGGCTTGGGCCATGGAAAAAATGCTACCCATTGCATATATATATTCATTGAATTATTCATTATACATTTGTTTATTGTTAATACATCATTTGTATTGAAATAAATAAAATAAAGAATTAGAAATGTAAGTAAGTATAATAAATATTATTTGTAGGTTCACTATTTTTCGAGGTCCGCTTGACCAATTAATATCATTAAATTAATTAAGGTTTTAGGTTGAGATGAAAAAAAGTTAATGGCACAAGGGAGGGAAAACTCATAAGGTGGGGTTGAGATGGGGAGTTGTTGTCTGAGTGGATCAAGGTCACGATAGCTCAGGTGGTAGAGCAGCGGCGTATCTAGCCGAAGGTCGTGGGTTCGAATCCCTCTTGTGCCATTAACTTTTTTTCATCTCAACTAAAAACCTTAATTAATTATATATAAGTAGCATGAAAGTTTTAGCATAAAACAGGGAAACTGTTTTTTAATATGTAAAATTTGTATTACACATTTGTGTGGGGTACATATCTACAAATAATTCAATTAATTAAGGTTTTAGGTTGAGAAAAAAAAGTCAGTGTCACGAGCGGGATTCGAACCCACGACCTTCAGCTTGATACGCCGCTACTCTACTACTTGAGCTATCGTGACTTCGATCCCCTCAAGCACTAACTTCCTCAAGTGGTAGAGTAGCGGCGTATCAAGCTGAAGGTCGTAGGTTTGAATCCCGCTCGTGCCATTGACTTTTTTTTCTCAACCTAAAACCTTAATTAATTGAATTATTTGTAGATATGTACCCCACACAAATGTGTAATACAAATTTTACATATTAAAAAACAGTTTCCCTGTTTTATGCTAAAACTTTCATGCTACTTATATGTAATTAATTAAGGTTTTTAGTTGAGATGAAAAAAAGTTAATGGCACAAGAGGGATTCGAACCCACGACCTTCGGCTAGATACGCCGCTGCTCTACCACCTATCGTGACCTTGATCCACTCAGACATCAACTCCCCATCTCAACCCCACCTTATGAGTTTTCCCTCCCTTGTGCCATTAACTTTTTTTCATCTCAACTAAAAACCTTAATTAATTGTCATGTATTAATTGGTCAAGCGGACCACGAAAGTAGTGAATTAACTTATATGTCATTTTATAAAGTTATTCACTGTGGATTTGCCAGAATGAACATGATAGAGTGAAACTGACCGACCTTTTACAAAAATAAGATATAATGTTTAGTTCTGTTAAATGATCCCAACAATTTTAAGAGGATTTTTTTTATGAATGTATTTAATTAAGACTAACTTTTAATTATTTTATCATTTTATGCTTAGTTATATAAATACTCAATTAATTATACACAATTTTTTTGAAATGAAAAATTGTGTCACAGGTGGGATTCAAACCCACGACGTTGCTCTACCACTTGAGCTACCATGACTTCGATCGCCCATGCCACAAACTTCTCATTTCGATTCCCCGTTTTTACCAATTGTATAGATTATATATTTGCATGGGCGATAGAAGTCATGGTAGCTCAAGTGGTAGAGCAGCGGCCTATCGAGCCGACAGTCGTGGGTTCGAATTCCGCCTGTGACACAGATTTTTCATTTCATAAAAATTGTGTATAATTAATTGATTATTTAATTAAGGTCGTATGTTCGTCCGCGTGTACAGCTTTTTAATTGAAAATTGGTTTTTGAATTGACAAAAAAAAAAATCGAAAATTTTACAAAGTTGTTGTCAGAAGGGAAATTCAACGGATTCAATACGCGCATCCTTGCGTCTCCCCACCACCGATCTTTTGAATTAACGGTCGCCCTTTCCAGAAATCCGTTAAAATCCAAGTTCAAACCTGTCACCGTGTGGCCGCAAAACGCGTCCGATTTTCTGGTCTCTTTTAAGTTCCGAGTTCCCGGAAGTAGAAAAAAATATGAGCGATTTCGGCAGGAGGACGGAGAGTACGGAGACCGTATCGAAAACGGATCGGACCGAACAGGGAGCACAGGAACGGAATTACTCTGTCACGAAAAGGTCAGTTTTGCCGGGTTTTTTTGTTTGCTTGGAACAGTAAATCCTGGAACGAATTACAATGCAGAAAGCGTCACGATGACAAATTCATGGCCGATTTACGCCCATGCTTTTTATGGTCGGGTTGAAAATTGTTACTCAAACAAAACATTTCATCCGAAAATCACATGAGTATTTTTACTATAATTTTTTGCTTAAAAGTCAAATCTTGGGACAATTCATAGAGAAAAAATAGTTGTTTACTGGCTTAAACTATTATTTACTTCTAGTGAACATTTTATTAATAAATTCATTATGTTTAGTGGTGTATTGACCAAATTACTTCTTTCAATTAATTATTCTTTTTATGTAAGGTCTTGAAGGTTTTATGAATAAAATTATTGTTATTTGTTAATACGCTCTAAGACAAAAAAACGGACACTTATATTTACTTATTTTACATATAACTAGGTATAAAGATTGATGGTTGACTTAAGCGTAAACACAACATTAATAACTGTAGTTTACCTTTACATAGCGTTATTAATCCGTTTAGATTTAGACTATGTAGATTAAAAATAAAGAAAATCAGTTCAATTTTTATCCTTTCCAGCTAACTTGTCCACTGGTTCGACTTGGCTATTTGTTTTTAAATTGTTTTCTTGGATGGAACATAAATTTGAATTAAAAAAAAAAATGTTTTTTCTTTTTTTTTAAAAGTATCGTTAAAATCGAGAAGATCTTGTCTGGTCAAATGCTTTGGTCAACGGATGAAGAGTCCGTTATTGAATGGGAATGTAGCCCAGGACAGAGGCATGCAAAAAGTTTATCAAAAGAAATCTAGGCATAATAGTTGGATTGCTGACTGGCACTGCAGACTCCAGAGGCATACATGTAGACTGAGTCACAGAAACAATCCTGTGCAGGTATTGCCAAAAAGAAGAAACAGCAGAACACATCCTTTGTAGGCCTATTTAGGCTGAAATGCCTAATCCAGGGGAGAGGAAACCCAGGGCCTGAAGGATACTGAGCCCTTGAGAAAGCTTTGTGATCTGGTAAATAGGCTTAAGGAGAAGCTCTCGATAAAAAAATGTGTAGGTCTTAAAGAGACTGGCTCCTATGTAATCTAATCTACAAAGCCCATGCCCTTGATGTGCCATGCTCTTCCATTCATGATGGTAGTGGTCAACAATGATATGATGTCTAGAGACAATTGTTTTATTGTCTTTACCGCACTACGAAACTGTCAGTTAACACCTTCCTTAATAGGTAGTCACCTCCATACAGTCAGTAGTGAAAGGGTGAGTTCTAAAACAGTCATCAGAAGGCTTCGTGAGAATAGCGCAGTCTCTCTCATCAGTTTCTCTGCCATTGGAGAGGCATCGAGTACAAAGGCAACTTTGCAAATCAGCATCTTGCTTAGACACTTGAACTATGGCTGTTCTCTTCACAGTTGTCTCGGTTTGGTTTGTAGTAATCAGATGACCGGGATGTGTTGAAAAGAACGCTTTGCCTCATGTGTCACGCATAAGCCTTTTCAAACACAGTTATGGGTATGAGGTGGAATCAACGTCCATGCCCGTACCTAACCGGTTATCATATAGAATGGATCTTTGTCTGCATTAAGGTACATTGAGTAAGTTCTGCTGGACGCTGGTGTCCCATTCGCTACATTTGTTGGGGACAACTTTGATTTAAGAAGCTCGAGTTGCCGCCCATTACTTGGAGGATGTTGGGATTACCACAATGAATTGGCCAGCATGTTCTTCTGATATGAATCCGCTTATGGGATTTGATAAAGAGAGGGTTGACATCATTTGCCAACTCCAATGACCGTTGTAAAGTTTCAAACAACTCTTGTTGAAGAAGGGGATTCTGTTTCACAAGACGAAATCCGATCGCTTATTTACTCGATACCTAGGAGACTTAAGGCTTTCCACGAGGTCAGAGAAAGTAATAAGCGTTATTAAGAGCAAAACTATGTAATAAATTGTTAGTTAAATATTAATCTATCACCAAATGAATTTTCATCATTTGGTGAATTTTCTTTCAAACCATCATAATTAAATAATTTTTATTAAAATTCATGAACTTTTGATCTCGTTTAATTTGGTTTACATTAAAATAACTATCTAATTAATATAATGATATAAATACATATAGTTTGAATTAAACAACAAAATTTGAGTGTCCAGTTTTTGTCTTTGAGTGTATGTTCTGTTGGTCCCATTAAGAATTTAAAATTTAAAGAAACAATTTTTACTATTGAAATATCTATAAGTTAGCTGTTGATGTCAGTGCTTTATTATATCGCCAATTTTTTTTTTTCAGGTTACAGACTGAACTGAGAAACTTAATGGTAATTATACTTCTTAATAATTTGTTCTTTATCCTTTAGATTTTCTATGTTTAAAAAACTTGAACTTATCTAAACTTAAGATTACTTTTTGATTGTTTCCAATAATCCTTGTCAGCCCATCCTTTATGTTTGCACTATCAGACCGACCTTACGAAAGGAATTGTGCATGTGAACTGTTGAACTTCTATATTGTACAGTACAAATAGTTATAACGACAACAAAAGAAAAATATTTATTGAATTATAAACCTCAAATTAATTGAAAATAATATTTCAGCTGGCTGGTCCCAAAGGTGTTACCGCTTTTCCTGAAGGTGACACCATATTCAAATGGGTGGGAACGATCGAAGGCCCAAAAGGAACAGTGAGTTAATTATGTTATTTCATTATTAAATATTAATATCAATAATTTTTTTTTTCAAACTAGGTTTTTGAAGGTTTCTCTTACAAAGTGACTCTCCAATTTGAGAATGGATACCCGTTCACACCACCAGTGGTGAAAATGAAGACGCCTTGCTTTCACCCGAATATTGACTTGGCGGGTAATATTTGCCTCGATATCCTTAAAGATTGTTGGTCCGCGTTATTTGATGTTTCGACTATTTTAATTTCCCTTCAATCTCTTCTTGGAGGTGAGTTTAAGAATATTAATACAATATTTTTGTTACATCTAACGTTTTTTCAATTAATCTTATTTTCAATAAATTCCAGAACCGAACGTAGATTCACCTTTAAACACCACAGCGGCTGCCATGTGGACCGACCAGAAACAGTATAGGAAGTACCTCCTCGCAAATTACGGCGATGGACGGAAATGACGAATCACTAATTATATTTAAGTCTATTGTGTACATTATTCCTTCATCGTCATAATTCCATGAATATTTCCTGTTTCTTAAAGCAAATGTAAAACTGTACATAAAGTAATATTGGTTTAAAAAAATATTATTTTGTTATATTGTATAAATTAATTCTCATTATTATTGTATTTTCATTATAACTATTATTGATCTAAGAGCTGTTTTTATTTTTATTATTTTATTTTATTTATTTATTATTAATATTTTTTTACGAGGGAATTTTAGAAGTTTGTATAAACCCTCAGGGTGCTGGTGTCAGGCTCGATGCAGGGCTGCTGGATTCGAAGCCGAGACCTTTACCTTTCAGTGATGAGTATTGCATGTGCGTGCGTGCGTCACTGACGGCCCTTAGAGCTAAGATTTTAAATCCTGTTTAACCAAACATCAAATAGACATTTTTTAATTCAAAACTTACTTTGAAACACAACCTACTCTCTGGACTGTCTTTATGTCACTGTGTCATGCCTACTCACTCCTTGTTAGGGCATGTGACACACTGAGCTACCAACTCACAAGCAGGACACCTGTGCAGGGTTCACCCCAAAAGCAATGTGTGTTAATCAGGAATGGCCTATTCTCAAACGTATTGGGCCCTTCCTTGTATTTCAGGCCGTTTGAGGGTCATTGCTCTTGGCATAGAAGCTCGGATGATCCACTCCGTTGACGCTGCCATTTTCTTTTATTGCATTCTTTACTGCTCGTACGCTGTCACTGGCCAGGTAGCAATGGTTAGTCTTGATCCAAATAATTAAGTAATAAATGTTTTTTATCATTGTCAGTAACAGTTTTTATTTGGCTTAGGTGATTTTTCTTAACTTAACCTTGGCTGTTTTTTAGTACACTTTTTTTACCAGGTAACCAGAAAACTGCGGTTTTTTATTTATATTGCTTTAATACTATTTATCAACATTTCTATTTACATAAGGGGATCACGTGTTTACATAATGTTATATATAAGAGGGTAATGCATCGGTTCATAAAGAAAAAAAGTAATAAATAAAATAGTAATAGTAAAAAAGTATTAAAAAATGTAAATAGAGTTACAGTACTTGGTAATGTTGGGACTGAGTCAATATTCAAGGAAATTTGAGATTGTGTGTAAAAACTTAAATTTGTCAATCTGTAGATATATTTAAGGTTGTTTTGCCCTGATGATGACCTTAGAATAGGTCGAAAATGACAGTAGCAACTAAATTCGCTTTCTTCTTCAAGACCATACTTTGACCAAGAGTGTTTGTAAGTGAAAAAGTGGTCAATACTTCTAATACTGAAAATCAAAACAGTGACTTGAACAGTCATAGTAAAGTATAAAACATTTTCTTACACATGGCTTGAAAACCCGTTATTCATGCTTGCTTAGTGTATGAATTTAAGCTTGTTACTAGGTACCAAAAATTGTTTCAACAGTTTAAAAAAACTCCTTTAAACACAGCATCACATTTGCTTGTGAATATATGGTTTTCACATCAATGATACCGGTCATTTGGTGACAACCGATGGTACGATCTCCTTTTGTGTGTTACTATACCGAATCCATTTTTTCATCGCATGTGTCAATCCCCTAAAAAACCGTCCTTTAGTTTGTGCCGTGAAATGAAAGGAAAATGTTTAGACGTTGAAGCTTGACCATCGGTCAATTTATGAGAAACCCATTTGCTCAGCTTCCACGTCTTCCCAAGTCAATGTAAGCTAGACAGAATGGTTGAATACTTGGGGGAGCCCCTGACATGTTTGATTTGAATGAAGTTTGATATCTTCCCTCAATTCTTCGACATGCAAGGCAGAAGGTTTAACAGAAGATGGTTCAACTTCATTCCCCTCATTCCCAGAAGCAAAATTTTTGAACCAATTTTTGGGCAGTGCGCTAACTTATTGTTTCATTACTGAACGCAATGCAAATTTTACAAAATGCCCTCGGCCGCCCTAGTATCAAGCTAAAATTTCTACAATAAGCATGCACGTATTAGGGCTTGGGGGTTACGATCATCATCATTACGATCACCATGATCATCATGACCATCACATCTCACCATTAATCAATTAATCTTAATAATAGTTTCAAAGTCTTGATGATTGGGGTATATTGAAAGCTTGACGAAGGAACTTAGTGTTTTTTTTTCAAATTGGCCCTCTCCCTGATTATTTAATCCAAAATTATAATATTGAAGGCTGATATCAATTACATTGAGATCATTTATTAAGGTAGTATTATTACAAATATCATAAAGAAGTAGTTTTATTTCTGAGTAGGCATTAATTATATTATCATCCTAATTTAGTCAATACTTTTAAAAAATTTAAAAAAAGCCAATGCTTGTAAAAGTTTTCCAGTACAAAATTATGTACTCAGCAATAAAACGATTCATCTTGCTTTTCCATTTATTGTTACAAAACTTGTCTGTTGTGTATTTTACAAGAGCTTCAAGTTATAATTAAGTGAAGGATGCAAGATGATAAAACAGGAAGAAACGAGTTTTCTATTAAGCGGATTTTTCAAGAGGGATAATAAGTTTACACAGTAAAAATGTTTATTTGTACTATTTTTATATACAATTTTCCTTATTCTTAAATACAAAATGTATGCATTGTTTGTTTTATATAGATGCAAACAGGTTTTTGTAAAGATCATTTATCGATGTCGGAGCAGAAAAACCGTTGGCATTTCCCCACAGTCTTCCCTATTGACTTTGCCTTCTCAATTCTGTGTTTTAAATCCAGTGGGATGAATTCATTCTTCATAATGTCCGAATGAACGCTGTAAAAATTTTATTTTTAGAGTAAATTTGACAATATGTATGAAAAAACTTACATTTCTAATACGTGTCGTTCTAGTTGAGTCACATTTGACAGGGGATTTTCAATTTCACAAGTCAACCTTTCGATACATCTATTGCCATATGTGGCAGCACCAGAACACATCAAATAGCTGGCAAGGAGCTTCTTCTCTTGTTTGACTACTTGGGCTCTTGGCAGCTGTAATAATATAATTATACTTGCATAAACCAATAATATTTACATTCACTATTTTTCGTGGTCCGCTTGACCAATTAATAACATTCAATTAATTAAGGTTTTTAAGTTGAGATAAAAAAGTCAGTGTCACGAGCGGGATTCAAACCCATGACCTTCGGCTTGATACGTCGCTACTCTACCACTTGAGCTATCGGGACTTCGATCCCCTCAGGCACTAACTTCAAATTCAAAAGGTGGGGTTGAGATGGGAAGTGAGTGCCCGAGGGGATCGAAGTCCTGATAGCTCAAGTGGTAGAGTAGCGGTGTATCAAGCCGAAGGTCGTGGGTTCGAATCCCACTCGTGACACTGACTTTTTTATCTCAACTTAAAAACCTTAATTAATTGAATATTTACATAATTGTATTAACGAAAGTTTTTAGTTTATGCGAACATAGCATGGTAGGTTTGTTCAAAGCAGTAATAATAGTGTATTTTAAGTATATTCAGTGTTGTTAATTTTTCAGAATTCATAATGCAATTAAAATTAACTAGTACCAGTCTAAATGTAAATTTTAAAAGCACAAGATATGGAAATAGATGACAGTGATGCTGAGTGTTGGTTTGCGAGTAGGTAAACTCATGCTGAACTGGCATCAGGTCACTTAATGGGTCTGTCTAAATCCACGAGTGAAGATGGATCCAATACGTGACTCAATTCCGGTTCAGCATGAATAGATGATAGTGTTTTAAAACAAGAAAATTAAAACAAATTTATGATAATCAATTTCTTATCAACCAGTATCAACTTCTTGAAATCAATACCACAAAAATTATGCTAAAAGTGCAACTTCAAGACTGAAAAATATTTAAAAATTAATTGGATTTTTGGGACTGTATTGATGCACACAGTTTGGCAAAAATTGGGTTAAAATGTAGATACATACATATATTTTAAAACTGGAAGTACATTTAAATTGTTCCTAAGTTTATCTTTTAGTGAGCACAAGAAGAAAACGTCCATCCAAAAAAATTTTAACTGCCTTTCTTGAGAGTTCACAGTACTGTGTACTTAGTTCAGCAAGAGTCAGCTTGTCACAAAAGAGACAAGGTTTACGGTTTTGGTGATTTATTTTAAAGTGTTATCAGAAAGCCAGCGCCACTAAATTTAACTTCTTATTGGCAATAGAACTTTCTTCAAAAGTTGGAAATTGTTACAATCTTTTTGAGTTGAAAGGTTGGCTTTATTAATCTGATGAAAATGTCACTCAGAAAGGCAAGGTCATTCAGCTAATCAAAGTCGTGAATTTTGTATTTTAGTTTTTAAAAATTTCAATTCGTTATCAAAAATAAGTTACTTTTTCTTTTTTTTGGCTGGTGGCTGATTTGTTCTGCATACTAGTCTAGGATCTTAGGTTCTTCATAGAAAAACACATTACTCTGGTAACCATGGTGACAAAATTTATCATCAGAGAGTCTGTCCAAATATGAATTATGATATAATATAAAATATAATTAATCCAATACTTTTTCTGACACAGGCTCAAACATGGTATGGAAAATCAAATCTCAAAAAATAGCCTAACAAAAAAGTAATAGAAATTAAAAAAAAAAAAGAAGCCTTTTGACCACAACATACCAACACCGGCACCCTTATAAGGTGAAGGTTATAAGGTGCCTTGCTGTTGCAAACCCTTATTTAAAATTAATTGATTAATTAATTAATTTAAATAAAAAATAAACCGTTTTAGAGAACTATTGGGGCTTCTGACATAATGTCATGACAACATGAAGAACCTCAGATTTGTGGATCAATTTGACAGAAACAAAAAAAAATCCAAAAAGTTATCAAATATTATTTAATTTAATATTGCGATTTGTTTACTACATAGGCTTACTATATATACTTATATTGGGATAAATATTATAAATAAAGCCAAGAATATTATTTTAGGAACTGTTTTTTTGTTGACAAAGTCAAGTTCAGTGATGCTAAGAAGGGTCTGGTTGAAAAGACGTCTCGTGAAGTTGTATGTGCAAAAATATGCAAACCAATGTCAAAAAATTCAAATCAAAAAGTCCTGATCTTCTGTAGGAATCTAATGTGATTTTATAGATATGATGTTAAACCTAGAAATTTTAATTAGTAATCTTCGGGCAGTAAGTTTAAGTGAAAGTTGTTCAGGAAGTGCGCCTTTTTTCGCCGTGTAAGCACGTGAGAATAGAAACTAAACTATGCTTTGCAATCATAACTTATAATTATTTCCAATGCTTTTTCTTGTTTGAAGGTGAAAGCCGTGAAAAAACGTTCAATACCTGTTCGATAAATTTTTCCAATGCCTGTATATCCCTGAATTTTTCGTTTCTTAGCAGATCGCCGATGTCACGCCGTCTTCGTTTTCCCGTTATGACACCCAGTTGAAGAAGTACGGGGTTGGAGGCGAAAAGAGCAGCAGCTCCTAGAAGGGCGACCCCGGCCAGAGGGACAAGGAGTCCTTTAAGTGCCGCGTCGTTGTGCGAGACGTGATGGTCGTGATGATCATGGTGATCGTAATGATGATGATCGTAACCCCCCAAGCCGTATCCAAAATCGCCACCTTAGAAACAAAAATAAAACGATTTTTTATAAAGTTACTTTCATTCATTGCGTGCCGACGACGGTCCAGCGCGTGACAGTTTCTCTTAAAAGTATTGTCATTGTTTTCCACCGAGCGTGAACTTCTGTGAAGAAATACTCTTTGCATTGTTCACTTAGGAAGGAAAAAGTTGTCATGTATTGATGAAGTCGAGAAACTTTCTAGCCTTCAATAAAAACTTTCTTTTAAAAAACGGAAAAAAAAGGAAAAGCTCGCACTTGCGAAAAGTATTCAACCATTATCTCTAGCTTACACCGACTTGGGAAGACGTGGAAGCTGAATCATAAATTGGCCGACTGTAACAAGCTTCAAAGTCTAATCATTTGCCTTTCATTTCACGACACAAACTAAAGACGTTTTTTGAAGGAATTTCACATGCGATGAAAAATGGATCCGTTACCACCAGGGGATCCTACCATTGGTAGTCACTAAATGACCCTGTACCAGTGACGCGAAAACCGTACATTCACAAACAAATGTGATGCTTTATATTTAAAGTAATATTTTTTAAACGATTTGAACCAATTTTTGGTCCCCTTAAATACATACAATAAACAAGCGCAAATAATTCAAGCCATGTGCAAGAAAATTTATAATTTACTATGACTGTTCAAGTCACATTTTCTTTTTCAATATTAGAAGGATCGGCCACCTTTTCGCTTACGAACATTCTGGATCAAGGCATACCTTGATATATAGTCTTCAGAAACCATAGTCTTGAAGAAGAAAGCAAATTTAGTTGCTTCCCTCGCTTTCGACCTATTTTAAGATCATCATCAGGGCAAAACAACCTTAAATATGTCAACAGATTGACATATTTAAATTTTTACTGGGGATCTACAGACTCAGTTCAAACGTTGCCAAGCACTGTAACAGTATTTGCTTTTTTTAAACTATTTCTTAATTAATTTTGTCTTTATGAACAGTCGCATTATCTTCTTGGTATTACATAATGTAATTATCTAATAATTTATTGGTACGACACCATTCAGGCACGATCGCCAGGTCTGGAGGGTTTATCATCTAATTCTTAATTTCAATAGGTTCTGGGGTAAGTAGGAAGGTCCCGAGGTAAATTTTCATTTATAATTTTCTATAATTTCTCTTTATTAATTATTACTCATTTATAGTTTTACATTGATTAACGGTATTAAAACAATAATAAATGAAAACTCGCACGAAGTATTAATTGGTCAAGCGGACCACGAAATTAGTGAATGTACTAAAAAACGTTGGACAAGGTTAAGTTAAGAAAAATCACCTAAGCTCAATAACAACTGTTACTGTCAATGGTAAAAACATTTATTACTTCATCATTTTGATCATTTCTTGGCAACGTTTTTCTTGATCGATTTTAGGACCATCGTCTATTCCTCTCAAACATAATCAGCGAGCATAGCCAAATTAAATTGTAAAAATATTAAAAATAGACCAATTCTTCATAAAATGCTGTTTGGATTTTAATTATACATTTTTTGTGATGTTCATATTTTCTGATCCATTAGACTTAAGTAACTGTGAAGTAACCGTTCTTAACTTTCTTATAAAAATTCAATTGGGATTTATTTGTACGACACCATTCAGGCACGACCGCTAGGTCTGGAGGGTTTAGCATCCGATTCTTAATTTCAAGTCCCGAGATAAATTTTCATTTATAATTTTCAATCATTTCTCTTTATTAATTATTAATCCTTTATAGTTTTACATTTAAAATTGAAATTGTACATTCAAAACCATGCTAATTCTTTCACACGTTCGTATATTTTAATGTCTGTTTTGTCAAATAATAACATTTTCTCTTTGATTCTAATATATAAATTACCCACTTCTTTTTATAATTATTATTATTCATTTAACAGTTAGCGAAACTGTTATTATTCAAAATGGGTTGGGGTCTTAGGGGAAATAGCTGTACAAACACAGCCTAACTATTACCCAATTTATTTATGTTTTACAAAATTTAATTAACAAGAATGTTTGTATAACATTATATAATAAAGGGTGGTTATGTATGAAATGTAAAAAAAAAAAAAAAAAAAAAAATTAATGGAGTAGAATGCCGTAAAAACGGATTTGCTAGCTCATTCTTTCGGAAAAAACAAACTTGTCACACAATTCACTGTAAACTTTGCTTATTTAATCAAAATTGAGTTCGTAGTTAAATTCTACGTTAAATTTTCTAAGAATGAATAATCAACTGAATCCTTTGAGACCAATAAGAAACCTTTAAAATTTAAACATTTGAAAGTCTTTGAAGAATTGTGAAAAGTTAATACAATGTGTCGAAACTTCCAAGAGATTCGGAAAAACTTAAAAAAAAAATAAAAAAATAAAAAATAAAAATAAATAAATTGTATAAACTTTTGAATGGTAATGCTTGGTAAGATCGGTACAATTTTTTTCGAAGAATATGATAGATTGTACTCCCTCCAGAAATCAAAAGAAAAAATGAAGTCGCATGAGAAAATCAAGGTTTGTAGGTAATGAAAATATTTAATTATATTAATGACAGGATTTTTAATTAAATGAAAAACTTAATATTACTGATTAAAATTGGTAAATATGATATACAAATACGCATGAACAATACGTTTGAAGTGGACTGTATTGTATGAACCATAAAAAATTAAACAATATCTTTTTAGAATTTAGTCACAAATACTTTATATATTACAACTTTATTTATTACAACTGGGCATCTACCCAAACATATGACTTCATTTGACTTGTTTTTCTTCCTTTTTAGTTTGTTACATTGATGTTCGGTAGGTCGCAATATTAAATATGAAAATTAAACTCGAAACAAATTAAACAGATAATATACGATTATATAATTTATATCAATGCTTTTATGACAAATAACGTTTTGGAAAGTAAATTAAACACATAAAAACTAAACGTTGCCTGATTTGAATTATTAATTTAATATCTGTGAGGTTGTGTGAATGAACAATTTTATGACATCCTTACTAAAATGTAATTGTTTTCAAATAGACAAAAAATAAAAGTTTTAATTTTAAAAAACTTCCTTGATCGATCCGTATTATTATGCCATTCGTGTTTTAGTGGTCAATTGACCAAGTTACTTCTTTCAATTAATTATTCTGTTTGTGTAAGGTCTTGGTTGAGATAAAAAAGTCAATGTCCCAAGCGGGATTCCGAGAGGATCGAAGTCACGATAGTTCAAGTGGTAGAGCAGCGGCATTTTTAGTCGAAGGTCGTGGGTTCGAATCCCACTCGTGACACTGACTTTTTATCTCAACCAAGGCCTTACATAAAAAGAATAATTAATTGTATTATTAAGATTTACCTGAGTGGTAGTGGGAGTGATCATAAGATGCTTGTCCAAGGAGGTCGACCCTCCTGTCCAACTTCTTCAATTGGGAAGCAGAAGTCTCTTCAGTGTCTTGTTTGCTTAAGATCCCAAGCCCAAGACGAAGTACAGCACAAAAAGCACACACGAAAACCAGTGCACGTCTCATTCTGTCCGACGAGCGATTGTCATCGACAACTCGTGCGACCTTTTCTTTATATGGTATCCGTATTAAGAGAAATCGCTCCCGCGTGTGCGAGTCCGGCTTGCCGACCGTGACAAGAACAATGACAGTCGGTTACAACGATACGTTGTGTCACACTCGAGTATCCGAATTATTTTCGCGCGGATGGAGTTGGTCACAGCGGACAGGAATCTCCTTCCTATTTTCTGTTGGAGAGGTTTTAGACGGTGCGGATGGCAAAACCATGACACCATTTTTTCGGTAATTTAGGCTTTTAAGTAGCCATCCGTTTTATGCAAACGCAGTCACGATTGTCTGAAAGGTTACTGAGGATATCCTGATTAATGATGGTTATGCCGTTCCCAATTTTGGCTTTTTACAGAAAACTGGCCTTCGGATTATTATATAATAGATTATAACCATCATATGTCACTATATCATATATAAGCTTTCAAATATCAAACGACTCGGTCAAAATTAACAGTGGCTTTTGCCTGATTGATTTTAGTTCAGTCTTGACTTTCAGGGAACTTTTTTAGCACATTTTTAGTACTTTTTTTTACTATTTGTAACTTTTTTCCAACATCGCGCAATAGCTGAGGATGGCAGTTCAAAAATAAATAACTTAATAATTCTTCATCTCAAATCTTATTTACAAGCATAGTTAATATTTATAGACGTAATTCAGAATTGGACAATTTGGCCAATGCGTAAAGTCCGGCTTATAAAGTTGGGGATATTGATTGCCTAATTAATTTTAGACCTTCAGCATAGATTCAAACTGATTACTAATTCTCAAAATGTATTTCGGTTATGACCCTCTATCTCATCTAAGTTAGGAAACTTGCGGTGAGATAATAAATATGTACGATTTTAGGGAGTGAGGAAAATTTAATACACCCATTTGATGCATACATTCTGGAATGATATAATAATTTTTTTCTGACGGCTATCGGCGCTAACGGTTATTTAAGCCCTTATATTTTCTTTATTCATGATACAAATTTAGATAGCAAATTTTATACAACTACTATTTCTGATCCCACAATATAATAAGAAAACAAAAAAGACTCTTCGGTAGAAAATTAAACAAAAGAAAAACATAAGCTTCTAAAAATTAAAATAAATATTCCAATTAATTTTTCTTTTCATCTAAGGTTTTTGGTTGAGATGAAAAGAATAATTAATTGGAATAATTAATATGGTCAATTATGACCACTAAACAAATATGGATTAATTAAATCAAGGAAGTTTTTTTAAATGTTCAAAACGTCCACCCTTTTGTAGAATGCAAGCCTGACATCGTTTAATTTATAATACAGGACACAGTAATTTAAAAATAATGCAAATAATACAAACTAAACAAAAGAGACTCTTTGGTACAAAAATGGCCATAAAAAAACAACAAGCGTCTAAAAATTAAACGATGTCAGGCTTGCTATCTTCAAAAGGGTGGATAGTTTGAATATTTGATTTAATTTTTCAATCCATTCTGTATTTTCTTATGTTCAATTTTGTACCAAAGAATCTTTTTTGTTTACTTTGTATTACTTTCATTACTTTGTAGAAATTTTAAAAATTTTAATTTCTAATCTTTCTAAACTGTATGTAACCTAAAAATCAAATTTTATGCAATTAAACGTAAATTAATCAATTTTACATTAACTTTGGAGACGTAAAGTTGACGTGTTTAAAGCTCATTAGTAGGAGCAACTTATCTGTAAGCGCCATATCTACCAGTATTTACAGGAAAAAAATGTTACTTAAAATTTAGACAAGTACTTTGAAAATTCGTAAAAGTTTATCTTCTGATTTCGAATGCTTCTTTGCTTAAAGTTACAATAAAAGTATTTCAACAAAAAAATCTCATAACGTTTTAAAGACTGTTTCTATTGGTGTAATCAAATTTACAGGATGATTATTATTTTATCAGGTACGGGGGCTTTTTTTTTTTTAAATTGCGAAAGGTTGAGGTGAAGTTGTGAAACGTAAGGATTTCTTTGAGATAACATGCATTGATCCTTAAGGCCAGGTCTATGTGCTCAATACTATTCTATCCAAACGCACGTCAACTAGTATCTGTTTTTTATTACGATCTTTTATATCTCATAGATTATTCAATTAAAAAGACAAAAACTTAGAATTGATTAAATTTTGACGTGTTGCGAAAATTAAAATAAAAAAATTCTTCCTGTTTCATCTTAACAATTTCACGTATGCATTTTTTATTATTTATATTCTTTCCGTGGGTTAAATTATATGTTTATTAATAAATATTACAGTTCATTATTGATATATGTGTATGTAATTTTAATTACGCGCAGAAAAATGTAAAAATTAACAACTTAGAAAGCCAAATGGCAATAGAAGATTGCTAGATAACGCCTAATCGCCTAATTATTTTTTATTTAAATTTGTATACAGCAGCTGCTTTCGGTCTTTCAAAATGAGTCCGATAATACACCAGAAATTTTCAAAAGGTCAATTATTTTTTCTTTATTCAAAAGCGAAAGTAGAGTATCTACTGTATATTTGGCACCATTGGCAAATTATTTACAAGACTTCTCCTAATGAAACTATCACACTGGCGGAGGAGAATAGTAAATAGATGATCAGGTGGGATTTAAACAATCCTATCCCACTGTCGGTATTATAATGACACGTCAAAATAATATTGAGGAAGAAAAGGTTTGTGCATTTTTTGTGATTTTTAAAATAAATGATCAACAATTGGTGCTACTAGTCAAGCATAAAGTGATAGATGTATCGATCACTTTTTTACACACGGTCATCATCAGGGCAAATAATCGTAAATGTTATAAACTAACATAAGTAAGTTTTTAATAGATTGGTTTCAAATTTTTTAGAAGACCGATTCAGTCCCAACATTGCCAAGGACTGAGTCCAAATCCACCTGATGATGACCTTACAATAGCTCGAAAGTTCGGCAGTAACAATTGAATTTGTTTTTTTCATCCAAACCATACCGAGAACGAAATTATTCGTAACTAGTCGGGTAATAAAAGTTATGAGAAATTTATGTAATGTGACGAACGAGGCTGGTGAAGGATGGTTTGTCAAACAATTTTTATTCAACCATGGGGGTATGGTATGGTGAAAAAGGATACTAGGAAGCGGGGTTTGCACTCCCAAGGCACTGCAGCCTTCTGGTTTATTGTACCTTCCTAGTTCCTTAGTTCAATGCAATAGACTCAATCCTTCTTCTTAGAAGTATCAGGTCATTGACTGTCGCTGCTGCAATTTGATTCCCTAAGTTTTTTCCAGACTTTAGGTTAAACTCCATTGAGCTGTTGCTTCGCATTCGAAGATGATATGAGTGGCTGTTTCCTCCTCATTATAATCTGCAAATGGGATCATCGCTGATATACCCATGTTGTGTAGATGTTTTCTCAGATGCCAGTGACGGGTTAGTAGCCCTACCACTCCTCTGAGTTTCCAATTGCAGCAGTGCTTTTGCCAGTCTTGGTGAGGGTGGTTTCATCATAAGTTTACTAGGTCTAGCACCGCTAGAGTTTATCCACTTCTCCTTTTGTTTTGTTTGGCTCCATTCTGCGATGGAGGATCCTATATTTGTTTTTGTTATCCCAAGAATTGGTTCGGGGCCTATGTATGGTCTTGCAGATCCCTCCTCTGGCCAGTCTGTTTTATCATTACCCAAAATTCCCCTGTGCCCTGGCACCCAAGGTATCATCAGGTTATTGTGTTTCCCAGGTTTTGGAGATTTTGGATGCATTCACTGATTAATTTTGATGTGATTCTTTTACATGCTAATGCTTTAATGGCTGCTTGACAATCTGATCTTATGAGGATCAACCGGGGGGGGTGAAGCAGGGTTACCTGCTTAGTCCCGTATTGTTTTCTTTATTAATTTATATATGATACAGATGAAAGTTCATAAAGCTAGCGTATGCAGATCATTTAGTCTTACAAGCAACTGACAAATTAGTTTTGCAACAAATGATAAATTCTCTTCACGATTGGTAAAAATGGAACCTGAAAGGTAACCAATCGAAATAAAAGTTTATAATATTTAGGAATGGTGGCATATTATCAAAAAATGATCTATACACATAACAAGGACTTGGTGAAATTGATCTAGCGTCAAATGTGTATACATCACATTATCGTTAATAGATTTTATAATTTTTTTTTGTTCTTAGAGTGTTTTAAGGTTGTTTAGTGTAAAAATAGATGAAATTAGGCATATCAGAGGAAATTCAAAATCCTTTGAACATTGAGCGTCTCCTTGAACCTTGCACGTGCTGCGACCTCACGCGAGTGACTCGAATCATCATCATCATTCCAATGGCTTCCACTGTATTTGTTTAGCGTTCCAGGTCCAGTTTCTCGCCTGGCCATGTCGCATGCACAACAGAATTTCGGCCCGGAGGAATTCCAGCGCACAGCGTGAACCGCACCGCCCGAGAAGTCCTCGTTTATAAGGGCGTAAAAAATGCCTGCCCTCTTCTAGGGCGTTGGTGATCGTCGATATGACCCGTCTGAAAATGCCATATCAAATTTTCAACAGTTGCACATCTATAATTTTATTCGAAGCAATCAGTCGAGAATGATTTAATAATATTACATTACCCGAGAATATATAGTAAGTACATTTTTTTAAAATTTTGTTACTTTTTCTATTGTATTTTACAAAACTATAAATTATACAAGGATAATTGTCCATTTATAACTGACAACAAATCAATACGAACAATTGGCATTGTAAGCAGTGTTTTAGACAGTTTGTTATGCAATATAAAACAACCTGTAATACCAAAATATGCGAGCTATTGCATTTCAAAGAAAGCTGCTTTCGTGCCTACGCTTTTCAATTATTATAAATGCGTTCACATAAATGTCAAACAAAACGATAGAAAGCCTATTCAAAGATTTGTATTTTTTGTCACAAGAAAGTGACATCGCAGTGATTGTATGAGTGATAAATATTATACAACATAAACGGAGCTTGTATACATATTTATATTTTTTCAATATCCTTCGTAAAACAATTGGTTATGTCCTGACAATAGGAATTATTTTTGTCTTCTTATCACCCGAGCTCGTTTGTTTTGTTACAACGTCTGAGATTTAAATGTGTAGTTAAATTGAAATTTCTTTATGTTGCTCCCAAAATTAATTTTTAACAGCAAAGCACTTTAATAAATTGTTGTAACGTACATAAAATATTCACAGCAGACAACACGAACTTTATTTTATAGGTAGTGCTAATACCATAGAAACTCCGTCAAATTAAGTAATTTGTTTAAAAATTTATGTGCCATGTTTAAGTTTTATCGATTAGATGTAATAATGAAATATAGCTGTCTTTATTAGAAATATATTTACATCGAATAAACATAACACTTTTGGAGGCAGACAAAATTTTATCACCTTGAAAATTTTAGTACGCAGATTAATTAATTTAAACCAATTTTTCTTAAAGAAACATTAATTTTGATTAATATTTGATTTGGAAATCAATATTTTGTTCCAAAATGCACCAAAATGCATTTTGTACTTTAGTTTATGCCTAACCGTTATATTTATTAAGCTTGCGATAAAATCATTGCATATTTATGTTCTGTACCATTCTAACCCGATGTAATTCTCTGTATGTTTGTGCGAGAGAGAGAGAGAGAGAGTGAGAGAGAGAGAGAGAGAGAGTGTGCTATACTTACAATTGAACATTGTTAACACTATTAATGTCTAATAAAATAATAAATTATATCGAATTAACCAGTGATCATCTTTTCCGGCACACTAGTTATCCAAACTCAGCATGAATTGCATGTTATATACCATTAAACCGGTCAGCATTTAGCTGCGAATTTATTTATGATAATCAGATCAAAAAGCATGGTGGTGTACTGTGTCAACATTTACCTAGAGTGTCTTATAATTTACAACATCGCATTTTCGTAAATAATTAGTTTCACTTTGTACCTTATGCTGTGCTGATTGTTCAAAGAGCTGAAAATAAAATATATAATATTATTTATTTTTTTAACAAACAATTTCCGTACGGGCCTTTATTTGTATAATATTTAATTGATAATTCTCACCTAGGTATATTTTATTTGATACGATTAGATATAAATCAAGGATTTCTTATCGTTTCGTTCAACAATTTAATATTGATTCCGTATTGACTAGCTTGTTGCATGGAAATTGAAGGTGTCATTCAACTAGAGCAGAAAAAGAAATAGAAAACAGACCCATTTCAATTACTTAAATTGTTTCCTCGGGAAACAAGTTGTTCAATTCTGGGTAAGATCTTTGTTTGTTTTATTAAGTCCACAAAATCGTTCGTTCCGGAAAAGTATGCTCGGGTTCCTGGAAACTTTGTACATATGCACACCCCCACTGATAGACAAATTTAACGGACCCCTCAGTTTATTTAGTTTAAAATTAAATCCATTATCTTTTTACACAGGTAGTTACAGGTAATTGGGGGCTATCGTAGTCAAAACAAACTGTAAATAATCCTTTGTTTACTTATTTTTTTTTTTTTACTTTTGTACTGATTAATCCCATTTGCACAAAAAGTGGCATTATCCCTATCCATTCTGCTACGCCTAAAGATCGCTTTCAGTTAATCTTTTTCCTCCGTTGATTCCATTTGATATTCTTATTCTTAAACCTTTTTCAATGGCTCCGGTCAGGCATTTGAGTGAGTATGAGAGAGTATCATAACTTCATTAGAGGAAGGATACAGCCAGCGCGAAATCACCAGCAGACTGAGTGTAAGCACTCAAGGGTTCTTCAGCAGAAAAACAGGACTCCATACTTTCTAGTCAGAGTCGACCTCGGTCTGCAGACGAGAGAAAGACGATAGATTCATCCGTCATCAGGTTATATGAAACCGCAGCAGTTTGGGAAATGGGATAAGAAATCTGATAGGGCAAGTCCGAAATGTTCCGATTTCCTCTAGGACTTGCCTGAAGAAGCTTGAAGAAGCCTCAATGAAAATAACCTCAGGGCCCGGCACCCGTTTCGTGAAATTCTTCTTACCACACCTCAGAAAATGGCACATGTGAATTGGACATTGAAAAATTGGGGACGAGTTCTCTTTACCGATGAGGTAATAGTTGGCCTAAAATCTTCAGATGGGCGTAATTTCATATGGAGACGATAAGGGGAAACGTACTCCCCATACTGAACGGTTCTTCAGGTGGCATTCCATGGTAGGTCATTGATATTGTGGGGTGACATTTCCTTGGACGCCCGCACCGAATTTGTTGTTGTGCGAGGATGATCTCCAACTTCACGGAGGTACTTACAAGGCATAATCGAAGGACATGTAGCGACATTTGGCCCTACATCGGTGAGAGATTCTTGCTAATGCAAGTAGCATAAACAACCAACTATACTAGTTTGTAGTTGGTACTAGTCAGATTCGAGACAATTAGTTCTCATGAAAACTGGACAGGAAATATTCTATCTCCTAGTCATTTAATTGCTGTTTTAATTTTTTTTTAGTTTTAGTTTAATCTGGTCAATTCATTATCAGTATAGAACAGATATAAAAACATATTATTTCATGGTCTTTAGCATGATCAGCATGATGATACTATTGATGCTTTTCTTCTTTAGGAAGATTCAAAAATTAGACAACTGCAACAGAAAGAAAAGACTATTTAGTGTTGGTTTTCGTTTTTCTTTAAGCCATGATATTGAGTTGAAAAATAGTTCAGTTTCTATGCCAACAGAAAACTAGAGTATGTTGTGATTGTCAAGTTCTTTTTCGATTTGAGACAAATTGATTTCATGGTAACAGAAAAAGAATACTATTTCCTAGTCGTTTAATTTAAAAAAAAAATTTATTTACTGTTTTAGTTCATCAGTTGAAGGGAAAAGACTATTTAGTATTTGTTTCATTTTACTTTAGAACTTGAATTCAGTCAATCTATTGAATTCAGTTTATATGCCAAAAGAAACTGAAAACTAGACTATTTTGTGACCTGATAGTTATGTTATTTAATGATTCAAGACAATTTGATTTCATGGACAGGACGAAATATACTATTTTCTAGTCGTTTATGTTTATTTATTTTTATTTTTTAGTTCAACATATTCGGTTGAATCTTGTTAGTACATTTTAATTACAGAACAAGACTTGTGCATGGTCTTCAGGTTGATCAGTATTGATGATTTTGTTTTGTTCTTTAGTTAGATTCAAGAAAAATTGACCATATCTCAACAGAAAAGGCAAATCATTGGATCGCGTTTTTCTTTAAGTCTTGAAATTGAGTTGAATCAAAAGGATTCAGTTTTTCCCAACATAAACGGAAAAATAGACGTTTGTAGTTTCATATTGTTTGAAGGTATGGGCAAATATGATATTTCACAATTGGTGAATAGAATTAAGTTGAATCTAGTCAATTCACTTTCAGCACAAAACAGACTAGTTTATGATCTGCACGTAGATCAACTCTTGAGTTTCTTTTTAAGTAAGATTCGAGAAAATTTGACCTTAATGCAGCAGAACTGATAATACTATTTAATATTCGTTTTGACTTTAATGTACACATTGAAATGGAGTTCTTTAAGCTTATGTCAACAAGGCAGAAAAAAGGCTCTTTTTGGTTGATTTTCATATACTTTTTAGTCATTATCTTAGGACATTATGTTTAGGAGAATTCTGTTTCTACATCTGCAGAACAAAGAAACTTGGTACACACACCGATTTATTAAATGGAGTCATTTCCAAAAATTCCAAAAAAGAAAACTAGTTTTTACAAATCAGATTATGATTTTTTTTCTTTAGCTGTTGACATGATGTAAGAATGAGATATTTCTATTCCCAATACGATAACGCAGAAAACTATTTTGTACTTGTCCAATTATCGGCTCTCATTTTTTTTTATCTTTAGCTGTTTGTGTACAATTGGATTCAATTAGGATAACTTTTATGCCCTCGACAGCGGAGCACAAATCAGATTAGGCATTCGTACAACTAATTGTTTTTATTGCCTGTAGTTGTTTGTTTTAAAAAGTCGAAAAAGTTTTAAGTTAAATCTATTTCCATTTATCACATCACTGGAATGTATTCGCTCGGATTAGAGGGGATTGTTTATTACATTTTTTGAGATATTTCGATTATCTTAAAGAAAACAAAATAGGCGCAATTGAATCTTTTCAGAGATGTTTTACTCATTTATGTATTTTGTTTAAAAAGTTTGGGTTACATGAATAAGTCTTAATTATCGATCATGTTCTAAATATAATTTCCTGAGAATTTCCTGTTTTAACAAAATTATCGATTTTGGCTTAAAAAAAATCATTCGCATTCTTTATGACATTGATTCAAAGGCTAATCTTTAATCTTTACCGTGACTTGGTGAATGCTATGCGCGTTTCTTCCTTTTAATGCAGTTTTGCCTTAGTTTTTATAAATGTCCCAAGTCGATTTTGTGCCTTTTACTCCCTGGCAATAAGTTTTACATCAAACTCCTATTTGAGGGTACGCTGTAGTCCAAGTTTATCTCAGTTTGGCCCCTCTCCAGGAAGTACTTGATAAAAATGGCAACCTTTGCCGCACGATGAGTTAGTAGAATGAGTGCCGAAGTGACAAATATGGTGTACCATAAGTAGGTTATGGTG